GGCATATGGGGGTTAGGGCTAGTACTTGATTGAGGTTTGAAGATGAGGTGATTATAGAGTGAATGGATGATTTCATTAGGAGGTGAAATGGGAGTACTTGTAGACTGAGATTGATTGCTAGACTGCATCCTCGACGGTTTCCCTAGACAGATACAGATTGATGATTAAAACTCCCCTCCAACGTCATACCGGAAGATGCGATCGTTGATTCTCCCCCCCGTGAACCTCCACAGGCGAGCAGCAGACTGCGGTATAGTTAGCAGATCTCTAGGTAGATGTTGATGCTGAAGCTGAAGCTGAACCCACCGCGTTCAACCACACCCCGTGCAGCATCACCTGGATAAACACAAACTCTGCCGGGTTGCTACCCGCTGGTCTCTCGCTCAGGTCTAGTTCACGGTTCACAGGACGGTATGCGGGCATGCGACGGTAATTTGACGGCCAGTTGGCTGGTTGGGCTTGGGCTGCTTGCGAGACAGGCTCTCGTTCAGACGACTGGGGTTCTTCGCTGCCGCTGTGGTGGAGCTCATAGTCGGCGAGGATGGAGAGGGTGTTGGTGTTTGTCTGGGTGGTTGTAGCTGTTGTCGACATGTTGATTCGAGTTTGTAGACTTAGATTCCTAGTAATAGTTGAGGTGAATGTGAATGTATGTTGGATGCGGTTAGATCTCGAGTTCTCGACGAGGACGACCTTGCTGTCTTGCACTCGACACAACATGACACTCGGGGTATTCGGAGATATGGAGATTGGATAGCTCCCCCACATTCCTTTCCTTCGGAGATACAGGAATCCAGGAATCGAGAAGATCATAATGAAACTGATCAACTGATCTTTTCCCTCTCGGGCTGCCCTCATTTGCAGCTCCCCCACATCCCGATGCGGAGTGGCCGCGGTCTCGTCCGCGATGTTAGTGTATGCTGGACGGCATAGCTTGATTATGGATATGAACATAGGAGACGATTGCCTCTAAAGAAGACATTTTGGATTTTGCACTGCTGAACTGGCGGTTGCAGTTGTCATTGTGCCTTTCCTCCATCGACTCCGACGGTGCAACACTTCTTGACGCAGGACAATCAGCATACTGAAAGCAACGATGGTCTCCTCACAATTCTCCCGGCTGCTCGCAGCAGAGATCGACGGCCGTACCCAAAACACCAGGTATCGCCAGAATGAGTTCCATCGCCTCCAGTCGGCCCTCACCCAGCACATCGACGAGATCCAAGACGCCATCCAGAAGGACTCCGGGAATGCCCCCGAAGAAGTCCGCGCCGAGCTGTGTCTCGCGCTCAAGGAGATCCGCACACACTATGTGACGTTGAGTCTGGAGAAAGACCTCGAAGAAGAGTATCGTGTTGTAGCTGGCAAGGACAATGCGGACGCGAAGCGCGGCGCAGGCATCGTCTATATCGTCCCCTGCACACATACCATGTTCTTCTCGATTGTCTCAGCGCTCAGTGCGGCGTTGGCGGCTGGGAATTGTATCATTCTCGAGGTAGGTCCGGCTCTCTCCAGAGATCAAATGAGGTAGACTGATGGTAGCAGCTGACAAAAAATACCATGGCGCTGCCCGCCGTGCTGCGCAGGATCCTCCCCCAGGCTCTGGACGCGGATACATTTGCCATCAGCGAAGAGAGACCCGATGCTGGTTTCCTCAGCAGGGTGCTCATGATCTCCCAGACTGGTTCCGCGCCCCTCGCCGAGCGCAGTCTGCTCTCGCCCGCGAACGCGCGAACCGTGGCTGTCGTTGACAGGACGGCAGATGTTGCTGCCGCAGCCGAAGCGCTGGTCGCCGCGCGCTTCGCCTTTGGCGGCCGGTCGACGTATTCCCCTGATGTGGTGCTCGTCAACGAGTTTGCCATGAAGCGGTTTGTCGAGGCGGTTATCCAGCAGGCGTCCAGATACCTGGCTGGTCCGAACGGAGAGGCGCGTCAGGGGGCGTCGAATCCCCGTCGGTTCGGCCCAAGTGCCTCGCTTCTGGATGCTGCGCATAAGGACGCGGGTGCTCGCGTGCTTGTCTCTGGGTCTGGATGGGGCGTGGTGGAGGTGCATGATCGGTATGCTCTATCACGTTGTGACAGTGGCTGCGGCTAACATCGACTATCTTAGGAACTCGTCTCTCCTGACGAAAAAGGTGGAGGAGAAAGTGCTCATTCTTCATCCTGTGACAAGTATGGACGACGCGATTGACCTGAGCAACTCGTAGGTTTACTCTTCTTTCCATCGTCAAGCATCGCTGACGTCTCAGGAGCGGCACACTGGCAGCGACATACGCCTTCGCCAGCCCCTCCGCAGCCAAATACATCACTCAGTTCATCGACGCCTCCATCTCCTGGATCAACCACGTCCCCGTCGACATGCTCAGTAATTCTTCCCTTATCCACTTTTCCCCTTCCATCGAGCTAACAAACTCAGTCGGTCCTGCCTACCCCATAAACACCACCCCCAGCACCGCGACCCGCTACACGCCCGCTCTCCTCCAAGTCTCCCGTCCCCAGTTCGTCACTGAAACAAACAAGTCCGCCCTGGTGAATAGTATCCTCGACACCACAGACGGCAGGAAATCGGCAAACGCCTGGCGCGAGGCCCTTGCGCCCTTGCCATCCACAGGCCAGCGCCCGGGCTGGAAAATCGGGTTCTTCGAGCAGGGGCTTATCACCGGTGGGGTGATTACGCTTGCGACGTTGGTAGCGACGGTGTCGACTTTGGGGTGGTATACCTTTTCGTATGTGAGGAGGTTGCGGGCTTAGATTGGCTTTGGGTTACTGTGTAGTATAGTTTGCTGAATTGAGTGTTGAGACTTGGTGGAATAGTTGTAACGACTGCTTTTTATCTCGGGGTCTGTTTCTAATTTCTACTTCTTGAAGTTTTGGTTGTTTGGAGAATACCAAGGCCTTTTCTGTAAAACGGAACTGCGAGACTGTGCTGGTTTACAATTATATAATTCCGACATGAAGCCCTTGAATATCCCCAACCTACCAAGATGCACTCTAACACGATAGGGAGCAGAATCATCTGATGCTCTTGCGCTGAAGATAACCATAAGTTAATCTGACCTATCATGCTATGAAAGGTAGAATTTACAATTCACAGCTGATGGATTATATCATCAATTGATGGTGTCTGCTCGAAGATATTTGTGCGGTTGGGAATCTCAAAGAACAAGGATAGAATCAGATACTAGTATCCACTAAACGGAAATTTCCCTGGACCACGACCCCAGAGTAAACTGCGAATTACACATGTTGGTCAACTCCCAGCTCTCCGCACCCATCACAGCCGGCGACCCTGTGTCCTCGAAATCCCCCGCCGCGCCGGCCACAAACATCGCCGCCATGAAGTGGTCATCCGTGGCATGTGCATCACGGTACTGGGGATGCTTCATCAACCGGGTCATCGCGCGCCGCAGTGCCGGTCCAGAAGTCTTGGTGATGACGTCCTCGACCGCCTGGCGGAACTCCAGCGCCCACTCCTCCGGCGGCGTCTCCATGGCGAAGTTATCCCGGAAGCGCATCATGGGCGCCCAGCGGTTGCGGTAGAGGTTGTGGACTGCGCCGCCGGTCCCGATGATGAGGTAGTTCTCGTAGCGGAGAGGCCGCAGTGTCGCGCCGACCTTCATGTGATAGTGCGGATCGTAACGGGCGTTCATGGAGATGATGGTCGTCGGGGGACAGCCATTGGGGAACATGTGGATGAGGATAAGGTAGACGTCGTGGATCCAGTCGAAGGTTGGGTTACCGCTGACGTTGAAGCCTTCCTTGGCTAGCATGTCGATGCAGCGTTGGGCGGTCTCGAGGTCTGGGTTCAGCTTGTAGTTGATGTATTTGTCGGGGTGGACGTAGGCGACGGGCGACTTATCCGGGTTGGGATGGGTTGCGACTTCAATCTTGTCGCCGAGGCAGTCCCAGTGTGCGCCCTGATCAGTCAGTTTTGTCGTCAATGTGGGTGTCTGAAGGCGACTGACCATGATGATTACGCCCTTGATGTTGTGAGCGAGCGCTTCCTCGCCAGTCTTCCTCCAGTAGTCTGCCGACTCGGACTTTTCTCCCAGCATCATGGTCGAGCCATGGGAAAAGAAATGAACCGGTGTGAGGCCTATCTCGTCAGTTATTATTCCGTGAATCCAGTATAGAGAGACTGCATACCCATTTTTGCTGTCTGAGTTGGTTGTGTGCTTGCTATACAGCGATAGTATGAGCAGCCTTTGAGATTTTTGTCAGATATGATCGAATCCAACTACATCAAGAGAGCATCTCGGAATCGATATCTAGCTGCATTATTATCCGGAACCAGCCCATGTCCAGATCTGCCAGCCCCGTTTCCGAACACCTTGGCTGAGAGACTCGTGCCGGCAGTGTTCGGGTATGCGCCTCCACATCCCGACACACCTCCGCATTCTGACTTTGGGGGCTGATGGAGAGTTGGTTGGTGGTTCCAGATGAGGACATCCGAATGACCACGTAATTCTCATCTCCCCATCAGGACTTTCGTGATTATAATCCTATCAATTGCCCCGCGGGATTATGCTGGACGGCCTTTGGAAAGGGAAGTCCTCTGGAGAGTTGATCTGTTTGTGTTGAACTGTCTGTGCCATATCTGCAGCCGGTTGAACGGGGAGATCCTGGAGTTTACTCGGTCATGGATCTTCAGAACGAGGATGTCTCAGAATGAGGAACATAGTCCTGATTCTTCTAAGCTGGGAAATCTGAATTTGATGGTATTGTCATCTGTGATGGGAGCCTCAGTAGTTATGGACCTGTCACTTCAGGAACAAAGTCTGTTCTTTCTGTCAGACAGACAATTCACCGAGATACTAACTTCAAGGACCCAAGGCCCTGGATGAAGCTAAAGCTGACTAGTAACTGGGGAATCTGGACAGTCATTCAGGAGTCAGAACTGTTCGACCTTAGAAAGAGTGTTAGTGGCTCTGGCTCACCGGGGAGAAAAGGCCTCAGGCAAACCACCCCGGTCGGCAGTTCTGCTTCCCCGCATCTTCATCTTCGTCCACCACATTTTCCCTCTTCTCCCTCTTCCTCGTCGCTACTCCCCGCTGTAAATTCGAATTTCTCCTTGTCTATGACGGCATTCGTGTCTCGATTCGATTTCTCTTAAGTAGAGCTCCTTCATAATATTCATGTATCTTCGCCATGACAAGTGACTCCCCACCTGGCATTCTCAACAATTCTCCCCCCAGTTCCTCTCCGCACAGCTCCCTTACCAGGCAGCGCGACGGCTATTTCCAGTGCGGTTCCTGCGAAAAAAGATACAATCGAGCTGACCATCTAATCCGTCATGTCCGATCGCGTCAGTCTTTGTCATATAGACATCTGTCAATGCAACCGGCTAACTCCCCGTAGATACCCGCGAGAAGCCATATGTATGCGACATTTGCAATAAAGGCTTCGCCAGGCCGTGAGTTGTCACTTGCAAATCATGCCTCAACAGAAAGGCACGGTAAATTTGTATCGATCAAAATTGACTCCGTTGCAGGGACCTGATGAAGCGGCACGCGGCCGGTCATATCCACCAACGCGACAGCAAACGAAGGCGTCTCCCCCCATATCCCAAGAATGGTCGTGTGTCGCAGGCCTGTAAGACCTGCGCTGTATCGAAACTGAAGTGTGACGAGGAGAAGCCTTGTCGCCGATGTCGGGAGAAGAATCTGGTCTGCGATTGGGCCCAGGATGGCAGTTCGATCGACGCATCCCCTCAATCACAACGGCAAGGTGTGGGGAGTATTCAGTTGACAGGATTCACAAGCTAATGGAATTTGCAATCTAGGATCCCAGAGTAACCAGGCAACGCCATATCTCCCTGTCGACCCATCACAGGTGCACACCACATTCCCACCCCCGATCGACAGGCAAATAAACCACTATCCGAACCAGATGGTCAGTCCAAATGCGCAGATGCAGATGAACGACTACCTACCCACGGGGCAGTTTAGTTCTGCGCGAACCGGAGGCATGCCGGTGGATTACGAAGGTGCGGCAACCAAGCTCGCGAGCGTCTCAATTGGCTGATGACAATCCAGATCAATCCGGGTCGCCTATGATGGACCGCGAAAGTGGCGTGTTCAGTGTCGACGGCACCTTCTTTCCTAACTTTATCCCAGACTCACTGATACCCTCATTGGCCCGAACGAGTGATCTGGACCCGCCCCCTGTCCTTCCACAGGACTACATCCACAGTGTATTTGACCACAATGTTGACTTCGACTTCGACTTGACCGACGTGGATTACGGACTCATCGACTTTTTCAACTCTCGGGGCACCGTCTATCATAATGCCCACAATACCGACGGAGCCAACGATCGTGGTGATGCGGACAGCGGCATCGCCATCGGTGCCGAGGCATATCATCGGTCATCCTTGTCTGCGTGGAAACCGGCTCACGAAGATCATGCGTTTGCCGACCAGGAAAATCTGTCTGTTCCAGAAGCCATTGACAGCCCCGAGGCCAATTTCAGACCGGACCGTCAGATTCTCTCGGAGCGGCTGTCCCCCAGTGGTCGCGATCTTATTTTTGGCATGGTTCTGCAGACCAGCCAGCGAGCCAATCTAACTCGCATCATGAAATCCTTTCCGAATACACAGCTGCTGGACAGTTTGATCCAATACTATTTCGAGTCCCAAAGTTACCAGATAGACTCCTGGATCCACGGGCCGACCTTTCAGATGAATGACGAGCCCCCTGACATGCTGGCCGCTCTCGCCGCTGCTGGAGCCGCTCGATCAACCATTCCAACGATTCGTAGGTTAGGTTATGCCTTGATGGAAATAGTGCGCCTCCAGATGTCGGTCAAGGTAAGTTGGAATCTCCAACTCCTGGCGCGACAAACCAGCTAAAATAACCAAACGCAGTACGAGAGCGACAATAGCACCACGCGCGATCTGCGCGCCTCGCAAACCTTTGCCTTGACCATCGATGCCGGAATATGGAGTGGCAACGGACGGAGGACGGAGATTGCGGAAAGCTTCCAGCAGCCTTTGGTCACGGTTCGTCACTTTAGAGGGTTTGATGGATACAAGATCACTGACGTCTTTAAATCATAGATGCTGCGACGCGGCTTACGCTTTCGACGCTCGGTCTATTCGAACCTTGCCCCGAACCCCGACGACGATGGAGAGATTCTGGAGAAAAAGTGGCAGGATTGGGCTCATTCCGAATCATTCAACAGGTAATAGTTGCTTGCAGCTTGACCAGATGGTTTACTGATCCCAAACAGACTCGTTCATCACATGTTTCTGCATGATGCCCAGTCGGCGATGATGTTGAACGTAAACCCAATAATCTCGTACTCCGAGCTGGAACTTCCTCTGCCTGCTAGGCGCTCTTTGTGGGAAGCCAAATCGGCCAAAGAGTGGAAGGATGTCTACTTGGCCGGTGGACTGTCCAACCCTGGACGAACCCCCTCGTTGGTTGATACTCTGCAAGACATGTCCCAGTTGTCGGCATTCCAATCACGAATCGATCTTCAACTGTCAACCTTGGTACTCATCCACGGACTCTCTACGTTGATCAGCGAATACCATCGTCACAAATTCATATCAAAAGGCCATTCCAAACATTGGAATGCTTTGGTGATCAATTCACGACATCAAGAGTTGTCGCAAGCACTACAACATCTGCGCATGCTTTGTTTCGAGATGTCTAGCGCCCTCGGGCCCGGCATTGTTTTGGTCTTTGAGCTCATTTCTATGTTCCTCCACATGTCGCTGGAGGAACTGCAGCTGTTCGCAGGCAAGGAGGATAAAAACGAAGCCCGACGAGTGTATCAAAGCGCGCTCGAGTGGATCAGCAGTATTGACTCACGACGGGCGATTTGGCACGCCGGTCAAGTGATACGGGCGGCCAAAGTCATGCCTCCGGGGTCTTTGACTGGGTTCTTTGCTTTGGGAGTCTACTACGCCAGTCTCGCGTTTTGGTCCTACAGTGTTGTATCGAAAGCCAAGGATTCTCAAGCGGTCGTCGGCAGTCCGCCATCGGACCCGCACTTTCGCGGTCCATGGCCGACAGTCTATCTGGACGGTGAAGAAACGACCGATGTGCAAAAGTTCATCTCGTTAGGGTGCGGCTGTCCGGCCTTGCAGACTCCCAGTGGTGCCGCTGTCATCGCCGATCCCGGTCAGATCATGGATGCAGTTCAAGCTCGTCTGCGAGGCGACACTCCCCATGATAATCTACCTCCATTGGTCCAGGGTCTCTGTCAGTTGATGTGCGACTTGGGCAACGCAGCGCGATCCAAGGCGTATGCCTCTACATGAAATTGGTGTTGATGTATTTTTTGGGGTACTTTTTTTCTTTTTGCTTTGGCTGTTTGTAGCACCAGAAATGTACGATACGAGATACCCAAGTGTACACCAAGGCCAAATGATCCGTTTTGCTTTTTTCCTTCTGGCCCCTTGGAAATAGGCCCAATAATAATGATGTGCTCGTGCCGAAAATCTTCGCAGCATCCCACACGGATGGCAAATTGCTTTTCGCCGGGAAATGAACTCGCAATCAATCCCTGAATTAGTGGTCTGACCTCGGGCTCAGCCTCTCAGGCCATGGACTAGATGCCTTGGGCGGGGACTAAGTACTTGGCGCATCCCAGCGTGAGTAGGGATTCGGTCATCCATGAGAAAAATTTTTTTGTTTTGATTTCTGATCCGCTTATCTGATTGATACCCCACCACTGATTGAGGTATTTCCCGAGTCCTCGCAGTTATCTGATGCAACGTTTGCTGCTGGATGAAACAGAGACAAAAGTCATGGTGACAAGTCAGTCTTTCCGCATGCGGACGGCCTCACGTCTACCATCCACCACCAACTTCTCCCCTCTCGATCCCACAACTTTTTCCAATTTCATGAAGTGTTTCGGCTTCATTTTCATCATTTCCATGATTGCCTCATCAGATAAGATGAACACCGCCGACTAAAAGCCGCCAAGACATTGGCACCAAGAGCTGGCCAAACTCTAATAGGCGGTTCTCTGAGCAGCACCAGGGTTCTTAATGCCGGCCTTTTCCCCTCTGACAAGTTTCTTTTCGAGTTCTCGAGGTCCTGTGCCGGTGAAAATCTGGAAATGAACATGGCGACGCACGAATCCCCCGAAAAACCTGCGCCAGATGCCGTTGAATCGCGAGTCCAGACTGACCTCCCCGTTGAACGATTCGGAGGTAGCGGTAGTCCTGGCGTCAGGCGGATCGAGGTGATCTCATCGCAGTTCAGTCTGGTCCATCGCATTTTCTTCTTCTTCGGTGTCTTCCTCATCGCCTATGTCTACGGTTTGGATGGAACAATTCGGTATACTTATCAGGTAATTTACCTTTCGAATTCATCTTCGAGATGTGTATACAGTCATCTAACGATGTTAGCCTCTGGCGACTGCCAATTATGATTCGCACAGTCTGCTGGCGACGGTCAATGTTCTTCGTGCGGTGATTGCTGCGGCTGCTCAGGTATACCAGCCTTCTCTGATCTTTCCGTGATCTTTCTGTCCTCGCATGCTAATTGAAACAGCCTACCGCGGCTAAAATTGCAGATGTCTTTGGAAGAGTGGAGCTCATCCTGCTCTCGATTGTTTTCTATATTATAGGCACGATCGTTGAGGCAGCGTCCAACAACTTGTCCGCTTTCTGTGCTGGTGCTGTGCTTTATCAGGTATTTCGCCTTGATGACCGGCGATGGAACTGCCGCTGACTGGGACAAAGATCGGATATACATCGATCATCTTGTTGGTGGAGGTTCTGATTGCCGACGTTACATCCACGCGGTCTCGACTGCTTTTCTCGTATATTCCTGCATTGCCGTTCATTGTACGATATCCGCCCCAGTTTCAGTGAGAAAAAGCTCACCATGGCAGATTAATACCTGGATCAGCGGCAACGTCACGTCCGCCGTCCTGAAAGTCACTTCGTGGAGATGGGGTATCGGGATGTTCGCCATCATCTACCCCGTCTGCACGATCCCCTTGCTCGTGGTCCTCTTCATGGGCCACTTTAAGGCTAGGCGGTCCAACCCTGACGCCTATCGGTTCTCGCTCTTGGACCAGGGATTCGGCCAACTTGTCATCGACCTGTTCTGGTACTTAGATGTGGTTGGCATTCTGCTCTTGATTGCCTTCCTGGCTCTGATCCTCGTTCCGTTCACGATTGCTGGAGGTGTCCAGACCCAGTGGAAGACGGCCAAAGTTATTGCCCCTCTTGTCATTGGAGTGCTGTGCATCCCAGCCTTCATAATGTGGGAGCGGTGGTGTCCGCATCCGATGGTTCCTTTCAAGGTAGAGTCTCTCCTACTTGGCATACGGAATCTGCTGACAAGGTCTAGTTACTGAAAGATCGAGCGGTTTGGGGTGCGTTGGGAATTGCTATCATGCTCACCACTGGTATGTATACCAAGTCACATCGTACGACTGTTGCTAACATAAACCAGCCTGGACCCTGCAAGGGGATTATCTCTATACTGTCCTCGTTGTGAGCTTTAACGAGAGTATAATGAGTGCCACGCGCATTACCTCGCTTTACAGGTTTGTCCACTTTTCAGCAAGTATTGGGCTTCACTGACCTTCGTAGCTTTGTCTCTGTCATTACAGGAACTATTCTCGGGTTGGTGGTCCTATATGTGAGACGCCTCAAGCCGTTCATCGTCGCGGGCACTTTTCTCTTCATGGCGGCTTTTGGTATCCTGATCCGATTCCGGGGAGGCACAGACGGCTCCAATCATTCAGGGATCATCGGTGGACAGATCCTCCTTGGTGTTGGTAAGTGAGCGCCATCCACGTAAGAAACGGCGTACTGACTTGTCCAGCCGGTGGTCTGTTCCCTTACCCAGCTCAGGCCAGCATTCAAGCCGCGTCCAAGCACCAGCGTAAGTGTAGCCTCGCCAGAAACGCTCACAAAACTAACCACCATAGACCTTGCCGTCATAACTGGCATATTCCTCGCCTCGTACAACGTCGGCAGCGCCATTGGGAACACCATCTCCGGCGCCATCTGGACCCAGGTCCTCCCTGGCGAGCTGGAGAACCGACTTGGCAATGCGACACTGGCCGGAGAGGTCTACGCCGATCCATTCACCTTTGCCACCGCAAACCCCGTCGGCACCCCCGACCGGGACGCCGTCGTGTTGGCCTACAAGCATGCGCAGAGGCTGCTGTGTATCACGGGTATCTGTCTGACTGTGCCCTTGATCGCCTTCTCGCTCTGTATCCGCAACCCGCGTCTGACGAAGGAACAGAGCCTGGAGAAGGCAGAGGAGAGCGACGATAACTGAGGTATTGGCTGAGTGAATGATTATAGAAGATGTCCATAGGGAGTCATTAGACAATGACTCAATGATCTGTGAATATTTCATGACAAAGGCAAAAGGCAATTATCCTTGCCCAAATGAATTGAAAGATTCTTTCATTTTGAGGTATTCACTGAGCCTCAGTCAGGGATAAATACCCCCCAACGCCCACTGCTACCTTCTCAACCATACTGCCATCTCTTCTTATCATCTTAGAATATCCCCTTGGCATATACACAGTCTGTCTTATTTATGCCCCTCCTTTGAACTTATCGTCTAACCAGATTGTATCAACTTCTCATGCTTCAAGCTTAACAAGTCATATTCCCCCATCATTAACACCCTGTATCAATGCACTCCCAATGCCCAGTAATTATGACTCCTACCATCGCGGTCATGAGACTCTCGCGGGCTTGTTCAATGCTATGATTAACGAATAACTTTTCGCAATGGGTGTCTCAAATGCATTTATTCCACGTGCCTCGCCCCTAATTGTTCTGTGTAACTGGGCGAAGGAACCAGATGCCTGCTAGGCGCCTGAGTCGACAGACGATTCCACTTTACTCAGCGTGTTCAAGACAGAGGCTTGATTCGCGTTTCTTACTTGAAGAACAAAATGACGCGGCTTCTGAAGAATACCAAAGCCCATGCACAACGCCTGGCTCCAGTCGAATCTAACTTTGCGGAAGAAGGTCCATAGGTGAGTTTAGTTTCAATATACATGCATGTCAAGGGTATAATATCTGACTGACTCGAATGCACAAAGAGATTCGAAGGCTTAGGCATGCAGCGTCAGTTTGTGAACGGGTTTCGAGGCCATCCGCCAGTGGCTCTAATTTCTCCAAGCGGATCATCTCATCTGAGATCTCCAGGCATACGCATGATCCAAAGCAGAGGATGACTTGTTGAAATAGGTGAGCGAGCCACGCGAGGGGCATAATGTTAAAATATAGTAGCTAACCTAGAGATCTTCAGGTCTCATCAGCCGCAAACGTTAGCAAGAAAGTCACATTCATACTTTCTCCATGCTTAGTATTCTTGAATACTACCACCATACATTCGCTATGAAGGGTTCATCTGTCATAATGGGGCTGGTGTACTACCTCTACAGTGGCGAGGCGAGCATGAATGCGATTCGTCTCATCAGAACCCAACTCAGGGCGACGTACCAGAAACCCCGCCCGAGACATATCAGAGAAGGAACGGCTGGATTCGAAAATTCATCGTCTCATATGGGACAATGGGACTGGTTATGCTGGGATTGACGGAAGAGTATACAACAGGCGGACCCAATCAAAACAGAAACACTCTGAAGGTTCAGTATCGATCGATCAGACCAACTTGTTCGAGGAGGTAGAAAGCTGAGAGTTTGATACGCAGAATCAGAATGAGGACGAAGACGCTGACCCGGCTATCCAGCGATCTAATGATCGGACTTGGATCATGTCCTGGATTCGCGAGAGGTATAATGCTTGGTCGACTAAAGCCCCGAGGCGAAGACAAGACCTGTACCAGACAAAGACCTGGCTGGACCGGGTTTCCCGGCTTTGCGTAACCCTGAGGCTTGAGCAAGACGTCAGCAAATTCCCATGGGGAATTCCAGCGGCCGCACTAAACCACGCTCTTCATGATACTCCCAAGTATAGAACGATCTGTTCTTTAAGGTACAGACAGACATGCTGGCTACTCCTTGCGAGAAGGGCTAAATAATGGTTATGAAGGAGTGGAGTCTGGTCCGTGATGCTTCACAATGGCTACTGCGGTCTGGTGGTCAGCCCAAACTAGTGATCATCAAAATAGACGAGGATAAGCGTCAGTTTAAATGCACTTACGATCAGCTTGTCACCAAATATGGAGATGAGATGTCCCAAGCAATCCATCACATCAAAAGTACCGCAGATGGGATTCAGGATTCCTCGCCTGATTTGTACAAGGCAGTTAGATCTCAAGTTATTGTGTCTGATTAGGTTGGCCCAATCTCTATATATCTAGAGGTTTGGGAGTTGAGAGACAGATAACCTACTTTAAGGGAGCTACACATTGTGAGTCTTACATTGATGAATAAAGGATAGAACTGATTAGGTCGTTAGGATGTTTTTCCAACCCCTGCTAATCTGTGAAACCTTACACTCAAAATCACAGATTTAATTCCCAAAGATCGCCAGACCTTGTTTCCCAACTTCGATGCGGCAAGATTCTGCGCTTTCTGCCCGTTAAAGCATGGTGAAACTGCAATTACTGAGACTCAAAGCATCAAGGATAGTCAAAGTCAACGCATGGGCAACGTTGCATAACTTACCGATCCTAATCTCAAGATTCTGAAACCCTCCGTCAATTGGACTGCTATCAGGGAAGTCCCGAGTTTGTCGCTGGAAATATTTCGTGCCAACGCGACGTCTGAACTCTACGAACCAGCCGGGAATCAGGCCATGGTTTCATTGCACGGCGTCCTCTGAGGAAGATAGGTTCCATATTGGCATACGAGAGTTAGCCAGGTCCATTGCTAAAAGCTCACTGGAGAAGCCGACTCCACGAAAGCGCAAACATAGTCAAGGTAGGGTCACAATCTAAGCATGCTTAGGTTGATGAGATTGCTAATTAGTTAATATAGTGGATGATCAGACTGAGATCAACAGAGTTTACAGCCTTTACTGGACCTGAGAATGGCCTGACGCCTTTCCGTTTCCCTTCATCAAATGACCGACGCGGCACGACGTGCCTATGCTCGAGAGCTGAAAAAGCTATACGAGGAGCTCATAATAGCCATTGTGTATTCGATGGTGGCTCTCAATGTGACGGTCGAACCGTCACCACCTCTGCTCAGACCTTTCTGCCTTTTCCAATTGCTTGCCTATTTGGGTGTTTAGCTTATTTACACTGCTGTATAGCGCTCCTATATCTATCTTTATACCTATACATACTTCCTCCTTCCTCTTCATGCTTAGTATTCTCATGATATGCTACCATACGTTTTATTCCTATGCTGAGCAATTGTCATACTCAATTCTAGTTGCTTTCCAGCACAAGCTCACCTCCGTTCATATCAGTGTCATCAAGAGTATGGACTCTGTGCGTGCTGCCCATCGGTCCACAGATACCATGGGAGAGCCCTACAAACATCCCCTCAACGCTCAGGGCCAGTCGAAGGCGTTGCTTTTGCAGGTTCGCGGTCATGTTATTTATGAGCCGAGCACGTCCTGTTCAAAGCATCCTTTGCCCTTAAGAGCTGCGTTGTTGCTCCGTCTTAAAGGGCAGAGCTCTGCATGATGGCGCATGCGCAAACTGCGTTTGGTCGAACAAGAGATCAAGATTCTCATGAGTCTGTGTCCCACTGGACGCCGGAGCTCCCAGCTAGAAGAGTTAGTCTTGCCCCTCTCGTGGTCTAGTCTCTGCTAACTCCCAACAGTTCGGTAATTTGCAGGGGTGGTCTGCCGTCCGTGGCCAAGTACGTCTCCACAATACAGAGATTAAATTCTCCACAATCACGCGTGGAGAATCTTGTAAACAAGTAGCTCATTAAGCCAACACCCACCACACTTGATTTGGCGAGACAGCAGAGGACATGGATGTAACCTGCCCGCTCTAGCAGGGAGGCTCTTCCCGGGTCCCGCATCGATGCTACAATGATTTGACCACCAATTAGAAAACAACCTACTTAATAACACCAGTCTGCGCCTGGCGGACGGCTATGCCTTGCACGATGCCTGACGTGGTCAGCGTCAGTACTGATTACCCCTCTTCTCCCTTCAACCTAGCCCAAGTCACACGCGTTGTGATATTTTATTTTCTTTTCTCAAGAGAAAAGTAGCTCTTATAAGAAGTGGTATACAGACTTTTCAGCTATTTAGCTACATTGCAACTGACAAAGTCGCGAAAATGAAGGCCCGGGTACTGTCACACAGTGATTATACGGTTGCGTGGATATGCGCCTTACCGATAGAAATGGCGGCTGCGAAAAGTCTGCTCGATGAGATTCATAATCCGCTAGCCCAATCATCGATTGACCGCAATATCTACACGCTTGGTAGTCTCAGCGGACATAACCTAGTGATTGTCTGTCTGCCGTCTGGTGTCCATGGGACGACCTCGGCCACTTCCGTGGTGATTCAGACAATACAACCTTTTCCCTGCATCAGATTCGGGCTAATGGTCGGTGTTGGAGGGGGCGTTCCTGACGAAAGTCATGGTATTCGCCTGGGCGATGTGGTCGTCAGTACGCCAACTGCAGGATCCGGCGGCGTGATTCAGTACGATTATGGAAAAACATACCGGGATGGTTACCTCCAGCGCACCGGTTCTCTCAATAAGCCACCTCAAATTCTGCTGAATGCTACATCTCAGATGCGTTGTGATAGTATGTTGCAGAAGACGAATATTGGAAAGATCGTATCGGATGCCTTACAGGGAAACTTGGCCATTGAAAGATCATTTGTCCGACCAGATAATGATTGGCTTTTTCGCTCAACATATGAGCATCAAGGTAGGGCCGAATATTGCTCATCGTGCGACAAGAGTCAACTGGTGCAGCGTGCGCCACGGGCAAGTAACGAACCGCATATACATTACGGCCTGATTGCGTCGGGTAATCAAGTCATGAAGGATGCTCGAACGCGCGACTCTATTGCCAAAGAGTTGCATGCACTCTGCTTTGAAATGGAAGCGGCTGGGCTTATGGATCAGCTTCCATGTCTGGTGATACGGGGGATCTGTGACTACAGTGATTCTCACAAGCACAAAGAGTGGCAGGGCTATGCAGCTCTTGTGGCAGCCGCTTATACGAAGGCACTCATATCAATTATTCCGCTGGCGAAGGACACCGTACTGCAGGAGCAAGGTATGCGGTTGTTAGCTTGCAGAATCCTCATTAGCTGACCTTTTCATAGTATCCGAACTTACTGAAAAGGAGAAGGAATGCCTAGAAAACCTGTTTATCACCGACCCAGAAGAAGATATGAACGCGTTAAAAAGAAGAAAGGGGAATCGCACCTCAGGAACGTGCAGCTGGTTTTTGGAATCGAACGAACTCAAATCTTGGTTTCGGGGAGCCAAAGGCGTTGACGACGTAGAACGAAACGTCTTGTGGCTTTATGGCAACCCTGGAATTGGCAAGTCCACGATGGCTATAACGCTTGCAGAGGAACTACCGAAGCAAGATTATTTCTCCAATGGAAATAATGTTCTATCTTACTTTTTCTGCGAAGCCAGCTCTGAACACCAGAGAAAGGCGACCTCTATCTTGCGTGGTCTTCTATATCAAATCATCAATCAGTACCCGCCTTTCATAAAACAAATGATGTCAAAATATGACGTTCAGAAAGGACGATTGTTCACGTCGTTCGATGCACTATGGGCCGTATTGATGGAGATAGGGCGAGTACCCGATGGTCCTGAAATATACTGCATCGTCGATGCCTTGGATGAATGTGAAGCTGGATCACAAGAAATACTGCTTCAACAAATTTCCCAACCATTCAGCGAAGCACGGACGACCAGTTTAGTCCCATCCAGTGTGCACATGTTGATCATCAGCCATCCGTATCCCGAACTTGAGGATTGTCTATCCATCTTTAGATGTGTAGACTTAGGCTCATGCAAGGAGATAACCAATGACCTAAAAGCCATGATCCAGAACAAAGTAAAGGAACTTGCGAGGCGAAAAAGGTACCCTAAGTCTGTTGCCCAGGAAGGGTCCCAAATCCTGGAAGAAAAGGCTGATGGGACTTTCCTATGGGTCGGAATTGCCTGTGGGGAATTGAGACTGGTGCAGTCAAGGAACGCAGTTAAGACACTACAGGCTCTCCCACGGGGATTACATTCCTTATATCAAAATCTGCTCGGTGCCGCCGTAACAGCCAGCAATCCGGATGATTATCCCTGTATAAAGGAGATAGATGTTGACGGTTGTCACATTTGCACTACGACCGCTGACGATGCTGGAAATAGCTGAAGCATGTCGATTATATTTGGACGAAGATATGAGTAGTCGTCTTCAGTTTACCCAAGAAATTATCGACTTGTGCCGCTTATTGATTGTTGTCGACAATGGCTACGTGCGACTTTTGCATAGGTCTGTCCAGGACTTTTTAATGATCGAGGTACAAGAAATCAATGCTACCAAATCCAATTATGCACTGTCATGTCGCTGCATTGAGGTCATTCTTCAACATTGCCGGCCAGATATGGATAGGTCAATGTTGGAGCCGAATAACGGATTCCTTGGTTATTCGGTACTGCATTGGCCAGAGCACGCAAGCTTAGCTCAAACCGAATTTACCATTCGAGACGAGCATGAACAGTTCTTCCAAAACGCACGCGGGCTGTGGAGATGCTGGCTGGATGATTATAACTACCTGAAAAAAGAGACTTGGGGCGGTTTGGGTACGGGCCTCTCTGCTATTCATGTTGCAGCTCGCTGGGGAATAATTCCATTGATCTCCTCCCTTGTTCAAGAGAGATTGGAAGACAGAGATGCTCACGGACAATCTCCACTGCTTGTTGCGGCCTAAAATACTCAACTTAAAGCTATGCATCTGTTAGTTAAGTCTGGCGCATATGTGAATTCTCTGAATAATAAGTATTAAAACATCCTTCATATTGTCTGCAACAATAGTTGTTATAATAACTGCAGAATAACCAAATTCCTACTTCACAAAGGAGCCTCCCCATATATCTATGATGAAGTAATATAACTCCATTCCTCTACACAATTAGGAACCTAGATAAAGAACTTGCTCAGGTCTTTCTTCAAAATGGGTTCAACCTAAAAACCAGGATCCAAAGGCAATCATAGCTGGGATGAATGATAGTGAGCATCTTTACATACAAAATGTCTAAGGGTCAGGAAGAGGGGTCTTAAGAGGATCTCAAATCTGGCCTAATAGCACTCTATTTCTCTGCCCTAAATGCATGCACAAAAATGACTGCCTTCTTACTCTAATGTGGGGCCGATCCGAATGCCTGTTCTGATTTTGGAGATACCGCACTACATCTTGTAATTAGGGGCTGACTTCTCGGGCGTAACCATGATGATGTATGGGAGGCTGGTTAATATGCTGTTGAGTCGCACAGGGACCTAATCATGGACTATATAAGTGAGGAAGCTTCTGATATCTACTGAGCCATTGATGAAGCTAGAATATGCATTGTTGAGACGCTCCTTAAGAGCAAAACTATTGATGTCAACATGGCAAATAATAAAGGGGAATATCCTTAGCATGTGATTGGCTTTCATCAAGATTACGCGTTGTCTATCCTAGATAAACTTGTGGTAAAAGGAGCGGATACTTCTTGACTGAACCGGGCTTGACAGATGTGTCTCCATCTTGCCAGCAAGGCAGGGAACTTAGAGGTGGTTTGCAAACTTGTAGGAGAAGGTCATGATATCCTGTTGCAGGACGTCGACGGGTTGAGCCCGTTTCATTATGCGCTGCATGGCGGTCGATTAGATGTCTTGCATTTCATGTCAGAGACCTGCAATAGAGCGCTTTCGGGGGTTTGGCATTCGCTTGACCACTTCGGCAAAACCCCGTTGCACCATCATGTCTCGTCCGACTTATGCTCAGCCGAAGTGATTGATTTTCTGGTGCAGCTTGGTTGCGACGTCAATGAATCTGATACAGAGGGAAACTCTTCCCTAGGTCTGTACATGGGCTCGTCTCACCTATTAGTTCAAAGAGACATATTTTTTCTCCTCGTCCAGAAAGGTGCTGATCCGCTATGGGTCAATGGGTACGGACAAAATTTGGCGCATCTTCTCATGCATTACAGGGGAGCAGATAATACGATCCTTGAATTTTTGTTCGATATTGACTTGGATCCAGGAGCCAGAGATCTTGACGGGAAAACATTTATGCACCATGGAGAGACTCACGGCGCGTTCACCAAGGAACTTGTAGAGTTTCTTCGTCGTAGAGGTGTCTTGGACCTGCATGCCACAGACTCATTCGGCAAGACTCCCCTCAACTACGCGGAAGAACAGGCTCATCGTGAAGTACCGGAAGATATCCTCTGGCGTCTCGACCGACGAAGGGAAGAATCATTCAAGAATCTGAATACAATAACCCCTTTGGAATTCTGAGGACTAAGGACAGTTGCGGTATTTATTACTGGCTGCCGCGATGTTGGAAAGCTACAGTTGAGGTAGATTATTCTAGGTTACACATATATACATCGGCAAATTGTTCATTCAACGACTTTCTCTTGCCCGCAGATTATATCGCGACTTCTTCACCTAATTCGTCAGTGATGGAAAGTTTAAAACCATCATCGGTTCCTCGGTGCAGAATGTTGACTGTGGTTTTCAGGGCTTCCTTAGTGTGTTGTGCATTTCCAGAACTCCCTAGAGCGTGTATGTATTGCGTTCGCACGAATACTCCCAATTATATCAAAGTCTCGTCGGGCGAGGGATAGTTTCGGTGGGAGGAATTGTTGGTCTTAGATGACTGGGCGTATCATATCACCGTCAATAGGGGCAAGAGATGAATTCTAATGCTTCTCTCTATTGGACAACTAGGGCTTTTAACCTGCGCAGCCAAAGTACTATCGCGTCCGCCGAGGTAATGCCATGGCTATACAGAAGGGCCATTGGTCTATCATTTGCTTGAGAAGGATAGATTATGCAAACCTGAGCATGAGACGGAGAGGATAACTCTCCGCACAACATCCAAAGGGTGTGCCATCCTTCCCACGCTTGCGAATGGATGGTGACCAGGCTTGCGACCAAACACTCAGTCTAAAGTGCTCGGTTGAAATCACCGAGAATCTTGCCCGTATTGAAAAGTAGTTTACTTCGGTCGAATTCTCGGCTCTTGGGTAAGCAGTGATATAGGTCCGTCTCTCGTCGCCAGTCACTGTTACACAGGTCTGTGATTGGAAAGAGGTCTTTATTCAATCGCAGTAAGGGCCCCTGCAAGGGATACTAGGTTGTCCCAAAACACCAACCGATTCGTTGCTTTCGGCCTGCCGACTGAATGGAGTTGTCCGATGACACAATTCAGCCTCAGCATCATCGTCGCAATGGTCTCCAAGGTGCATCACAGGAAGTGACTTAGCGGGCACATCGCTGGTTTCGCGGGCATTAGCTTACTCGCTCTCACTGGCAGGCAGATCCTCCAGCACATGGTCTAGTATTAACATTAAGATTAAATGTTCTTGTATGCAGATAATTTGCGTAGGATCTGTCTGAAGATTTTTTCAGGAAAGATACTCAGACGCTCTACTTGATCCTTGCACTGCTCAACAATAAGGGATTCCGTATCGTCTGAGATAGCCAAGGCTGCAGAACTTGGGAAAGGCAAGGACAGCAGTGCAGTCACACTACCTGAATCAAACCAGGCCAGCATTAACGTGGATAATAGTGATCCAAGCACTGTGAAAGCAACTGACTCGGAAAATGAGCATAACTATGCTGTTGGATAATCCTAGTTACCCCATCGCACCACGCGGAGGCAATAGAAGAGCTAACATATTGCGGTTTGGTCCAAAGATCCAAGGCACATGGATGTCTAAAACCCGGAGAATCAACAGGATTTTACAGAGTTGGCTCCCCACACTCCCTGCAGATCTAGATTGAGCATGCCAGTGGTTCAAAGAACCTTAAATACCACCTAAAGTGGCTTACGTCCGTTGCCATGGCGCCAACGCTAATGTGGGATGTGGGTTTGCAGTCAGCCTGATCTGACGCAACCAACGGACATAGGTACTATCACTGAAGTATTTAGTGAAAGATTTGTAGGTTCTCATTGTTGAACGTTGTTTGATGTTCAATGCTGCCCGACGATGAGAAGATCAATGAGCCTAGCCTACTATCGGCAGATCTTCCCCTTTCCAGCGGCTGCAAGAATTCAAGCTGGCTATTCTCTCCGCCCCCAAGGAAACAAAATGCCTCCTGTGTGGAACACAATTGTTACTTCACTAAGATATTTCTCAACCAAACGGACTGATATCGCAGCAGACACAGTAGAAAGACCTCGGACATTGCCTACGGTTGGTTTTCCAACTATTCAGTCTAATCAACTCCTTGAGGAAGAAGAGTTGCCTGATTACAAATCTGATCGGTTCTACCCCGTTCAACTAGGGGAAATTTTTCGAGGACGCTATCAAGCGATTGCGAAGCTTGGTTTTGGTACTTCGTCGACGACCTGGCTTGTCCGAGATCTGAGGTAAGCAAGTTTTACGTGTTAACTATCCTATTGATCTAACATTTGCAGGGACTGCCAGTATGTTGCGCTGAAGATTTATGTCCATACCTCATTAGTCCACCGCGAACTTCCTTTTTACCATCATATCGCGCCCCGAATGGAGAATAGCTCACCCGAAAGGCGAGTCAATATTCGGAAATTATTGGACTCTTTTGAACTTGCTGGTCCATGTGGTACGCACATCGCCCTTGTTTTTGAAGCCGCGCAGATGAGCTTGCGAGATATGAAATCAGTGTTCCGGCCGGATGGTTTTGACGAAGACTTCGTCAGGGGCGCCATTTTTGAGCTCCTTAAGGTTTTGGATTTCTTGCATACCTATGGAGATACTGTGCACACTGGTATTATCCTACGGTTATGTAATCTTTGTTGTGACTCCTCTGACGTTTCGCAGATGTGCATCCAGGCAATATGCTGTTAGGAGCATACGACAACAATATATTCAAGAAGCTCGAAGAAAAGGAATTCGCATCTCCCGTACCTCGGAAGCAGGACTCATCCGGGAGAACCATCTACCTCTCACGACTCATGCTCCCCACCGAAGGCCCCATGCTACTCTCCGACTTTGGTGAGGCTAGAATTGGGCAAGGGCCTCATGGCGGCGATATAATGCCTTTGGAATATCGGGCCCCTGAAACATTATTATACGTGGGCTGGAGCTTTCCTGTTGATATATGGAGTGTTGGTCTTACGGTAGGCGTCGTATCCATTTTCTTAAATCAATTAGTCAGGTGCTAACGAAGTTTTGGAAAAAGGCTTGGGACCTTCTAGAGCCGAAGAAACTCTTTACTGCACGGGACGAGGATGGGGATCTTTATGATGCTGCGCATATCGCGCAGCTTATTGCAGCACTAGGACCACCACCGGCTGAGTTTCTAGCCCGAAACCCGGAAAGAAAAGCTGATTTTTGGAACGAAAAAGGTATATTTCTTCAATAAGGATATATATGACCTGACATCTATTGGATTCTCTAATAAACATTGCCATAGGTGAATGGCTGGGTCTTGCCCCCATCCCATACGACCGGACAATGGAAGCCCTCGAGAGTCGACTAGATGATAAATCAGGCTTCCTCCGATTTATTCGAAGAACCTTGACCTGGCTGCCTGGAAATAGAGCAACTGCTAAGGAGCTCTTACAGGATCCTTGGTTGACGGGCGGAAAGGCGTGAATTACCACAGATCTAATTATAGGTTAGATTGGACTCGAATAAACAAGAGTTCACAAATGATCTGGCAAAGTGTGAGAAGGCCGGCCGCCATTCATAGCAGAAGTATTATATTTAGGGGGGCGGAAGCATAGAGCCAAAAAGAAAATGCAAACGTTCGTGGCAGAGACAGGTAATGGGAAACTAAATCTTCCCTTGTCGGCAATGTCGGCAATGCAGAGGAAAGTCGAAGACCCATGAGAGCTCATTTGCCTGATTGCTGCATCTCCCGCTCTTGGAGGTTTTGGACTGTTCGATGACTAAATGTATCATATCGGGGTCGATTTTAACCTCCACACCCAAAATTGCGTCCGTCTAGGTGATACAATGGCTAGTTAGGAAGCGCCATTAGGCCATCATTCTCTTGAGATGCATCTTCTGTATACTTGAGTTAAGCACCGGTTTCTTCCAGGAGTGTTCTGAGATCAATCCTGTTAACTATGCTTGTCGATTAGCAACATCGTGCCGTTCTTGGAATTGCGGCTAGGATACCAGAACATTTCCCGAACTACGGCACAGGAAGTGCGTGCATGGACACCCAGTGAGGCTTTGATCTGACACAGCTCGGCTAGGAAAGTGTTCGGAAATATCCGGAATTTTCGTCCTGCCGAGTATGGTCTTCGTTTTTCCTGGATTATCAGCGGAGGTGAACTGCCATGTATCAGTCGGGGATTAGACCATGTCGAGGAGCGAGTAAGTTTACACATCCAGTCTTGAGATAGTTGCAAGATTCCTGGTTTGACGTGTGCACCTTACTATTTCCCTGCGCCAGCAAGGGGCCTTCAAGCGCGACACCCGGATTCTCAATCACTGAGCTGCGTGGGTGTATCTAGTTTCCATCCTCTTCCACTTCCTTTTTGTCGCTCAAACCTATAAGAATCTTAAATTCCTGGCCACTTCAATATGGATCGGAAGCCTGAATAGAAAGGAACAACCAGTTCTTCAGCTCCACCTAGTCTGAATCCATCGCCTTCCAGTCCAGGTACCCCGGTGCTGCCTTCATCTGCTCCATCAATGTAATGTCTGCCTTCTGTTTCTCCTCCTCCTCTAGATCCTCCCTTGTCTCCACTTCCTCCAGAACCTTTATGTCAATTGATTTCTCCCTGTCATCGGAGATCTTCTTCAAAATCTCATCCAGAGTCGTTGGCTTGAGGATCTCAAGAATCGACCAGGCCATATCATCCATGAAATAGTACCGCCCCCCAGCTGATACCAAACCGTAGTGTTCTCCTGAATCTGGGGTGGTGCATATAATGGCTACTGGATTTTCAAGGCCACAGCGCTTTGCAATTTTGGCCCATTCTCCCTTAATAAAATATGACATGGAGTCAGGGTCTGTAGTCCATCCTGTAGGGGCCTGTGGGAGCTAGATTCTATTAGACTGATAGCATAGATCTAGGAAAATTAGACCATAACTTACAGGTGGAGAGCTGCTCATGGCTGTGAGGTAATAGTAAGATAATCTTAGTTATTTGAGACAGAGGCGAAGAGGATATATGGTTTGTGATGGGTTGAATCAAACAATATAGACAGTGACGCGGTGCCTAGCCTAGGGAGCCCGGCGGTTCCGGGTCGGTCCAGGGGGCATCAGTTAAACCGCTAGAAACCGCTTTGCTAATAGCATTTTGGAAGCACAATAAGTGAGTTCATCCAGTCAATACCGGCTATCCATGCTACCCAGATGCTACCAGCCTTCCTAGTCAGGCTCAAAACGGGTTCAGTTACTTCTAGTAACAGCGCTTCGGACACTTCCCAGCAGGGACTGGTGTTGGCTGATAGCAACCAGACAAGTCGCGGATGGACTCTTTTCAATTGCTTTCCATATCTACTTTACAATACAACGTTCTCGATGGCCAGTTGCATGATATCCAAGCCAGGAGGTTGAACCGATATGCTGCATCCAATCTTCCACGCGCTTTGAGCATCTGTCCTGTCAGCCAAAAAGAGTACCGCCAGCGCAGCAGTGCTATCACAAGCAGCTGAAGCAAGATATTACCTGGTCCTCTTCTGTATCGTTAGTACACTTTGGTTTATCAATCCGGGGACGTCCACGCCTTTTGTGGTCTCCTGTTAGAACATGAAGCAGACTCTGAAACCGCCCTCAGACCTATAGTTGTATTAATGTATGATTGTAGAGGAACGAATTATCATATCCCAAAGATATCTACGCAATGAACGCAGGACGACCGACTACTCCCCCTTGACACAAATCACCTCCCCCGACAGCACCGAGAACCACGCATCCTCCTCAGCGCCCCAGCTCCTCCACGCCCGCGCCACTTGCAGGTACGTCGCCCGCCACGCCTCCATCCCCGCCGTCTCAGGGTACCACACGAACCCGGCGTAGTCCGACTCCCGCGCCGCGACGAGGCCGCCCACCTTCGCGACGCGCCGCATCTCCCGCAGGATGTGCACGGGGTCCCGCACGTGCTGCAGCACCTGGTGGCAGAGGACGAGGTCGAAGGTCCCGTCCGCGAAGGGCAGGGCGTTGGCGTCCCCCGCGACGAAGTCGATGTTGGTGAGGGAGTGCGAGGCGGCGAGGGCGCGCGCCTGCGGGAGGACTTCGGGCGCGCGCTCGAGGCCCGTGATGTGGCCGTTGGGAACCAGCCGCGCCAGATCGACGGTTATGGTTCCGGGGCCGCAGCCGACGTCCAGGATGCGCATGTCTGGGCGGAGGTGCGGGAGGAGGTAGGCTGCCGAGTTGGCGGCGGTGCGCCAGGTGTGGGAGCGGAGGACGGAGGCGTGGTGGCCGTGGGTGTAGGTTGCTGATTCGGATTTCATTTTATGGATATGAGAGATGGTTGGAAATGTTTATAGAGGGGAAGTAAAAGGGTGGTTTTGGGGTGTTTTGTTGGAGATCTTATAGTGCGGAGATGTATCTAACCGCTCCGACATCGGACATCTCAGTGAGATCATGAGGAGGACCAACGATCAAGGAATGAGTCATCTATCATCTATTCTATGATGGCTCTATCTCTAATCATCAATACAGGCTGTATATATACACGTAAATAAAAAAATTAGAGCTTGCTCTTCGGTGCGTTCTTCAGCACCGCCTCGTTCCACGGATACGGATCAAACACCAGATCGTTCACGGGGTTCTGGCTGGCCCGGTTGAACAGATCTGGGTACACGTCACCGTCATAGCGACCCAGACTGCTGTCCAGCTGCCAGTCGGGGATCTTCCAGGCATCCACCAGGCGCACCGCATGAGGTCGGATCTCATCCAGCAGCTTCATGACCGCGTTGGTCCGGGTCAGTGTGATCTGGCGGACCGTCACGGCGCCGGACGAGAAGAACTCGGCCGCCTCGCGCTCCAGCGTGTGCAGAGCGTACAGGCGGAAAAGGTTGTGCATGGTCTTGGTCGTCTCCGGACCGAGACTGGCGGCCAGCTCGGGCGACGACACCGCCTCGTAGAAGTTCTTGACCACCAGGTACTGGGAGTGGGCAGTGGACAGACGCCAAAAGTCGACCAGCAGGCTGTTCCAGGACCGCTTCTCGAGATCCCGGTGCTTGAGAGCCTCAAAGGTGAGGTGCGCCGTGCGCCAGGCGAACGCGGCCACAATGTCGCTGTCCACCTCGAGGATGTCGAACGAGGCACCCTTGTCGCGACGGGCAAGGTACGCCTGGAGGATCTGGCTGGTGTCGTTGCCGGTCCCCTTGCCGGCAAGCACCGCACGAGCGGATTTGAGGAGCTAACCAGTTAGCATTCTCCTGACGCAAGCGGCGGAAGAAAACTTACGTATCTGGCAACCTGCTGGGTGAGCATGTAGTTGTCACCCTCCCAGGTCAGAGTGGGAAGATAGTCGGAATAGTATGGTCCAATACCGCTGTAGCTGCTGTATCCGTGACCACCACAGGCGCGACGACAGATCTCCAAACCTTCTCCGGCGGTGGTACTGGCCAGCGCCTTCAGACCACAGGAGGTAGCGTGAAGGTCGGCCAGCAGATCCGACCCGGCTCGGAGGGCCTCGGGAGCCGCACCCCGCTTGTCTTGTCCGGCCTCGGCGGCGGCGCGCTTGTTCTGGTTCTCCTCGTACAGACGCATCATGCCCCGGCCGGTAAAGTGCAAGGCATACATCGCAGCCAACAGAGGCAGCAGACGAATCTGCACCATCTTGTAGTTAAGCACCTGGGTCTCGCCCGCGTCCGCCTTGGCGTCACGGTCCTGGAACTGTCTGCGGACAGCACAGTAGCGAGTGGCGATGGTGACACCGCGGGCCAGCACGGAACCGGCCTGGAGGACGATGTTGGAGCGCACCCAGGTCATGGTACCAAACACCAGAGACGGTGAGGCGGGCCGCACATACTTATTCGTCTCCTTGTCTACGCGGGAGAAGCGGGCAAGCATGTTGATGTGAGGGATTTTGACATTGTTGAAGAGGAGGAAACCATTGTCCATGGTGCTTTGAAAGTCAGCAAGATACAGGTATTTGAGGTGCAATGCTCACTTGTAACCAAACTTGGGTCCAATGTCACCAACGTAAATATTCTCCAGTGGCTGGTGGGTTTCGAGATCGCGGACTTGGACGATGAAGGGGTGAGGACCGTAGTTCTTGCCAGCAATGAACAACTGCGCCATCACCACCGCATGGTTGGCAGTGCGTCCGAGAGATCCGATCCACCACTTGGATGCCGTCAGAGCGGGCGAGTGGATGGTGAACGTCTTGTCCTCCGGGTTCCATGTGGCGGTGGTCTCCAGACCACGCACATTCGATCCGTGTCCCAACTCTGTCTGTGCGTAGCAACCGATGATCTGATACTTCTCGGCGGGTTCGAGGAAGAGCTTCTTTTGTTCGGGGGTGCATTGTTCGCGGAGTGTTACCTGCAACACGACGATCATTAGCGCATGGCCCTGCTTAATCGCGCGGAGCGCAACGTACCAAAAACATGCTCGCATGGAGGCCGTAAGGAGTAGGCTCTCCGATCATCTCACTGGCAAAGTGATAATCCTCCGTCGACCAGTTGTATTTCTCCTTCAACTGCTGCAGTCGCTTACCCTTGGCCAATGCCCGCTGGATCCGCTCCGAACGACCCTGGGAGTGCATCTGAGACTTGTCGAAGACCTTCTCGGACGAGAGAAGCTCAAGAAAGCGCTGCTGCTTCTCCAGGGAGGCTTTGGTATGTAGGAACTCTGCAAGCTTGTCGACCTCGACATCGGACTGGGCACGCTCCTGCTTGAGCAGGTCGGTGCCCTGTGGGCTCGAAGGCGTGAGAGCCTTGACCCAGTCTGGAGGAGGGGAAGGCATTGTGGATGTGTTGTATACAGAACAATGGGGAAGGGTAGGGTAAATTGGACAAAATGAAGCAGTAAATGAAAGAAGATGGACGATGACCCTTATAAACTTGTCTTTCTCCACGGGGAAGTGGACGGGGGGGCAGAAGAATGAAATCACCTCGGCCTGGGGACGTGGAATATCGAGGGCCGCGTTTCCCGATGAGGAATCAACCTCGGCTCAGGCGGTGTTGGTGGCCTGGATGCCTGAAGAGCATCAGCTGATCTCCAGATCGTCTTCCGATCGAACTGCAGAGTGCCGTAACCTCTGAAGGGGAATAATAGAGTTATTTCGGCGGCGAAAGAAAAGTTATCGGAGCTGAAGGTAATCTACGGCACCGAGACAGATCGAATGACCAGGATTGGCAAGATCAGCCCGGTGCCGGCGTGCAGGGATTCTCAAGCCTCATCGGCAATACTGAGCAGCTCTCTATTCCGTTTATGATGAGTGATCGGTCTCGGTCATCGGTAATTGGGAGTCAACGTGATGCGATGACTCAATGAGATGAGATGAGATGAGATGAAGATGCTTCGGTTCTTATTTGATGATCTCTTGTTCTTCTGCGTTATGTTGCCAGTTGACTCTCGCATTGTGACGCGTGTTTTCCCGGGAAACTCTATGCCTGGTCATTCAGGCAACAACAGGCTTGGCATGTGTGCCTCTTATATAGCCCAACACCTTTCTCCTGGTATTCGGATTATCCCGTACTTCCTTTTGAACTGCATACAAGCAATTCCAGGGAGCACATGCCAGGGGTCAGATTCACATGATCTCCAGATCGATGTGGCTATCCACTTGGTTGAGAGAATCCTTTTCGTGGAATCGCGATCGGTCAGCGGAATCCACAATCACATGTCACAACACTCATATCAACAGGATAGGAATCACTAAAATTCGATGACTTCCCCTTTTTATTTCGTCTTGTAGATTACAGCTAATGGGATACAGCTACTGCGGATAATTACCGACAGCTTCAACATTCTTGTTCTCGAGTCTGGGCCTGTGTGCTCGTCCAATAACATCATGGCAAGACTCCAGGATCAGTGGCGTCAGCTCGAATCACCACAAGCTAAAGGATGTTGTCCCCTCTGGCGACAATTGAAAGCTAACCTCGTCCTTTGCTCATGTTTGAGGAAACAAAGTTCGGATCGCACTTGTTGAGCTGGCTCAGATCAACCATGGCACCATCATGACCAGGTAAGCATCAAGAATTGAGACAGCTTGCAGTTACTTTTGCTGTGCTTCTCATGATGTGGGCTTCATAAGACTCTGGCTGGTTTGTTTGTCGCGTAAAGGAAATATGAATCATATACATGGTGCTTGTAGCCCATGGTGAGATGTCCCATGGGGCGCTGCCAGAGGTATGGTATATACTTAACGAGAGAACACACTATGGCTCATCAACGCCCTGTCTCAAGGTATATTTGTCGATGCCAGAGTCGATCCATGCATAATATGATTGAAAATACCAATTTGTGGTCTACAATCGACAATTCATACAAGTCTCGTGGCAATCTGATACCATTGCTAATGGGAGCTAGCGAGATTCATTGACTACCAGATCAAAAGGAAGTACGCCGTATGGCAGCACAGAAGGGCACAACCACATTGAACAACCTTATCTATAATCTATCGGCTAAATCATATGTGGCTAAATGCATTTAGCCCAGATCTGACAGTTGATCCTCGTGGATTGACCCTGGACTGAATTTCTCCACCAATCATCAGAAAATCACCATCAACCTCCGCTATAAAAACAATCACCCCGCAATACCTCGCTGTCTACCCCATCACCATCAGTTCCAATGAATTGCCCATCAGAAAACACATCACAGTAGCGTAGGTAATGTACAACAACCCCATCATCCCCGGTTTCAACCCGGACCCTTCCATCATCCGCGTCAACCACGACTACTTCCTCGTCACCTCCTCCTTCGAGTACTTCCCCGGCGCGCCAATCTACCACAGCACCGATCTAATCCGCTGGACATTGATCGGCCATGCCCTGACGAAACCCAGCCAGTTGCAGATCCACACCCCCGAACCGGGGGGCGGGATCTGGGCAACAACACTGCGCCACCACAAGGGGACATTCTACATCATCGCCGCCAGCTTCGAGCGGTACCGTCCGCAGCAGGACGACCGGGTCTGGCCGCGAGGATTCTACGCCAAGACGGAGGATATCTGGGATTCGGACTCGTGGTCTGATCCCGTGTATTTCGACCAGGTCGGGTTCGACCAGGATGTAAGCTCGTCACCCGGCACCCGGACGAACTTGGACTGACGGAGTAGCTCTTCTGGGACGACGATGGAACCGTGTACCTCTCGTCGACGTACCGCAAGCTCACGCGCACCCCGGACGCAAATCTCAAGGATTTCGCAATCCACATCGCAACAGTCGATCTCGAGACGGGCAACTCCACCTCCGAGCCGAAACTGATCCGCGAGTCGGCCTCGGGCGTGTCTGAGGGCTCGCATATCTTCAAGCGCGGGAAATACTACTATCTCTTCACGGCGGAGGGGGGCACCGAGAGCGGGCACTGCGAGTGGGTTTGTCGGAGCGATGTCAGTCCGTTTGGTCCGTGGGAGGTCGGGCCGCGCAATCCCCTGTGGCGGAATGGGGTGGACGACGAGGTGCAGAATACCGGGCATGCGGATCTCGTCGAGGACGCGGAGGGGAACTGGTGGGCGGTTTTTCTCGGGGTGAGGCCGGCTTGGAAGGATGGGGGCTGGGAGGAGTCGGTTTTTGGTAGGTCGAGGCAATTGCTATTGAGGGTAGTGATGGGTGTGGCTGATGAAGTAGGTCGTGAGACGTTCCTCGTTCCCATGGAATGGAAGGACGATTGGCCTGTTATCAATGGCGGGCAGAAGATTACTCTCAAGTCTGATGGACCGGGGCTTTACGAGTTTGAGCCGCCGGTGGCTTGGAGGGATGATTTTTGCAGTCCCAAATTACAGCTGGGCTGGTATAGGAAGAGTACACGCTCGCAGTCCCGTCATAGTTGAGTCTGCTAACGAGGACAGATACACCCGTGAAAACCGACTATTCTCTGACGGAGCGTCCCCACCATCTGCGTCTACACGGGGGCCCATACGACCTATCCTCACCGGCATGCCCGACTCTCTTCCTGAGGAAGCAATCCTCTCGCCACTGCACCTGGGAGACACGGCTCTCCTTTCACCCCTCTTCCGTCAACGTAGAAGCCGGCACGGTGGTCTACTGGAACTACTTCACTCACAGCTCCGTAGGCGTCCGGTTATCCCCGGAAGGGAAACGTATTGTACGCTTTCGACCGGCGGAAGGCGAGGTCGTTGACCGGGAGTTGGGCCATAGCTCCGATATCGTCTTCCTGATTGAATGCGGAGACGGGTATCGGTTCGGATTCAAGGAGGTCAGCGAGGCAGCCGAATGTTCGACACAGTGGATTGGGGAGGTTTCGAATAGCGTCATGACCCGAGCGCCTCCTGTCGGGGCACCATTCACGGGCATGATGCTGGGATTGTATAGTTATGGCGAGTTGCAAAAGTGTCTCACCCCGGCTGATTTCCATTATGCTGAGTTTCGGTGATGTTGCATCTGTACATTCTATACGTAGTAAGCTCTTTTTGTCTGCCAATGGTAGTCTAATTGCACTTTCTCGATTCTTCCTGCTGTTCGTTCAACTTAGTCAACAGGAATCAGCAGAGATCTGTCAGGTATATATACAATTGAAATGCCTATCCTTTCCCCGTCTGCTCCAAGCCAAAGACCTGAATCAGAGACAGAATCGGAATCTCGGGTCGTCGTCGCCCATATTGTTCACAACACTTGCATCCAAACTCAACCGATAGTCACGCTTGCCTTCATCCCGTTTTCTGTTCTCGATCAAGACCCCAGCGGCAAACACGGTGCTCATTATCCCGCAGAGCACCATCATTGCCAGAGACACGCCGTATCCGACGAAATACCGAGGTGCGAAACCCGAGTTGAAGATGTTGCTCGCGATGATGCCTCCGATGTTACCAAACCCAATCTGGATGGCAAGGCCTATGGCACGCTTGTAGTGACCACCCAGGTTGTTCGCCATCCAAACGATCGCCACCGGCTGGACGATATAACAGCCCGTCGTTACGAAGAAGACCGCCATATACCGCACATGCACGTTCAGTCCCCCGTACTGATGGGGAGGTCCCTGGCAGAGCAAGATGATATAGCCGATGCTGGCGAAGAGGACTCCGAACATAATGAAGCCATAGCGATGCTGCACGCGGTCCGTCAGGTATGAAACGATCAAAGTGACAGCCGCGGCGACGGCCCAGATCGGGATACTGTGGATCTGACTGTCGATGCCAGAGTATCCGAGGGAGTTCACTATCGAGGGGATGAACAGCGAGGTCGCGTATCCTGAGACGGTGATGCTGATGTAGATCAAACTGCCGACGTAGATCTTCCAGTCGGACATGATCCTCCGCCACGCGGCGCCGTCAAGTCGATCCATCCTTGCCCCTTCGCATCCACCAACATCACGGGCATGGCGTTCCTTGAGCAAGGTCTTCTCCTCGCCGCTGAGGAATCTAGCTTGCTCCGGCCAATCGGCGATCAGAAACTTGGCAGGGAGAGCCGAGACAATCGACAGCAGGCCTTCGATGATGAAGATCCACCGCCACCCAGAGTAGCCTCCCAAGCCATGCATATGATAGAGAGCATATGCCAACAGGCCTCCAAAGGCACCGGCAACTAGACCAGCCACCCAGAGAAGCGAGAACCGCTTCTGGAAGTCATGCCGTCTGTAGTACATAGACATCAGGTATGCGCAGCCGGGCACAAAGCCTCCCTCACAGAGACCCATGAAGAAGCGACATGCGACCAGACCAGCTTTATTCTTCACCAGGCCCTGGCACATACATGTTATGCCTGAAGTGTATTAGACACATGTCCACCCATGCAAGCAGCGCAAGACACAAGGCCAGGAGCAAGGGCTGGAAGATGCTTACCCCAGAAAAAGGTCAACACACTGATCCAGGTTGACGGCGCGACCCGCTTAAGAATAATATTACTCGGGATATCAGCGACGATATACGGGACGAAGAAGATCTGCATCGCAAGCGCCATATCCTTCCCATCCATTTTCAACTCCTTGAGAATCCCCAACACCGCCACATTGCCCAGGTTAATTCGGTCCAGGAAGCCGAAAACGAAGATCACCCAGAGGGGCACCATGAGATGCAGGTCAATCTTGCGCAGAAGCGCCCTCTCTCGCTTCTCATCGATCGCGGTCTCGGGGGCCCCGGTTTCCAGGCTACTGCCGGCATGGCTGATATCGTGCCTGGGTTGCTTTTCCATCGCGTCCAAAGCCATTTTGTTCCTGGTTGAATTGCGGAATTGGGAAACGAATGCGTCGAGATGGGACTTCGTGGACACGGGGAAGCGCAAAAGGACTGTTTAAACCTCACAGCATAGCATGGCCACGCCGGACGGAGCCTGCTACTCCAACAGGAATGTGGGATGAGAGGAGATAACTACCCCAATACCCCTGCTAGGGGACATTGGTTAAATAGACATCAATGTAACGTTAATAACACGAGCAACCGAGATAAAATGGCCAAGTCCAAGCGGACTTGTATCCCCTCACGGCACTGATCCCTGCACATGGTCGGACCGGGCTCAACATCGAGTCGTGCTAGACTGGATATCTCCTCCAAGTCTCGCAATCGCATGGATGATACATGACTAGTGAGATACTAAAGTTCTAGGCCAGCGGGATCCGGACGGCCCACGGACGTGCCCTGTAATCTGTACAGAGTCATCTCCATTGTGGACAAGCAATACGCCCCGGGCAGTCGGTGGCACGTATCGACCACGCCATTGTATTAGCTAGCACAAATAATGAGATTACCATCGATGATCAATTGGTCCTTGGTCACTCACGTCCGCGGAAAGCATCGGGTTATTGGACGAACGATGCAGCGCTAGAGATAGTCCCTGGCTAGTTTATTGAAACCGACATGGGTTGAGTCGATATCATTAAGCTATGACAAATCCAGCAACCGAAGAGACTGCAACCTCAATTTATCAGTTTCGGCCATGCATGAATCCCTGCTAGGACATGGAAAATTTTCTCCCTGCCCCTGCCACCGCGGGATCTCATCCCAGCGAACGGGTGGTGTATGAGCATGTGGTGGACAATTGCTGCGGTTCATTGGCTGCTCAATTGTCACAATCAGAGCCAGAAGACAGGGATATAGAGTATTCAGCTAGAGCCAACTTGTCGATGGGAAATTGAGCGATGGCATTGTCTCTCTGTCTCAATCTCAAATCACTGTGACGCCAGAGGGACAGTTGGGTGACTTGGGTCTGAACTGATCCCTGCCTCTGCTCATGAACTCCCTCTGGCATTTATGTCCAAGTCATTCCCTGCCACCTGGCGCCGAGCCGTGATGCGCGATATGTTTCTTGGTGCATCGCTACGGAGTCGGTGCCGTACCCTCGCAGGCCATGCCTCTGTTTAGCCACTATGGGGATCACCCGGACAGCTCTGCTCGGCTGTCCTATCCGTCGCTGGTCTTTGCCATCGTCACTCCTCTCGTGGTGATCGCAAGACTGCTCGGTCGCCGGTTCCTTTCCGGCCGCGTTGGCGCAGACGACTGGACTATACTGGTATCTTGTGTGAGTATCCGAAAAGGCAAACCTTGCAGCGTTTCCTCTGTGTAATTACTGACTGAGCTGAACCCTTTAGGCTTTTGCAGTAACGGTTTCAATCCAGATGATCATCGGTAAGGCACGGCGTGGCAAGTTTGCCTGGTGATGCAACACAGCTGATGGAGCTTTCTCAGTCTGCGAATGGGCATTTGGCAAGCATCAACATGAGATGCCCAAGGAATTGGTTCTCAGAACGTTGAAGGTATGTCGGTCCACGCAGACCACCTGCCCGTCTGAAAGCTCATCGACCAGCTCTACTTCGTGGCCCAGATTCTCTACAAAATCAACATCGGCTTGACCAAGATCAGCATCCTACTCCTGTACATCCGGCTGTTCGTCCATCGCTGGTTCCTCACGACCTGCTGGGTGTGGATCGGCATCATCGTCTCCTTTACTATCGGCACCGTCTTCTCCAGCATCTTCCAGTGCACCCCGGTACAATGGGCCTTCAACAAATCCATCCCCGGCGGCGGCACCTGCATCAACATGACGGCCTTCTGGTACGCCAACGCGGCGTTCAACATCCTCAGCGACCTGGTCCTGATTGCCCTCCCCGTCCCCGTGGTCGTTAATCTGCAGCTCCCGCTCAAGTCCAAGGTCGCCCTCTGCGGCATCTTCGCCGTGGGCATCTTGTAAGTCTGCCCTTTCTTATGTACCTGCATAAACAGGTTTTTACTGATCCGACGACAGTACCTGCATCACCTCCATCCTGCGCATCACAACGCTCAACGTCGCCACCAACCACCTCGACACAACCTGGAACAGCATCGGCTCGTCCATGTGGACCGTCATCGAATCCAACCTCGGCATCATCTGCGCCTGTCTCCCCGCGCTGCGCCGGCCGCTCTCCTTCTTCTTCCCCCGGCTCTTCAGCAGACTCCACAAGAGCTCCGCGGGCCCGGCGTCGCTCGGGAATCGGTCGCTGCCGGTTGACGCGACCCCGAAGAAAGTCGACGGTTGGAGCGTGCTGGATGAGGGCGGGTCGGCGGACGCGATAGTCTCTGCGGCTGATGGGCAGGACAGGGCGCAAGAGAGGATGCACCCGGTCACGAACTCTCCGGGGCGGGGGGAGATCAGAAAGACCACCCGGGTTGTGGTGCGGTATGAAGAGATGGAAAGGGAGATTGAGTTGGGCCAGTATGCCAATCGGCGTTGACTGCTGCTTTGACCGGAATGTCGTAGATGTTGTACACTAGACGGACAACACTGACCGTATTCATATAAGACGTTACCCGATTTAGCTTCTTCGAGGCTCGGATTCTCTATCTGGCCTGGACTGAATTTTTTACCAACTTCGTGGCGCTACAAGGACATGGGTCTGGGACGGTGCACAATGCCATGTACGGTCTCAGTCGACATTCATGGCCTGGGCTTCGGGAGGGCGCAAGGGTAAGAGCTCATTGCATGTAGTCTTTCTGAGGTTGCATGAGCAAAGTGAAACGACCAGATGGTTTTCTGATACCTGGGTGGAGGCTGATCATCACAGATAGCGGAACATTTTGGTGCTTCTTAGAAGACGGACGATAGATGAATGGAAGTTTCTATGGAATACTCGAGGGAAATACGTAGTCCTTCTTGAGGCAGTTGTTCATAGTATCTCGCAGCCTGTTCTATCATCTTCACTTCGAGAAGATGAAAGGAACCGCAAGGATACCATGCCCGCTTTGAATGTTCTATCCTCAAGCAGCGATATCCTATCCCTCAGGATCCGAGAGCTGAAACTGGTTCAAGTCCCTATCTCTCTGGATTTTCTGTGGCCTCTGGATGAGAAAGACCATTCACTACCGGGTAACATATCTTTTCAATTTCAGGTTTTCAAACAGAACGGCTCGATCAGCGCGGTGTGGCAGCTAAAGATTGTGATTCATATAGACCCGATGATGGGCTTTCGCCTCGATGATCTGCTGGTCACAACTCCTGATGAGTACCTACTTGGCCGCCAGTCGAGGGGAAGTCGAATTCATGTGCGATGATGAGAACTCTCCGACAGATTCGCGTCGAGGCTCTTGCGGCCAGAACTCGCCCTTTCCTCACGCGAACAAGGCTCGGGGGCTGCCACCTCGCTCAACGCATTTCCCGAGTCCGAGCTGGTGCTGGTCTGTGAAAGAGTCCCTTCTAGGGATAATCGTCTCTCCTGCGTTTCTGTCTCCGATCGATTGACTGGCTCAGGGCTGGAAACTTCACTGAGTGCGGTCATGGAATCCTCCGAGTCAGAAGTGGAATCTTCTGCTGATTGGTTTTGGTTGCGGGTGCGATTTAGATGCAGATTGTCGTTGATCCGTCTCAGCCGCGATGGTATGATATTTGATAAATTGCACATTTTTGTATTCGTTCGATGACTTCTCTCAGCCATCAAACGGGGTCGAGGTGCTGTTGTGCCGTCTTTAAGTATGTCGGGTTATGACGGCATCGGGAATATATGGCGTGACACCACCTCATACTTTGGCTCATCCATAAACCATCGCCTGATGATTTCTCAGAGTAAATATTTACTGAAGCCAAGGACTGTAGTCGCATGGCTCTAGCAGGTACGGCATAGTGAATATACCTTGACACAGCCAACACAAAGGGAAGGAATGCATCCCCCACCTATGATGCCAGTACATTTTCCAATACTTCTACCCATACTTCAAACCTCTCAAGTGTCCAAACAGAATGGAAAAGAGTCAAAGGACATAACGAAAAACGAACAGCTGTTGCACCGTCTGAGCTAGAGGAAGAGGTCATCAGAAAAATGGAAGCGCTTGTCCTTAGGTGAGAAATTCTCAACGCCTCTTAGAATTTTCCCCCTGCTCAGACATCTCTGGTAGCAATTTCCTCAACCCAAAGTACAGCGACTTGACTATCATCTGTGATAATGAAGTCTTCCCAGCCCATAGGAACATCGTCTGTCCTCAATCCAAGTACTTCGAAGTGTCTTGCGATGGACGATTCAAGGTATCTTCCTTTCCTCTAAGCATGAACAATACTGACAAGAGATACATCGACAGGAAGGTGATGGGCAGATAAGACTCGACGGTCAAGATCCAAAGCTGGTCAAAAAGACGCTTGAATTCCTCTACACGGGCAACTATACCCCCCAAAAGATCCAGAGATGGAAGCACTGTCAGACGCCGAGATTGAACTTTTCTCAGGGAACGAGGCAGTAACAAGCATTGCAAATCCACGAACCGGCGAGGCTTATTTCCATGCGCAGATGTACGCTCAGGGCGACTATTTCCAAATCAGTGCTCTCAAATGCAAGGCAAAGCAGTACTTCGAGGAGTCCTTCATGACGTACCCTGATCGAGATTCTTTCACCTCTGCCGTCATTGAAGTATACATCTCAACAGCGGAGAATGATCGTGGACTCAGAGACATTCTTGGAGGGTGTTCCCAGCTTCATGCTTGATATTTGTCTTTCTGCTGTCGAGAGGTGTGCTGGGTTTCAAAGAGGCTACTACCGCTACTAAGGAATGCAGCAATATGCAGTCATACATGACGCTTAGCCGTCCATGCACCTTCTGCACTGATTTGGCAGGGAGCTAGTCATGTTCACGAGTATCGCTCTGAAGGGATCGGGAGACGATCAGGGTGAAAATACAAGTATCATGATTAGCCTAGAATCAAGAAATGATATTATGGCGCTCAAAACAATAGGTCTCCGAACGACATATACTGATACTGCGTCACTACCATCCTCGACGGACCCTAAAAGAGCCCTGCTGCCGGATATCCCTGCTCGAGCTGCCAACATACACCGTGAACGTTCCACTGGGCACCACCCACTTCTGCTGCTGCACATCCCAGTAGCTCAGATCCCGGCGTGTCAGCTCAAACGTTGCTCGCGCTGTCCGGCCGGGCTGCAGCATCATCTTCTGGAATCCGCGCAGCTGCTTCGGGGGAGTTGCGGGCGCAGAGTCAGGAAGACCCAGGTAGAGCTGAGCCACCTCGGCGCCAGCCACCTGTCCATTGTTTGTCACGAAAACGGAAACCTGACCGACGACCTCGAACAGGTCGGCTGGTCCGCCGGGAATAACTTGGCCATTGGCCGCACCGGCGGTCGTAAACACGTTCACTGCGAGACCAGTGTACTTGAATGTGGTGTAGGACAGGCCGTAACCAAACTCGTATCGCGGGGTGATCCCCTTTGCATCGAAATGGCGGTAGTCGATGTACAGCCCCTCGGTGAAATCGTCCGTCTGGGCGTTGATCCAGCTGGCGCCGTAGTCACCTGCTTGCTTGGCAATCGTGTAGGGGAGCTTCCCGCTGGGGGCGGTGTCGCCGTAGATCACATCAACGAGAGCATTGCCGCTTTCCTGACCGGGCAGACCTGCCCATACGATCGCCTTGACGCTGGGCTGGGCTAGGATGGTCTCGAGGATGATGGGGCCGGTGCTGTGGACGACGACGATGACGTTCTTGCTGACGGCTGCGACCGCCTTGATCAGCTCGTTGCCGTTGTGCCAGGGGTCGAGGGTGTTGCGGTCGCCCTGGTTGCCCTCGACGGTAATGTAGCCCTCGCCTGAGTCCGAGTTGATGAAGACCATGGCTGTTTCGGCGGCGGCGGCGGCCGACGCTGCTGCGGTGGTGTCGTCCGTGGTGCTGGGGACGATCTTGGTGCCATCGGCCGCAGCGCGTTTCTGAATGGCGTCAAGGGGACCAACGAGGTACTGTCCACTTAGCATGTCGTGCTTGCGAAGGTCAGGTGTAGACTTACGGGAAACTGGCTGGTTCCACTCCCCCAGCCCATCGCGAGCGTGCCATTGTTGCAGCCGCGGTCACTGCAGGCGTTGGGTCCGGCAGGGTTGACGATGGCATCCAGGCCGACGATCGCCAGACTCTTGGGCTTGCGCAGGGGCAGAGTGCGTTGATCGTTCTTGAGCAGAACGATCGAGTCGCGAGCGACGGCACGGGCAACGGTGGCGTGGTCGGCTGTCACGTCGACGTTGGCCTTGCCGCCGTCCCATGAACTGAAGGCCACGGGAGGATAACCCTGGTCCTGGCCGACGAGGTACCACGCGGCCAGAATACGAGTGACCATGTCATCGAGTCGAGATTGCGGGACGGATCCGTCGGCCACGGCAGCCTCCAGATTCGATCCCCAGAAGATACTGCCCGGAGGACTGCTGAAGTCGCTTCCAGGCATGGTCATATCCAATCCGGACACGGCGCTGTTGACGGTGCTATGCTGCGCATTCCAATCGCTCATGATGTACCCAGGGAAGCCGAGCTCATCCTTCATCAGCTTGTTGTTGAGCTCGTCGCTTTCGCACGCCCAGGTGCCATTGACCTTGTTGTATGAGCACATCACCGCCGCGACGTCAGCCTTGACCGCGTCCATGAACGGCCACACGTACAACTCATGTGCCGCGCGGTCGCCGATATTCGAGCTGATGGTCTCGCGGTAGTGCTCCTGCTCATTTCCCAGCCAGTGCTACTTCATCATCAGCACCGGGCTCCAAGACGCCGGGGAGAGCATACCTTGGCGCAAGCCTGCACGCCCGAGTCCTGCATTCCTTTGATGGTCTTCTCCATGGCAGCACCGCTCAAATACGGATCAACCGAGAATCCCTCCCAATTCCTGCCTCCGTTTGGATTCTTCCCCAAAGGCCCAGCCACGGGACCCAGCTGCACATGAACACCCAGTCCCTTCGCCTCAGCGCCCATCGCTGCTCCACGCGCATACAGCAGCTGCGGATCCCAGGTTGCACCGGCATTAATCCCCGCTGGGAAGGCCGTGACGGGGTTCGCGAAGCGGATGCCCAGCGGCGAGTCCTGCAAACACAAGGAAGGGTAGTCGATCGACTCGGGCTTGTATGTATTGCCCACACAGGGGCCGCCCATCCATTTGACGCCGGTCACCAGTCCCACCTTTTCGGTCTGGTTGAGCTTCTGCAGAGCATCCTTGGCGCGAGAGTAGGCCAGATCCCAGTTGCTTCCACCGGAGCCGTAGGCGTGGACGGTCACGGCGACCGCCAGGAGAGAGAGGAAGATGTTCTGCATGGCGATGCGCGTACGATCACTGGGATCAGATCGAACAGGGAGACATTCCTCGCTATTTATCCTGCGGCGCGCTCATTGTGAGAGGGGCAACAATCGACAGGGGCATCAGGCCCCTTGCTTCCCCGCATGGGCCATGGCTTTGCTATCGGATTCCAATAGCGCACGGCCACAGTGACCTGATCGGGATAAAAACATGGAATGGACCGTGTCGATGGCCTAGATTGATGAGCTCAGGATGCAGTTTACTGTTTGTGGAGTCACCGCATGGCTTGTGAAAAGATGCGTCCTGGCATCGCGTCCCTCTTGACTAATTGGCACTGTTACATCGCGGATTCTCTGCAAACCTTACCGCGGAGATTAATATTATATGGCTATGATTATTGGAGGACTCTAATGCATAGACTTACTAGAGACGGCTAATTCTCTTTCCCCTGTCTTTAGTCCCCGCAAAACATGGGCGAGATTCTGACCAAGCTGGGCATTGCGGGGGGAAAAGCCGACAAATCAAAGCCGAATCTACTTGTTTGTTTGAGTCCGGCAGAGCATTTGTTCAAACATTCAGGTTTTCCCATTGAAAGAGTCTCGTACAATCGTCCTGTGGCCTGTGGACAATGGGTACAGAGAGCGCCGTGCACAAGGACGGGCACATGGAACACCATATAGAAGATCTAAGTCATGAAGTTCTGGGGTCAGGTTTCTTTGATATGCCTGGTCATTGACACAATAATCTCCTTGTCCTTCATAAGTCCTTATATACCACCCATCTACCCCTCAGAGTAACTGGCAAACCCCATTTACCCATTCAGGCAGCTGGCAAGCCCAAATCATGATCAGCTTCAGGACTTCCCCTTTCGTGCGGACTTTGGCCTTCAACCCCGCCTCGCTAAGTCGCTAGTCGCTTGAGGACATCGGCCATATCCCGATCTCTCTCTGTACGAAGTAAGGTAAGTCCGCGTGGCGCTGGGGGCAAATCTTGGTTGGCTTAAACTCCGGCGCTATTCAGGCTTACCGTTTGGGTGTTAGGGCACTTAATGCTTCAGCTATACTCCGTACTCAAGAAAGTATTCGACACGGATAATTACTAGTGAAACATCCATGGGCACGAGTTGAGATCTTCAATGTCATAAACGTCGGCATATCGGGCCTAGATACCTTCATTCGTGTCTCCACGGTGCAATTACCGCCGCAGATATACATTTGCCGCGGCATATTGTTCGAATGGGACACTATCATGACGATTATTTCTATATAGGGAAGGCCTTAGAACTGTATTCACTATCTTCTGTTGCAGAATGTCTCAATGGACTATGGCCATGAATAGCCTATTGTCAAGATGAAACACCAACAGCCCCGACGACACAATGGGTACTCCACAGGGAGTGCCTTCACTTACGGGTCAGCAGCTATATAGAAAACATCCCTCCCAACCTTGCTATCAATCAAGCCTCTTCCTATCCAAACCCTTACAATAGAATCGCTGCAAAGAACAACATGAAGACCTTCGCAATCCTTGGAGCCCTCTTCTCCTCTGCCCTCGCTCAAACCCTCTGTGACCAGTATGGCGCCTACAGCAACGGCCGGTATACCGTCAACAACAACCTCTGGGGCAAGGACTCCGGCTCCGGCTCTCAATGCACCTACTTCGACAGCATCTCCAGCTCCGGCGTGGTCTGGCACACGACCTGGACCTGGTCTGGCGGCGACAACAAAGTCAAAAGCTACGCCAATTCCCAGGTCGCCCTGACCAAAAAGCTCCTCAGTCAGATCAGCAGTATCCCAACCACCGTACAGTGGAGCTACGACAATACCAACATTCGCGGAGACGTGGCGTACGACCTATTCACCGCTGCAGATATCAACCACGTCACCTACAGCGGGGATTATGAGCTGATGATTTGGTATGAGCTTTTGTGTTCACGTCGGGATAATAGTTGGCACACCTAACTGACCGGTACAGGCTCGCTCGCTACGGTAGCGTCCAACCCATCGGCTCGCAGATCGACACCGCCAGTATTGGAGGCCATACCTGGGAGCTGTGGTACGGCGGCAGTACCCAGAAGACGTACAGCTTTGTCTCTGCCACCCCGATCACCTCGTTCAGTGCGGATGTCATGGACTTTTGGCACTATCTGGCCAGCAACCATGGCTATCCTGCTTCGAGCCAGTACCTGATCAGTAAGTGCTGTCACTTCATTTGCTCGATCGTTACTGACTGGTATAGACATGCAATTCGGGACTGAGCCTTTCACTGGCGGCCCTGCCACCTTGAGAGTGTCCCAGTGGACTGCTAGTGTGAACTAGAGCTGGTGACTTTGCAGAGCCATACATTGATGGACCATAGCCGCTGTGCACTGCTTAGGTTCTTGCGATCACAATCATGGCGCTGAAATAGAAATCCTGATTGCATATTATCGACGGTAGTCATACAGGTGGCGAGGATAAAGAGACAGCCTCCATCGCTACTGACCGTAGGACGCACCATCGTGTATACTGATTCTCTTGGTACATTGATTGTTCTGAATATTCTATGGCTCCCTGGTCATAAATATGATGGAGTCAAGCTTGCAGAAATGCCCATATCCTCGTTGCCGCCAACTGGCAAAACTACCAAGGCTGTCATCTTTGTGTGTACCGCTGTGCTATGAGTAGCCCCGGATAGAAAGTGCTCAGAAGTATACCAGGCACTAAATTCCCTGATTATATGTTTCTCCAGTCCGCGAGAGCGAGATATCTAAGGGAGATCTTTTCATCTCAGACATCGCTTGGACTGTGGCTAAAGGGCTGATCCGACATGCCTTCCACGCAGTAGTATATCCTGTGAGGGCCATCGATATATATGATGATAATCCTTCAATTCCATTCAAATCAGATAGACCCTCCTTGACGATGATTCAGGACCTACGGTAACACTCTGCTTTGCGAGAAGTTCTTCACTCGTGTTGACTCGACTCTTGGCAAGCTACTGGCTAGAAACCGGAATGATTGGCTTTACAACTGCGTTGAATGCAACCTAAGAAGAAACTAGACGTGAGCTCAGAGAAGCAAGCCGCTACTAGTATGTTCTTCGCCCCTGTCGCAAAATGGTCAGAAAAGGTAAACATGAATCATGCTCAAGTCCAACATCTCTGATCAGAAGAGCTCTGTAGCATTCCGAATCAGCCTGTGTAAAATGCGGTCCATGTACGCTCTGCCATTATTAGTCCCACTGGGCTGTTTCAAGCCCAGTCTCGCGGAATCTGTTCTCGTAAGTTCATCACGCATAATTTCCATGAACCGTTGTTTGATGACGTTAATACCATGGATGGGCTTTGCAGACTCTGGGAACTTCTGGCAGGGCTGAGGGACGCGTGATAGGTGAAGTATGTCTAAAGGCGACATGGATTGTTAGAATTCTGACCATCCTTGAAGAACAGTGACACAACAACCTACATAATCAATTGTCCTCCAGCAAGTGACAGAACGGCTTGTATCAGAATCGATCCGGATGCGACATTGATTGCTCCCAGCTGTAAGCCTTCGATGTACCCGCTCAATGGTCATGACTGACCAGTCTACGACTTCATCATGAGCAATTATTGGCAGTATGTCCTGCCAGGGAAACAATTACTTCTATGACGCTAATGATGCTCTAGCTACACAAGCTCCGGGTGCACCTTTACTGGCTCTCCCACACCCACCACCGCCACTTGCTCGTACACCCAGTCGTGGGACATTGGCTCTTCCACTGTAACGCATGATATGACATACGTTCTTCCTGGAACCGAGGTCGAGGAAATCGTCTCTGCTACCTTGACTGTGGCAGGCACGGGTCCTTTTCATACAGGCACCGCTGCGACTGCTACTGCAGCTACAACGGATACAAAGTCGGGTTCTACTACAGGTACGACCGTAGAAGGCACTTCTGCCACGAGCACGACTGCCACTGGGGATGTCGCAGGCAGGACAATGGCGCCGATAATGCTGGCGGGTGCAATGGGGGCTGGTACGTCGCTGTGAGCAAATTCTCGTTCACTTTTCCCTTTAGATATGCAATGGAATTATGCACCAAGATATCTTGTTTTCTAGTAAGGAAATCTTTCCAAGCTATATATACATTGTCAAGGCAGACATATCTATATGATATAACAGCTTCTAGAGAATGAGAGCTCAATATATAGGCTCCTACATCTTTCAGGCAACCATGTCAATTCTCGCCGAGTGTAAATTGACGAGAGAAGCCTATATAATGCTATAGGACAGAGGAGAGGTCCCTAACAACACAAAATGCGGACAGAATGCTCACACATGTGCTAGTACAGTATCTCAAGTAAGCACGCATATTGAGCCGCCTTGAAAGGGTGGGCAGCTAGATTGCTGGGAGGATCTGAAGCTGGCCCTGCGCGCCCAAGGCACAGTCTCGAGGAAAGAACAATATTTGGGAGAATGAACCTCTTCCGAACAATGTTTCACTCGGTGTGAACAACAGCCCAAGTGTAGGATAAAACGGTAACTGATCTTGCCCGCCTCTTTCCACTACCTCCTATATGAGGCAGTGTACCGAACAGGCAAGACCGGATATGATCACATTCCCCGCAACGGAGTGCTGTTCCGGCAGGTCAGAGTGGCTATTGGGCATTTTGGGTTGACTGATATTGACTTGAGAGAATCTAAAGGATCAAAGAAAACCGTTACACTCTGACTGAAATCCTTGGGGCCGCTTCAGTAAAGTCAGAGTATGTACATGATTATGTGGACCAGTGTGCTGTAGGAAATGGTAGCCGACGATGCAGTCTCTCTATAATCTCATTATACGCTGGCTCTGTTTCTGATGTGACGATGCCATGCCGAATGAAAAAGTCGATGACCACAACAGCACTATTCGGTTTAAACATTCCACTGCCCAAGGCGTCAAGCACCTGGTCCACATTCCAAAGTCGAAAGCCTTCCACCTCTGAGTCTTTCGGCCGGGGAACAACACCTTCATCAAGCTTAAGCTCATATAGGTATTCAACCTCGGGTAACAGAACAGCCGTCGAGGCATCCTGTTTCCCAACCGCAATAGATGAGCCTTTCACATGGAAATACGAGATAGACCCGACAAACCGCATGCCAGTCTCGATAATCTCTCGCTCGATAGACGCCTCCTCTGTAGCCTCGAGTATCATGGCACTTCGCGGTGACTCTCCCACGCTCAGGGCCCCGGCGGCCGTGCAATCCAGCATACCTGGATAAGTCTGCTTCTGCCTCGAGCGCTTGGCAATCCAGAGGCGAATACCATCCTTTTTATCCTCGACATAGCAGAGCATCTGCACGCCGCTTGTTACAATGCCAAATAGTGCGCTGGCTGACCGTTCGATCTCCAGGACCACGTCGCCGCCCGGCCCGTACACTGGGAATCTCTCGTTGCGCCAGCCTTTCAGGATGTCCCTATATCCGGCTTCTATCATCCTGTTGATTGCGTCTTGAACGATTTTAGTGCGTGTGGACGTTGCATTGTCCGGGGGCGTCATCAGGATAACTGCCCCGGAGGAGTCGATCAGCCAATGTTCTTTTGGCCAGGGGATACTCCGCACGAGGGTGTTTGGGATGTATCCCAGAGTTGCATTGATGCCTTGTACTTTGAATGCATGGTAGGGCTTTAGGCTTTCGGCGAAGAGGGCTGGTTCCTCCTCGTGGTATGGGAAGCTATGATGTATTAGTAGCTATACATTGAAAATGGTGCAAGAGCTGAAGGGGATACATGCTTATCCAACTCAGAGACGATGTCAAAGAGAGTTTTCGACATGGTGGGATGTGCTGGAGGTTCGATCAGGGGATGTTTGAGGGAGGAAGAATGTATCGGGCTTACACCGGGTATGTTGCAACGTGTTCTGAAGTCTTATTATCTGTGCTATTGATTACTTGAACATCTATCACCACCTGGGTAGATCATATATCCCTTTGCCTATCATTGCCTACTTCGTCTACCGTAGTAGGATATTTATTGCCTATCTCGACATAAAGCTTTCTGGAATTGTTTCTTCTGTATTTCCCAGAGCTCGATCGATCATAGAGCAATGCTCGCAGCAATTATACATCCCCAGAGCACCGCGGTCTTATGTCAACAACTAGTATAAGAGTTTACATATCTCCAGACGAGCTCTCCCATATCTCTGCTTTATACTGTCTATCTTATCCCGAACTGCTAATCATCTACCTCGTATGCCTACAGGATCACCACTTTGGATTATGGGGCATAACAATCATACAACAAACCTTTATTCGACACTCATCAATAAGCTGCGAATAAAGGTAGACGAACAATGACTGCTATTAAACGATGACTGCCGTCAACAACTCCAAGACAGAAACTATAATATTGACTAAAAGCATAGGCTGAATGTCTGGTCAATATCTAAAGATTTGGGTCTTCCCCTTTTCCCTTTCTGATAGGGGAATTATGTCTGTTTTGGCACAGGGGTTCATATTATCTCGCTGAGTCCTTGCAGCCTGCCTTGTTTTGCATTTAGTGTTAATAGCTAGACTGGGCTGCAGACAAACACTCTATAACAGAGTTAAAGACATTCTTCCTGCTTTAACCTTCAGGGAGTCTAGTAACTAAAAACTTATACTACCTATAAAAGTAAGTGACATATCCTTCAATGCAGTTGGATCCAGTGACACTAGGTTTTGGATAGAGATTATCCATTATATAAATAGCATTTTAACATGAATCATTAATAGGTAAGTTATAGGCTTGCGAAGGTCACTGATGATCTATTACTCTATGAGCGCAGAGCTACCATGCATTAGCTCTGCAAGCGCTATATTTCCCTTTATATTCTTTCTACGCTTGCTGAAAACGCGAACCTCATAGGCGTGGATAGATTAACCTCATCTAGACCTGCCGGACGTACAAAGGAATAGCCAAAAGCGAAGGAAGAAAGTAGACACCAGGTGATCAAGGAAAAGGGGTTGGCTTGACATAAGCGGGACATTGGTAACGAGTGTCCGGGTGAGATCTCTTTATATAGGACTAGGGTTAGGATATGCCAACTCCCTGTTCCATCCCAAGGGCAACGGAGAGGTGTTTAATGAGGAAGACTGGTAGTTCCATAGCGAATGGAACTATGCTCTGGGGCGACACGAGGCCTCGCCGATCACGCGATCAAAGGACATCCAGCTGGGTTCTCCGCTGCAAGCTGTCATTATACGTAGAGATGAAAAGGTTCGCTTCGGGTGCAGCTACAAATACGATGGAGAGGAAAGGAGACAGCTCTTTTGCTCCGCGGGCTTGCGGGATATGGCTGTTTGGACTGCTCCGGATTGCGATGTGGCTTTTTACGGGCTGAAAATGCTTCCGAATTGAATGGTGAGATCAGACTATGCTTTGTGTCAAAGTGCAGGAGTTACTGAAATACTATTACCCTGAAAGAGTGACTGTCATGACGTTATTTTAGTACAGTGGTATAAGTTCTCCGTTACTTTGTAACAGAGGGCTAGGATAGCCGAGGGGGTGTGCTCCTATTCTGCTAGTAATCTATGCGTTTCCGTCAAGATCTTCTCTATTCTCATAAAAGTCAGGGCAATGTCTTTGATATAAGCAATTGAACACCTTTTCTGAATTTAACCACTATATAAAATTGCTTAGTACTTCGATACTAAGAAGTTACTGACTCTCCCTTTCTCTTATACAAAATTGCCAATATGAAGTCTATTAGCATCTGCTTCAAACCTCTATCTTCTACATCAAAATGCCTACATAAACACACCGCTAAAACTGCAACAGTGTAAGAGTTAGTAAATATATTTGGTGGCTGAGTTATTAAGGCTTAATTAGAAATGTTGAGGTCATGAGGGTTGGCACGGATGTTGTGTGGTAAATATACATATACAACACCTACCTTCGACAACCACAGTCAAAAAATAATTACCAACCACCACTGATTCAGCACCATATTACAAACTCGGTGGCATTCGCGTTTCAGTCTACACAATCGACTCTACACAGAGCCACTGCCGCCATAGTGCCATGGGCGGAGTATGATCCCGGGTCTTAGTCATGAGCCGCCTGAGTGATGACGTTGTGACAATGAGGATATAAAGACCGGCTGGAAGTGCTCTTTGAGGAAGGAGACTCGACCTAAGCAGTTTGCCATTGTAAAGCACACAAATACCGATATCAAACCATCTCGAAGCTGATCACCGTTTTTGGAGCCACCGGAAACCAGGGTGGTTCCGTCATCAAGCACATTCTCGAGGATCCTCAGCTTTCCAAAGAATACAAGATCCGTGGCATCACCCGGGATACATCGAAGAAATCGGCTCAGGTACTCGCCAAGAAAGGTGTTGAGGTTGTTTCGGTAGGGTGCTCCCAAGTCCCCAGCCCTGGGAGATTTCCATCGGTGCAACGGGAACTGATATAAGGATATAGGCCGATTTGAACTCCGTTGAGTCTCTCACCAACGCTCTGAAGGGGACTCACACCATTTTCCTGGTTACCAACTACTGGGAAACTGCGAATGGCGACATTGAATATTCCCAGGGTAAGAATGTGACCGATGTGGCCAAGAATATTGGTGTCTCGCACATCATTTTCTCTTCGCTTCCTCATGTGGCGGAGGCGACAAACGGAAGGCTGAGCCATGTTCCTCATTTTGACAGCAAGGCCAACATTGAGAAATATATCAAGAAATCTGGACTCAAGAACACCATTGTCCTTCCTGGTTACTTTATGAGCAACCTCACTCAGATGATCACCAAGGGTCAGAACGGGGTGTATCAACTGTTCTACCCAGTTGACGGTGAGAAAGCAAAGTTTCCCCTTTTCGATGCCGCCGAGGACACTGGTAAGATGTTCGATCCTGAATTAAGGGGCGTTCCAGACGTAACTAACTCTCCTAGGTCTTTTCGTGAGAGCCGCTCTCAAAAATCTGGATAAATTAGAGGGAAAGCATGTCCTTGAAGCTACTGCTTACTACACTCCTGTGGAGATTGTCGATACCTTCTCCAAGGTTACAGGGAAGAAAGCGGCCTTTGTCCGGGTTACTCCCGAGCAATACAAGGCGTCATTGCCGGAGGCTGTCGCTCAGGAGTACTTGGAGAACCACCTGTTTGTTGAGGACCCTGGTTATTTTCTGGGAGAGAGTCTCGACGACAGCCTGAAGCTGCTTGATTCTAAGCCCACTACCTGGGCTGAATTCGTCAAGAAGAATGCTGCTGCCTGGGACTGAAAAGCCTGCGTACAATTGAGCTTAACAGTCTTGATAAAAGACTATAGGTTCTCCTGGCCAGCTTTTAAGACGGCCTTCTAGATTTCAATACCTGTCTGAAATACAGAAGTTGGCACAGCTATATTCATAGGCTTAAGTACTTCATCACAGACGCTGCAAAACCAATAATATTCACGCTGAGAAACAATACAAAAGCCTGTATACAAATTCCTTTAGTGCCTTGATGCCCGAGCTGATCCAAAGTCTTTAAACAGGAGAGTAGCAAAAATGGAAACCACAAGGAAGGGAGAACAAATACTTCACTCCTCCAGGTTCAACACTCCGTAGCGCTCCAAGAGCATGCTCAGTCCGCTCTAATACTGGAATTGTATCAGTCTCGGCTGAATCACCCCAGACCACGTTGTGTAGCAAGCACGGAGAAATGTGTCAGTCCAGAAAAGGCTTTTAAATATGCGTAAAACATCTTCCCAGGCAGTAATCTGTAGGACCTGACAGGCTCTTTGAAGCATGAATATAAACCAATTCTGAGTTGCCGGGTCAGGCGCACAAAGACATCCCAGCATCAGTTCCCAAAATGTCAGCTCCAGAGTCGCGCATAGACGGATGTTCGGGCCCTGAAGAATTGCTCTGAGCTCAGATGATGTGCCCATCCGGAACTCATAGGGGACGGCACTTTCTGCGTGGAAAAGTCGCAAGAATATTTTCATTGCGAGGCTGAACGCGCGGACAGATGGCCGCATGTAGGTTTCGGAGCCGGGAGACTGACGGCGAAGGAGCTGGTCAATCGTGTCACAAATGTGTGTGACTTTCAATGACTGGCTTTCTGGAACATTGCCGAACTGTAGACTGAAGACATGACGCGCAAGACCGAATACTGCTTCTTGCGGGACGGGACCAAAGCTAGGGAACCTAGACCCGCACAAGGTGGCTGCGATCTCATCATCAGGTTTCCCGGTCTGACGCGCCGTGAGGACGAGGTGATTGACAAGAGAGCTATGCTATAGTCAGTATCCTGATCAGAACAGAAAATGGGACCTCCGCGGCTTCACCTCGATATAAGATCTGACAGCCAAGGTGGCGGCGGCTTGTGTGTTTTGGTCATCCTGAAGCTTGCCATCTGTGCGAGCCCAAGCATGTGGGTGTTCCAGGTGTCCTCATCCTCCCTTGAATGCTGCCCAGCATTAGCTCTGAAGGTTTTTCATAGAGAAGTCATGGAGAATGAATGACTACAGTGACATACAGCGCAGAATGCTAGCGTGAAGACGGCGCTCATGAGGCCGTCACTAAGACGGTTTAAAGGGTCGTCGAGCTGTTCATTAATTATCTGAATAGCTTGGCTGTTGTGTGTGTAAGCTGCAGCTAGGCAATCACTACCCCCTTTACTCTGATGATAGTGAGTCGCTGCTAGACAAATCGTTGCCTCCATCATTGCAGGCTCGGAGAACACAAGTTCAAGCCAGCCGTTTTCCGTCAGACCATCAGCTGTGTTAGGTATAGGCAAAACTGCCCCATCGTTTACTGATATGAAGGTGATGGGGTACGAAATTTTGAATACTTGATTCGAAGTCAGTTGGTAGATCGCTATGAGCGTCATAGGAACCCTGTAGGGTCTGGTCAACATACAGTAATCCAAGAGAAATGCACCTTTATTGGACAGCGAGGCGGTTAATGGATGTGCTTTATGAGCCACAAGGGAAGTGACAGCCAGCCGAGTGTGGGCTCCATTGTATAGTGGTTGTGTGCCTGCATTCTGCTTAGGGGGTGCTGCAGTCTGATGTTTAGCGTGTAACTTTGCCCTCTGCTGCCGCCTCTTAGCAAAGTTAGCCCTGGTCGTATACGCTCGCACTGACTTGCTATTCTCTCTGTCCAGGTAAGGAACAGTAGTGTTGATGAAGAGTGGTTTCGAAGCCATCAGGTGGGGTTGAGCATGACAGACAGACAGAGTATTGAAAGACTTAGGAAGCCTTGGCTTTCGAGATATCGTTGTGCCCCGCACTACCTTCAGCCATTAACTTTGCCTGCTAGCCTTGGAATGTTATGTAACTACGGAGTACCTCTCCGCATCATCATTCATCACAGTGAGATTCAAAGTCACAATCGGTGAAATGCCACAAAAGATCGGTGTTAGCGGAGCAGTTGGATAGCTCGGAGGTCCTCCCTCTGCTTCGTAGGCCAAGATGCCTAGCAATCTGATTTTCCTGTGTGGGAATAGTCCTCTGTCTCTACTCCGAGGGAAATTACTAGTTAAACGTTGTAGGCTGATGAGCTCAACTGGGCCCCAGAGATAATTGCCCATCTTTGACCCTCCAGAATTAACTCTCCTAATGCGGATAGGGTCTGGCTGATCGCTTTTTGAATTATAAATCAGAGGCACATTGGACTAGGGAACTCGCTGACAGAATTCTTTAGCAGACAAAGCGAAGGTGCGTGATATATTAATAGTCCTTGGGCAACTGAACCGATTTATTCCCTCCGCATAGATACCAGGGTCTGTACGCCTTTCTTTCTTTTTCTTTTCTTTCTCTGCATTAAAACATAGTGAATGTCAGTAGACCTGAACCGGTCTAGATACTCATGGCACCGAATACATCGATCCTGTTGCAGAATGCGACTATCCTTGTCCCCAGTGGGAAAAAGGATGAATCAGTCATCCCGCTTCGAGAGCATTCGCTGCTCATTGAAGGCAACAGAATCACCCGGATTGCACCCAGGTTAATTGCCCCTTGGCCCACGACAGAAGTGATAGACTGCACCGGCAAAATTGTATCCCCTGGGTTCATCGACACCCATAACCATGTCTGGCAGAGCCAATTGAAAGGAAGACATGCCGATCACACTCTGATTGAATATATCCCTACAGGTTCGCTCCCTCCTGAATTCTATTTACTGAATGAGGACTGATTCCTGTCAGGGAGCATGCAAGCGTACAACTATACGCCAGAAGATATATTCTGGGGACAGCTGGGAGGATGTCTCGAAGCGCTGGATGCAGGAACGACTACGGTTGTTGATCATGCACATATGAACTATTCGCCTGAAAACAGTAAGTGACGTGACCATCTTGAGGGAATATCCAGCTATTGAAGCTGCCTTGTTTGGAAGTCACTGAAGCATACAGATACCGCTGCTATTGCCGCCACCGTGTCATCCGGGATCCGCTCCATCTTTGGCTATGCATTTGTCGCGAGAGTGAAAGAATGGCAACCTAGACTGACTGTGAACTCATCTTTAGTCCCAGACTGGGCTGTGAAGCAAGTAGAAGAGCTCACCAAAGCCGCTCCCTTCGGAGACGGTCGGGTGCAGCTAGGCTTGGCTTTTGATGCATTATTCCTCCCGAAAGAGATCGTTGCGGACCTTTACGATAAATGTCGGCGAGCTGGTGCGAAGCTTGTCACCTCTCATTATGCACGTGGTGCTGTATTCGGTGCGTCAATGAAAGCAGAAATGTGTCAAACCTGCTATCAGAGCTGACAAATTCGAAGGACAACACTCGATTATCGACGTCCTTGACGGTTATGGCCTGTTGGGTCCAGATCTCCTCATTTCGCACGCAACTAACATGACCGACGCGGATGGAGAGAAGCTAAAGAGGGCTCGTGCTTCCGTTTCCTCTACGCCGGACACGGAGCTACAAATGGGACTCGGATATCCAGTCTGCTTTCGCAATGATGTCAAAGCAATCAGCTCCTTTGGAGTGGACTGTCACGCGAACAACGGATCCAGCATCATCATGCAAATGCGACTGGCTCTCCAGGCTGAACGCGGGCGCCGGAACAAGGCCCTAATCCTACAAGGAAAGGCGGCCAGGCATCAGAGTATCACGGCTCAAGAAGTCTTCCGCTTAGGGACCATCGGAGGAGCACGCGCCGCCAAAATGCAGGATGAGGTTGGATCGCTGGAGGAGGATAAACTGGCCGACATTGTTATCTTCGATGCGCTCAGTCCGGCAATGGTCTGTGCCGCGGAGCAGGACCCTGTGGCTGCCATTATATTCCACTCGTCTATCGGCGACATTGACACCGTCATTGTCGACGGCCAGATCCGGAAAAGAGGAGGAAAGCTTGCTTCTATCGATGTCGACGTTTCGGACACAAACATAAAGCCAGCAAAGTCTCGCCTGGAATGGTCTGACGTAGCAAAGGAGCTTCTGAAGAGTCGACAAAGAATAAATGAATTGGATGAGAAGCGGTTGTCTGGAGATATTGAACGTGCCGTGGATGACCTGGCGATGGCGTTCCAAATTGGTGAAGGTAGCCTCGTTTAAGACAAAGTACGCTGGAGCACTTTAGAGCAGAAATTTAACTTTTTCCAACCTCCAGTGGGACAGTATCTACCCCTCTGGCCACTTTCTTGTAAACACGCAGATATTGTTCTGGACAATGATGTGGGCGCCACCAAGACTGACGCAGGAGTAGACTCCGTGTCTATGCCTCAACTACTTCCGTAGATATCTGCGTATCCATCACAGGCTGCAGGGAGTGGATTATTCAAGATAACATGAGTGAATAGACCAGCCGAAAATGAGCTGGCGTCTCCTTTGTCGAGATATCCGCCCCGAGATGAGGAGAGCCAGCCACCTAGCGTAAAGTGCCACTATGACAGTGGCCCAGTGAGTCAGCGACCAATTTGAGGAGCGGACTAAGAGCTAAAGAGAGTAACCACAGAGGCAGCCTTCGAACGCCTAAATCCGAATGGTGAAGGTGCACAGTAGATAATCTTTCCGGCTGCTCCGCCAGTTACGGCAATAAGCTTTGTCTACCCCTCATGGCTGGAAGTGGATGACAGGCTATTCCTGCTTAGGAAAACAAGATTGCTTGGCATTATGGGGCAAACTGACCAGTCTAGGATAAGCGCTTTTTGAGTGGCCTATTCTTCTCTGTTCCGGGACGTACACCATTATCACTCTCAGACCTTCTGACCTTGCTATGCCAGATCGTTAACGCATCCCCTCTCTTAAGGAAATAGTCTAATGTGAGTCGCAGAGGATGAGTCACAGCAGATATTGCCGTGCCCCCACGATGGAAGGAATTTTTAGAAGCAGACAGATAAAAAGCTCCGGAGAGGGGATCTTTACCTCGATTCCATTCCCATACAGTTGTCTTTCACTCGTGTGTCTTTGACTCCTCGTGAACCAAGATACTATGTCTCCGCTCGTTTGGCTCGTTACAGGATGCTCCTCCGGATTTGGCCGGGTCTTCGTGGAGCAGATTCTCTCTCGTGGAGACTGTGTCATTGCAACCGCACGCCGAGTCGAAAGCATTGAAGATCTCAGGAGCAACCGGGTCGCCGTCTTGCAGCTTGATGTGACGAGCGACCAGGAGACTCTCAATGAGACGATGGCAAAGGCAATTGCCATCTACGGTCATATTGATGTGCTGGTGAACAGCGCCGCTTATATTGCTGCTGGCGCCTGGGAAGATGTTTCGTCAGTATACCCAGTTGTATGTCCCAGTCTAGGTAACCCTGTGAAAGCTTATATTGCCGCAGTGATGAAGAGTTCCGTGCAAATTTTGAAACGAATGTTTTTGGTGTTTTGAAAGTCACCAAGGCTCTTCTGCCTCATTTCCGACAGAGAAAGTCAGGTACAACGGTCTTCATCAGCTCCCGATCAGGTTGGTGTGGGGACCCATTCGTGGGTCCATATTCAGGAACCAAGTTTGCCCTGGAAGGTCAGATACTTCCTAGGCTCGTTGATCCAAATGAGTGAAGCTAACTAAAGAACCATTCCAGGCCTCGTCGAGAGTCTCTGGAGGGAGACAGAGCCCTTAGGCCTAAGGACTCTCCTGATTGAGCCGGGCCGGTTTCGAACGCTACTACTCTCGAGCGCTAATCTGAAAATCGCGCCGTCCGGTATTCAAGACTACGCGTGTCCATCGGAAGACTTCAAAAGAATGCTCGCCATGGAGGATCGCACGCAACCCGGGAACGTCGAGAGAGGCGTATCCATCATTTTGGACCTTGTTAGAGCAGAGGGCGTCGCCGCAGGGAAGAAGATCCCTTTTCGGTTACCCCTTGGTACAGACTGCTATGAGTCGATAAAGGAGAAATGCGAGGAGACATTGAGACTTCTTGATGAGTGGAAGGACGTTATTAATAGCACGAATCATGCTGACTGCTAGTTCTGGCGACTTTGAAAATGTATACAGACTTAGTGCCTGATAGCATACAGTCGGTGGTTTCAAATATTTTGCTTGCCATATGGCACAGCTAAGCTGTGAAACAATAGCCTGCAATCCAGCTGCCTGAGATGAGGTGACGAAAGCTAGTCGCCTAGGCGGTTTGTCCTACCTCAGCGAGAAGGAAAAAGATCCGTAGTCCCTTCTCAAGTTCAATTACAGCTGAGGTGACCCAATTCTGTATTCATCGAGAAGCTATCGGAAAGAGGAGGGTTCCAGCTTAATGAAACTAATGGTCTGTCAAGCCCTCGGATAGATTTCTACTACGATATCATTCTCCGGTTATGCAAGTCGATGTCTGGCAGATCCCTCTTTTAGGTCAGATACTGCTTGATCAGATTCGTTACAGCTAGCCTCATTATCACGCCTGTATGCGTTGTGCTATTGTACTTGCAGCTTTCAAGTCAGCCGTCTAAACTCCGAATCATCCCCTTATTCATCATCTAGAGATCCTTCAATCATAATTCTCTCAAATTTATCGTTATGGTGCTGTTTGATATCATCGATTATTGGTTCAGGCCCCCTGTGGTTGGATTAGTTCATGTCGGATCCTCTATTAAGATTTGACTTACACCAAGTGAAATACTGGAGGAAAGATCCTTGGGGAGGGGAGTATTTGAGCCCCCGAAGCTTCAATATACCTAGAAGGGAGTTATTTCTGATATTGGCCAAACCCCAGACTGTTATGATGCTCACTCATAGATTTCCTGCCCATCTGCCTCGGGCTTGATCTGCACCATGAGACGTTTCTGATACAATGAATCATATGTAAGCAGCAGCTCCTCTTGAGGTATCGATGTACCTTGGCCTATCTTGGCAACAACTAACCTGAGACATAATTGCAACAATTGTAATGTAGTATGAGTTCGGTGGTTGTAGTCAGATCTGTTTCTGAGCTGGCCGGGCGTGGTAGTTGCTGATTATGAATCGTTGAATAGACGAGAAGGGTTTTTTATACTGAACAAGTTCCGCTACATTAAGTCATAAAAGGCAACAGAATATGATTGTACGACATAATTACATCTTTCAACCTCGAATCTTAAGGTGATTGAATCATGTACATCATGAGAGATGAGTATGACACATCGACTCCGCTTGCGGCAAGGTCTGGATTCAACATGGCCCAACACATATTACCCTTCTCAACAGAGAGCAGTCTGGCTGCTGCAATTGGATATTGCAAATTAAGGGGCAATAGAGGACCTAGGTTGAGTTAAATCTTAATATAGTGGGAATCCACGATCTAGTAAACTCTCCAACCGAAGCAATCGAGAAAGCCCGTCCAGATCTAAACTTGGTCTTAGTGTTTTTTTAGATCAACACTCTCTTCAAAATGTATTTTCGTTCTATCGAGGAGATGAGCTGCATGAATATACCTGGAGGCCTATTGTTAGTTATCACGTTCATGATTGCAAGTGACTGGTTGACGGTTTCTTTAGCTGTTTTTCGAAGTGTCTACATTGGAGAAAACCTCAGTGCATTATGGACCTCTAGTCTGGCAGACAGTACAGGTTCAGATAATGGTCAAAGTCCTTGGTCACGGATAATTCCGAGCCAGAGCCTCTAAGCAGCCTTCACCAGACAAGGGAATCATAGTCATAGCACGCTGGCTGATCGTGTCGAACAAGTGGTTCCCATGGTAGGTTCAAGCTCTGAATGACAGCCTCAAAGCAAAAATCATTTGAGCATGGCTTAGCAGCCTCATACTGACGAGTGGATCTCTCATGTCCTGGATACGAATCCGCAACCCGCCATTGTATTATTAACAGAGCGGCACAGAGGGGCACACCGGTAGGAATGCCTTTACAGCTAATCCTAGTTGCCTAACCGTGGAGGAATCGGTCTGTGAGGTACCACTAAGGGTATATCAAGAAGTAGTGCACAATTAAAGAAATATCGGTCCATTGTAGGACTCCTTTCTAATCCCTACTAATGACCCAATGCCCCTCGCTATTCCCCAGCACGCCACATAGGTCTAACTGAGAGATATACCCCAATTACAACCACCGTTGTAATGTGCCGGATAGTACTGCTGGGAACGTTATAGGCCAAACATCAGTTGGTTATGATATTCCTCCTCAATCAAGCTTTCTGAGTGTCCAGAATCCTTCTTATATCCGTCCGCCAGACACTGAAGAAAGGCTCCGTTGCCTGCTTCACCATGTCACCGTTACTGGATGCGCGAGCCATGACCCTTATAAGCCAGTCCTGCTTGGCAGTGCTGACGTCGCTGGCGATGCGCAGCTTGTTCTGCGACGAGAAAGGATCGACGAACATCTGGAATGCACGGCGTCGTTCACCGGAGTACACGTCGAGCACGCTGATGGGCTTGCCCTCGTGGATAATTAGCTCCAAGCGTCCGTTAGAGCATCAGCGTCGAGAATACCCGTCGTGAGGCCCAATAGATCGTTTGTACAGAGAGTTGATCATACATTGTTAAGATGCGCGGCATCTCCAACTAAAGCACAGCGTCCACTGTTTAACGTAGTAGCGCAAAGTTGATGCACTCGATACGGAGATGCTCTGACCCCCTTTGGAAATGCCGCCTAACGCATACAACGTTGGACTTCCTCAGGCCCAAGGCATCTTGGATGTTTTCTTTAGCATCCCAGAAGTACTGTTTGAGGGCGTTTATTTATACCTTGAGGATATCGCGATGGAAGGCCATCCGCCCTTTATTTAATTGTCAAGCAATATATATCGACCTTCGAAGAGCTTGTTTCAAATAGGCCACCCAACCAGCGAATAATGTTGCTATTGGCCATATTCTGAATAACATGAGACTCCTATCACATTATTTTTAAAGGATCGTAAAAAGATGGCTCTACAACATGACATTTGGAGTACACCTCTCTCGGAGTCTCCTTCACATGATAGGATCCATGTTCAGACTTGTAAAGGGGTACTCCAAATATCATGTTGCCCAGCAGATAACCAAATCAATAGATCTAAACCCCCATAAGAATGAAGACTTGATGGCACTGGCACATCTTAATGGTTCCAGACAAGGGCAGGGTTGAAGTCATGCCAATCAAATCGAGTGATCCTGCAAAGTCTCTCTTCTACGCCCAAGGAATAACTACATGGCTCGTGGTGATAAGACCGTATCCTTTCATTGGATGTCCTAGGGCTGATCTCCGAAACGCTATCACAACCTCAGAGCTACGTCTACTGCAGCTCAACCGGGGAAGAGCCTATCAGATTATTCCCTCATCCATGGCTTTTCATAAGATACACAAGCCAGACACGCGAAAGCCCAGGCTCTTCCCCGATCCCCCTTTCTTCGCCATGCTTTGTACCCACGACCAAGGCAAAGTACTATTTAACATAAGCTTCCATCAAGTCAAGTCTTCCCGGGGACTCCGTGCAGTCACAGCCCCGCCTTATACATACCACGGCGAAACCATATCGGGCAAGTGTTGCTGTCTGTGATCCTGACTTATGCAACATCATGCAGACCAGGCTTCCCTGCAGATGGTTTATATGATTGATGTCAAAGCCCGCATGCTGAAATGATGAGTTGGCAGGTGTGTTGGCAGCAAGTGGGGTTGTCCTCAACATGTGGCTTTGGTTCTATGAATCGCTCTCAAGTCTCGCCAGACTTAATGAGAGCTTCATTAAAAAGTGTGTAGGTACAGTAATTGATTTACTACAATGTAATTCTCGAAACACTTCTTGTTCTTTTCGGGAACACGAGTAAACTCCAGAGTGGTATACTGCGTCAATGATTATGAAGTAGAGACATCATGCTGACTACATCAACGTTGCGCCTTGATTGAACGCGGACCGAAGCCGTAAAGTCTGCCACGGAATGGGAGCGTCATCACTCGGAAAGTATTAGTGGGGCAACAAAATAACATTCGAGGCAGTAGGGCCAATGGTGGACGCTTGCAATTTAGTTTCCTTCAATTTTTCTGGCGTTGATTGGTCTGCAACAACAGAACACGTAGTTGTGCCGTCACTGCTGGTGGACAAAAGGGCTCGCTGACAGCATTCCATCTTTGTGGTGCTCACATACTTCTCCTTGTCTATATAGCTGATAAAAAGATAGCGTCAATCTGTTTCAATCAATTTGCTACACACTCATATTGCTAGATTGTCTTTATCGAGGCTCTAGTTTTGTTTCACGTACACAAAGACACAATGGCCACCATGTCAGCCGAAATGGACACGGTCAATCGACCGGATGAATGGAGAATTGAGCAGGGAATGGCCGGCCATAAGCTGCCAATCCTGGACCAGAGTGGAAATGAAACTGTGCACATTTACCCTCCCCAGCCCAAGACCACTATGAAGGATGAGGAAGCTATTGCGGCTGTTGGTGACCGTGACAAGCTGTTTGCTCGAGAAAGGGAGGGCTGGAAAGGGTAGAATTCCACAGACACCAAGCGCATCGCTTCAGGAAAGACGACTAACCGATATCCTGGATAGATACGTTGAATGGGAGAACTACCCGGAGAAAAAGGCCAAAGCGCATAAGATTCTCACCTCCCAGACCTTCACCCCGAGTCCAGAATATATGTTCGGGCAGATTCCGGGTACCAACCCAGTTCTACCCGGGGATGATTTCAAGGAGTGGCATCGCGCACTAGGTGGTGAGCTCGCCTCATTAGCTGATGATTCATGGCGGACTGTGCTGCAGGAAAAGCATCCGGATATGCTGCACCTCCTCCAGTTCCCATATAATGGCGAGCCGCCCAAGCGATTGGTGACATCAAAGGCTTTCACTCCCAACCCCCTGCACTTTGTGAGAAATCACGGCGGGATCCCGTTTATCGACAAGGATAAATGGAGTCTGTCCCTGGACGGCCTTGTCAAACAGCCGAAAACTTATACTCTGGACGACATCAAAGATGAATCACGGTTCCCCCGGATTTCGAAGACGGTGACGATGCAATGCTCAGGAACTCGCCGGATTGAACAGATTAGCCTGTATGGTGGTCAAGGAGACGAGGTCCCCCAGGCACCGTGGGCCGAAGGGGCGATCGGAACAGCGCGTTACGTCGGAATCAGCCTGAAGAAATTGATCAAAGACTGCGGGGGTCTCATCGAGCCCGCTAAGCATCTTGAACTCTACGGGGCTGACACCTATATCAAGGATCTGGAAGCCATGAATTACGTGGTCAGCGTCCCTTGGTCAAAGGTCAAGGCCAATGAAGTGATCCTGGCGTGGGAGATGAACGGCGAGACATTGCCTAAGATCCATGGCTATCCTCTTCGGGTGGTCGTCCTCGGCTATATCGGTGCCCGCAGCGTCAAATGGATCTATCGCATCAAGGCAATCGAGAACCCTTCGCTGGCCCCGGTGCAGAGCAAAGAGTATCTCTATTTTAATCAACAGATCGGCAAATACAACCTCAAGCCAACCGACGGAATCCAAATCCAGGAGATGCCTGTGAGCTCTGCTATCATGACCCCCTGGACCAAACAAGTGATCATCCACACCGGTAAAATCCGGTGCAAGGGTTGGGCCTACTCTGGCGGGGGACGCTGGCCAGAGAGGGTGGAACTGTCTGCAGACGGCGGTTTTACCTGGTATGCAGTCCCGCCAGAACAGCTATCCAAGAAGGGTCGCTGGACCTGGCGGACATGGGAAATGGAACTTCCCTGTGATGTCGAGGGCTGGATTGAAATCGTATGCCGGTGCTGGGACAACTCTTTGAACACTCAGCCGCTGAATGTCCGAGCGGCGTGGAACTGGGGCCTGCATGTCACCTCCTCAGCCCATCGAGTGAGGGTGTATAGCGTGAATAAGGCGCACGAGGCTACCCGCAAACGCATCGAAAAGATGGAACAGCTCGGCATTCCCCTTGCGCCTCTCACGCGCTATCAGCCGGTGCCCAGTCAGACGTCGGAGGAATACGATCAGTACTGGCGGGAGCATGACCCCCGGGATGTTGACGATTGAACTGGTCTTTATGCCACTTAGGGAGGGCGTGTTGATGCAGTTTCCAGTCCAAGCCGAGTATTTCTAAAGGGTAGATGAGGGAGAAAAAAAAAGTGCGCCCGATAGGAGGCTCGAACTCCTGACTTTCAGATTAAAAGTCTGACACTCTGACCAACTGAGTTAATCGGGCAGTATTTTTCCGGTCGGCAAGGAAACTATTCTTATCATAAAAAATAAGGGTGGAGCCTGCTTAATAATGGGCTTAATAACCAGCTGCTGTTCGCGAAATTCGCTCTTTGAGTTTAGCCTCTATGCCTCTTCCATCAGGCCTCTATTTCTCTGCCGCCTTTCTAAGGCCCTAAAGCTTCTACCTCATAAACACTACCTTAATTAGTAGAGCTGAGGGGTATGATAGATAAATTTAAGGCTATATAGAATCAGTAGCATTACACCTTAAAATATTATTACTGTTTCCTAGCAGGTAAGACCATAAGATACTTAGTAAGATGGACCAGCATCGAGCATGCTCCTATCTGGCCTCCAAGCGTATCAGACAATCTGCCACATCCACTGGCCAACCGTCTCGGGGAATTTGTCGGAATCTTGCCTCTGGGCAGGACCAAAACACCGATTCATCCCCAATACGAAAGCAATTATTCTCCACCGCGTGCTGATTTGCTCGGCGCTGATGGTCCAGTACAGTCCAACTCTCCGCATTAAATCCCTTCGCTTACGAGTCATATACCGGAGAATGGACGATACGTCGTGGGCTAATCTATCCACCCAATGGGCCCAATCACCGTTTCAAGGGCGTCTGGCTGTTTTGTATGGCGCTCATGGATTTCAAATAATCCGCTTACACTGAGGGAGTCTCGTCCAGATGTTGCAGGCCCGCCGATATATGCCTAAAGGGTGGCGCTCTGGGCCCTGCACCTCACGCTCTGTTCTAGGCGTCTTTTCCCCGCCTTGGGATGCCCCGATGCTTCTTTGCAGCCTGCACCGCCCATCCAATGGCCCTATTGGGAAGATACTTGGTCGCTTCCCCAGCATCGCGACCGCTTAACTCGTTCTCTATGTACCATGTCCTGCTAGGGGCTAGCACATACGACCATAGGGTGTGGAAAACAGGGCTTCCCGTCCGCTCAGCCGTACTTAAGCCAGTATTATCAACGCGGCCAGAAGTTATATGCGCCCTTGAAGACTTGCTGCTTTACGGGTGAGAGCCGCTAAACCACAGGGTGAGTGTGGGTGAGTGAAGGTGAGCTGAGCGATGTTATCCAAGAGCATGGGTGAGCTAGGTGATCAGTGGGTGAGCGAGTGATTCTGTAGTGACTGGACTCCCTGTAGCCCATTCTAGTGATTCCATCGCCAGCTTAAATATGAGGGCCTCTTCTCTGCTCAACCATTGTCTTCTTTCCTATCTACAGGCGGTTTCTTTTTGTGATCTATTTCTCTATCTGAAGCAGTGCCTACTCGGATCACGGCTATACTAAATAACGATCCAAACCCAGGAATTAGAGCACCGCCAGCGTTTTTCGGACCCGCAGAAATTTGGGATTCACCTGGTACGAGTGAAAGGCCTGCAAAGCGTCGACGGACAATGCCAAATTATTCGACACATCATGGAACATCTGGCAGTGCGCACATTCGCGGTCAGTTAAATGGTAAGAAGATCAACGAAAATTTCTACCTCGGCTGGCTCTAATTTTCCAGATATACAAGTTAACGATTCGATCCAAGTACCCAATTCTGGCTTCAATGGCAGAGAATGTATACTTTTACAAGATCGTCCAACTCATAATGAAATAACTTCTCAATCTGGGATTTTAACCCCCAGCGTCCCAGACAACAATAGGAGTTTCCAGACGAGCTACTCTTCATGCCAGCCATATCTTCAACACTCTACCGCACGCTATGACCCGCAAACAACCTGTCCCCAATCGCTAGTGACAGCGACGGATTTCTTTGATGAGACATTCTCCCAGACGGACCCAGGCGCCCTCAATGCCGCTGCTTTGGCGACCGAATCATTGGTTCTGGCAACTGACTTCTTCGACAATTCTTTTGGTCTCCAAGACCATGGGAATCTCAGCAGAGGCTGCAATGCACAGCCATTAATGGAAACGACTGTCCCCGGACTTCCCTTTGCACAACCAGCCCGCTCAGGCGCAGATCCTCTATCATTAGTAGCTGCAACCGACTTCTTTGACAACTCATTTGGCCTCCAACACCTGCCAGACCTCAACAGAGACCGCAGTCCATATCCGTCGGCGGAAAATTTCCCCGGGAATTCCCCTGGGCGAACAGGTCAGTTTGTAAGAGATTCAGACACTCTTTTCTGCCATTAGTGGCAGTGACGAGCCTTGTCGAGGGAATCAACTCCGGCTTAATGCAGGCCCGTCCAGTAACACTGATATCGGAGGTTATAATCATCTCTTCTGTTTGCACTCTTCGGAGACGGCAAATCCACATGGGACGGAGGTAGCTCGTGGAGTCACCGCTCACAACCATCAGCATATCTTCTCCTTGAGAATCGATCCTGAAATTGATGGGATGGAAAACGAAGTTCGAGAGTTCGATGTTGTCCCCCTTCAATACACGGATGACAGCAAGACAAACCCTTACGGTAACGGATTCTTTTGCCAGCAGCGGGCAGTGGAAGGTGCCAGTCTCGCATTGTTAGGCCGCTCATGGGACATTGTCAATCCAACGAAGGTCAACCCAGTATGCAAGAAGCCAGTTGGTTACAAGATTTTAAACTCTCAGTATCCTGGTCTCTTGGCGCAGGAAGGGAGTGTTGTACGCCAGCGCGCAGCCTTTGCGACAAAGCCACTGTGGGTGGTGCGGTTCAGGGATTTCCGGCTTTATCCAGCTGGTAACTATGTCTGCCAGTCAACGGGAGAAGCACACCAAGATGGAAATGAGACATTGGAGGGCTGGTTGTCAGACGCAGGGCCCGCAGACATTGTGTGCTACGTGCAGTTTGGCCTCACACACATCCCTCAAACTAAGGACTTTCCGATTATGCCTGCCGAGCCAGTGAGCGTAACACTGCGCGCCGCCAACTTCTTCCAGAATAGTCCTGCCCTACCCTTTCTTTCGCTGCCTCAAAACTGCGACTTCAGCTCACGATTGGCAGGACTGGGTCAAAGTGCCTGTGGGAGTCAAGCTGTGGAAGTACGCAAAGGCAGCCACCACCATCGAAGGCTTCACAGAAAGCTTACTTTGTGAGAGTCAGGTCCCACCATCCCATATTGGTAACTCTCCTTCGGTTTCAGAAGGAGTTTGGGGTGAGAATACAGATTCTATCCTGCTCTGTCATCGTCAGATATCAACTCTCGACCATTGCTGATGTACATATACAAGCACCTTTTTATTCTGCAGAGAGGGAACTGAGGAGCTTTTTAACCGAGTAATATGTGTTAGCTAATGCCAGTGCTCCTAAGGTGCGTGTGAATTTACGTGCTGAATCCCTCCACTTTGGCCTTAAACAGGCTACCGCCAACTATCTTTAGATTTGTATACATTGACAATGCTCTACTCTATTCCAGCAAATTTAGAACATCACCAAAACCTGTGGTGATACTTGATGCGTTTGGTTTTGGGATGTGGTTCTTTTGCGTCGCCACTTCTTGCGAGGACAGAGTACAAAAACAAAACAACATTGTTTGCCTCTTTGCGATGAAGAACTTTCCATGCGTCGTCTGTCGCCCACCGATCCGAGTTGGCAACTTGAGGTTAATACTTCACGTGACGCTAGGTTTTCACCTGGCTTGAGATGGCGCACGGCACGTCTGAAACCACTACTCCATCTCGTTATATCTTTTGTCGATACCCTCTAAATCCTTCTCTTCCACCGTGCCCCTTTTCCGAACCATTTCTCTCAATTATTTTTTCACCAAACTCAGCAAAGTGCTTCTGTGTCTCTTCCGCCCAGCTGATGACACCGATACTGTGCCATCTGGGAAAGGAGTTGCCTTGTTTCTTCCATGGCCGATACAATCTCAGACTGTCCATGTTGACAGCTGCAATATTAAGGTCTCGGAGCAAGATTGAGGCAGGCAACTGTGTAGAGGAATTGCGATAGAACGGGACGTCCTCACCGAGGAGACCAAGCTGCTTGTGATCATTGTTTAGGCCGCCACTCGCCAAAGCCACGCATGCTATCCATTGCTGGTAACTTTGAGCACTTAGTATATACTGGTGGCCACACCAGCATCTGCACCTTGTTGTCAACTTTTACTTGCCAATATCTCACGTGCGAGTTGTGAGTGATGGAACAGTCCTAAGAGTCTCCATAAGCGTCCAGATACAGTCACTGAAATGGTCTGTATAAGTATCGATATCGATACTAATATGAGTATTCGTTATTATTCATGCTACAAATTTGATACTTCCACCATGTAAGCATTCCACGTAACTTTCAGTATTATGGCTACGAAGTACTTGCTAATTAGGTGAATAATTATTCTTGTCGCAGGTTGTATGAATAGGGTGGGGAAATGAAAATATACTGTCTAGATTTATGTTTAGAGTTCACCTGATTATTTAGTATAGATTTCAATACAGTAGACTCTGCCAATCAAGCCTTTTTAACTCAAACTTCCTGAGATCCTTAGGGCTTTTCTGGGCCGTGACATCTGATGCTAGCCAAGTAAATAAGTTGATCACATTTCATCAATCATCAAGCCCGCATGGCGGAAATGGCCTCTTGCACTTTGCTCTCGTGCACCGATAATGTTAATACAAACGAGAGTCTAGCAACCAACATTAGAGGCGAAGACAAGGAGGAATTCTTGCGGTGGCTCCGACTAGCTTTGCAGCGGAATCCGGCAGACCGACCAACAGCTCTGGACATTTTATACGATGAGTGGCTGATGAAAGGATTGAAACTAGGGGGAAACAATAAGCCCTAGTCACTTGCATATGCTAACACCTCTGAATCATTAAGCAGCAGCTGTTTCTTCCATAGTAGGAATACTCCTGCCGTTGAGTTTCCCTCTCGGAGTTCGGTATGATCCGTGGGTCTGAGGGGTCCTGGTGGCTTCAGTCAAATTCCATCTCACTTCATTGATATCTAAGGCCCGTTTGAGGCAGGATCTCTAGCCCAAAGATGGATACACGTGTAGAGACATCATAGATTAATAGACTCGTAAGTTCAACTGGTGTAAGGATGGTTTGGAAGACTCAGCAAGGGTTATGATTCAACTGATGGAACAGAAGGCGTCCTGCACTAGCACATTGAGCAAAATCAGTCATAACCCCACTGAGGATCTCCCCGTAATCGACCATATGTTGGCATTCTATCTCAGAGATATGTTACACACGGACTATGTATGCAATATGAATATCTTCTTCTTTTAGCCTTACTCTGCCAAAATGACTATATACCATGCGTATATCACATAAGAGTATCTTGTGCATAAGGACAAAGGAGCTGCTTTGCCCTACCCTGGCTTCTAATTGAGCAGCCATGTCAGCTACCAGGAAAGACGTCCGCGGCACAATCTGGTCCAGGAAAAGACAATTGCCCATGGTATCAACGCAAAAATGGCGCCCATAACAGCCCCTTCTGTTTAGATTCTGGCCGAACAATCATCTGGCTGTTCCCTTTCTAGACTAACAGAATCCCCCAGACGCAAATCCACTCACCATCCTGTTCTGCTCTAACCTCAGCGCTCTCATGTCAATCGTCGAAACATTGATGCAGAAAAATGGCAGCGACTTCTCCTGGAGCCAGGACGCACGAGGCTTCAAGGCGGTCATGGCGGACAGAACCTCTGTGTGAGTCTTATGAATTGTTATATTGCCTATACTATACTAAACCGAATGGCAAGCAAGTATACGAAGCCATCCCTAACTCACCTCCACCTGAACCTCATCAAACACCAACACAGACATAGTAGCCCAACCACAAGTTACTGCACGCGGCATCAAGCCCCGTGTTCCACTCCCGCAGCTGCGCAAGCGTAATCCCCGCCTCGGTGTAGATAGACCAGCAGCTGTCCCCACTCTCGACTAGGTGGAAGGACTTGCAGTTATCGACAATCCCGGGCAACTGGGGCGTCGGGCCCGAGGGGTCCTCGGTGGGCGCGGGCGCTCCCGGCGACGTGGTCGTTGCGCCGGGGACGTGAACGCAGACATAGTAGTCCAGCCAGAGGTTTGTGCAGTCTGTTATTCAGGGAGGCGGTTGTTAGATTATGGTGTGAACAAAGGTGGAGGGAGAATGGAAGGGGGGAGAAGTACTATCATCGATCCCGGTATTCCAGCTCTTAAACTGTGTCGTGGAAATACCGTGGGCTTTGGTAATGCTGTCGCACGTGTCGCCGGACGAGACCTTATAGAACTCGTCGCAGTTGTCGACGATGCCGGGCAGTTGGGGGGATGGACCAGAGCCCGGGTCTTCGGTTGGCTCGGGGGCTCCGGGGGCGGTGGTGGTAGCGCCGGGGACGTGGACACAGATGTAGTAGTCCAGCCAGAGGTTTGAGCAGCCTAGATGCAGAGATTGCACGTCAGTCATTTAGAATTCTGTTTCCCAGCGACTTGGCAGAAGGAGATGGAAAGGCCGGCCGGATCGTACTATCATTAATCTCACTGTTCCAGCTCTTGAGCTGAGCCGTGCTGATACCGTGCGCCTTGGCGATCGTGTCACACTGGTCGCCGGAGGAGATCTTGTAGAAGCCATCGCAATTGTCTGCGATGCCCGGCATGGTGGGGGAGTTGGTCGGAGCGGACGAGGTGGTGGTAGTGGTCCTGGTGGTGGTGGACGTTGTCGTCGTGAGCGTGGTGCCCGGGCCATCGTCAGTGACGGTGCCGATCACGCAGTACAACTTGCTCGTATCAAGACCCGGGCAGGTGATACCGGGGTTCAGCTGCTGGAGACCGTCGACGGACAGTCCCCAAGTGCTGGCAAAGCTCTCGCAGGTATCACCCTTGGCAGCACTTGTGGTGAAGGAGCACTCAACAGCGCGGCGGGAGAGCGCACATGCTAGGCCTGGGATGAGCCCGGCGGCGGCGAGGTGTGTGAGCTGCATTCTCCTGGATGTGGACCTTGAGTCTGTAGGGGAAGTGTGGGTGTCAGCGAGGGGCTAGTGTATAAGCAATCGATAATCGCCTACGGAGGAAGGACCCTGAGAGAATGAGGGAATGATCAACAACCTACTGGGATTATATTCTGGTTTATATAGCTCTCTCGAGGGCGCCAGGGCTTCCGCTGACCTCTGGCCTGACTCAAGTGTACCTACACACCCACGCCTTGTGGTTCATTTCACTCGCCTACTAGCTTTGCAGTAGCTGAAGCTCTAGAATGTCAGACTAAATGTTACAATACTAGCCCTGTACTCATGCAGTGTAGACAACTAGCCTGAAAAGTGGGTATACTGGATGTAGACGGAACGCCTGACGGTGGACCCAATATCCTAAAGTGGGAAACATGCATTAATCACACGGTCCTCATAACGCTTGCCAATGCTCAAAGCATCGGATGCCCCGACTACTACTCCGTAAGGTTAGTTCCCGGTGGAGCAAGATACACAAGTCAGGAACCATTCTGCGCGGATTGGCCGATGGACCTCAAGGAGTCAAGCTCGCAAAGTCCATGCAGGGCTAATGACTCAATGAGTGTAACGCTGCAGTGTACCTCTGCCCGCAGCGCCAAGCCTTGGCAGTCAAAACGAGACCATTCACCGCTCCGTTCTTTGTTTAGGTCGTCTTAGCACCTTGGCACCCATTCTTGGCGCGCAATCTCGCCGTTTTAGTGTTTTAACTGGAGGGATGCGGGGATTCAGCCTAACCTGCGGTATCTAAGGTACTGTTAGTAGGTGGTACATGACTCGCTTCGCCCCTCCCTGTCGCAGAAAAGGTCAGTCCCCATGACCCATCGAGTAGCCTCGGCGCCAGGGATTGGGAGATTACCGGCCTAGTGCCCCTATTTTATTTCCTCTGCCAACACACGTTCATTACAAATATTCTCATTCGCCTTGCCCGCCTAATCGTCCGGGTGCTTGCTAGATCCTCGCCGTTCTCAGAGTGGACGGAGAACCCTTTTCTTTCTCATTTCCGACCTCAGCCTTCCACTTAATCAAACTCGTTGTGAAATTCAAATCCTGCCCCCCGTCGAACCCCTCAGCTATGCACTTTCCCCAAGCGAGGTGGCTCGGATTACTGGGCGCCATAGTCACCACTGCGCACGCGGTCGAAGTGGACTTGGTCTTCCCTCGCAACGAAACGTATTCGCCAGCCGACTGGTTCCCTGTTGTCTTTGCTGTGCAGAACCCGCAGAGCGCAGAACTCCTCAACCTGCGCATCTCCTACGACATCCGCAAGGGCGATGACAGAAACAACGACACCACCCTAATCCACGATCTGCGCTGGGCGAACTGGTCCAGCAGCGCGGACCCTTACCTCGCATACCAGTACCTCGAGGTTCTCAACACCACGGGGCATTGGTCCGTGACCTGGCGGCTCCGCTGGCAAAGCTGCGACGAGAAGGCGCTGGCCAATGACGATCAAGACGGCGGGGTCCTCGAACACTACTACTCCTGGGCGCAGTTCTTCACCATCGACGATTCCGCCCCCAAAGAAGTGGATCTCGTCGCGGCCACCGCCAACGCCACCTGCCCCGAGGACAGGAACGCGATTGCGATCAATGTGACCGACACGACCATGCATTCGCCCCCGGGCCTCAACTCCGCCGGCCGCGACACTTGCGTCGTTACGGCCAACTCGACTGCTAGTGCCACGCGCACCACCCCGGACCCCTGTCGCGTCGCTATCGACGCGGATACCGCGGCGAGTATGGCTGCTGTTCAGCAGAAACGGCTCTGCGATGGTCCGAACCCGCCCGAAGACTGTCCTGATCAGGAGAATGGCGCTCAGCAGTTGGCTGCACTTGGTGTATCTTGCTTCCTAGCTGCTTTCGGAGTTGTTGGGTTTGCGCTCTTGTAGATGGATACTTTCGCTTACGTTGGATCTAGCCCAGCCTTGCTTTTCTTTCCTTGTACTTGCCCCTATACCTTTTGTACACGCCTCCCGGAACACAACCGCTTTGACTAGGCAGTTACAAGGGCATCCATAATCGACAGCATAGCAAGTAGTCGCAACATGAGCTCTCCCCGGACAATAATAAAAGAAGAGTTGCCTGTAGTACATGTGTTAGCCACCTACCTACTCAATCACGGTTCCTTCTTGTTCCCTCGCTCTCTCTCCCTCTCTCTCTCTCTCCCACTCTCTCACACACTCTCTCACTCTCTCTCACTCACTCTCTCTCTCTCACACACACACTCTCTCTCTCACACACACACACTCTCTCTCTCACACACACACTCTCTCTCTCTCACACACACACTCTCTCTCTCTCACACACACACTCTCTCTCACACACACACACTCTCTCTCTCTCACACACACACTCTCTCTCTCACACACACACACACTCTCTCTCTCACACACTCTCTCTCTCTGTAAAACACAACTAAGCGGGCGGACCAAGGTCCTCCACGCGAAATACCTACCACGCCACTATGTAGCCTAGACGAGCTGAGTAGAGTAAGTGGGCCCAAATTCATTTCATGTATGCAGGCCAAGCCCTGTATCTGTAGCTACATGTACATGTACGGAGTATACACGCCTGGTGCGCCCTTGGATGGAAAAAGGCGTCCCTTCCCGCAGCCCGCCAGAGAAGCCCTATAATCTAGACTAATTCTTCAACAATACAGTACCTGACATTCACATCCCAGAACTCCATCCGGATTCACCAATCCCGGTTGGATAACCCAAGTAGTCAGTAGTTACTACTTCGATAGTACTAGGTAGTTGTAAGTAGTTTCTTGGCAAATGATACCCTACACGGCCCCACGGCACGGCATACTCCGTAAGCCGCCAGCCCTTACCGTACATAAAACGCCCTAAAGCGCTAGGTGATATGCATCAGCCCCAACCGAAGCCAGAGGCTAGTTAAATTAGCTACTTAGGTAGTCCCCTGCACTAAGGCCTTCCCCTGCATAATGCACTAGTTAGTATGAACACTAACCACCTGACCTGGACCACCTGGCCGGATGGTTGGCTGATGGCACGGGGGGCTGAGGCACATCGATCCTCCCTATTTGCCTGGCACCGGTCCGTGCCTGATGGAAGTAGTCCGAATTTCCAAATTCAGAGTCGAGACACAGACTCAACAAACTACAGTGCATACTAGTGTGGATTGTCACCATTGTGGAGGCTCGAGTGTTGGAGCCTCCGTCCATTGCCAAGTCAGTCCACCTAACTAGGCTTGAACAGTAAAGTTACAAAGTACCTACTACCGGTCAAGGACAACAATGTAGTCTACCTAGACAACCCCGACCCTCGCGTAAAGGTCAGAATCAGATGCTCGCTTGGCTCGGCGGGGGATATCTTCTACGCTACTGTAGTCTGTCACTGAGTCAGTGCCCGAGAGAAATTGCGCCAAGGATTGTTGGGAGATTGGTGTACAGCATACCATCACTGGCATTGGGCTGATAATACGCTAGGTATAAAAGGCTTTGATGTATTTGGCTTGTAATTGTTTCCAACAGTGCCATTGGGCGTGAGATGAGCTGAGCTGAGGCTGTGAAGGAAGGGAATGAGTGAGTAGGGCTCCGAGATTCCCAGTGGCTCGAGCATATGTATGTAGTATAAATCGCCTCTGGGGGCATTTTAATCTCCCCGGGTTGATCTGCGCTTCCACCAACGCTCTTTACTCCCTTCACAACCTATACGCTCTTTTCTTTCCTACCAATAAAGACATTCTTTTTTTCTACTTTTTGTTCTTTTGATTTTTGTTTCCATGGTGGCCTTGACCTGGCTCAGCGCGGCAGCAGCCCTCGTGCTCTCCGCATGGCCAACTGCAGCCTCCGCAACCCCGGGCTTCCGCAAAGCGGCCAGCCCGAGCTACCGCAGCAGTGCCTCGGCCTGCCCTGAGCGCTGCAGCGACGCCGGCCCCAACACGGGAAACTGGTCCGTGTACGCGGACTTCAAGCAGATCCACAAGTGCAAGGAGACCATGTTCTACGACTTCTCCCTGTTTGACGATGTCGATGACCGGAACGGAACCCACCGCATCCAGGCCTGCTCGTCATATGGGCCGGACTTTGCCAGTCTCCCTGCCTCCACTGCGCGCATTGCTTCCGCCGAGTTTGTTGATGTTGACTTTGAACTCGGCTGGTGGCATGAGGGGTTCGGCCTGGCGGCTGCTGGACTGCGGTCGATTGTTAAGCAGATGCGCCGGTATGCCGAGGGTGGGCATGGGCCGACGGACAGGCCGTTTATCATCTACGGCCAGTCTGGACAGGCAACGATTGGCCTGTATATTGGGCAGGGTCTGCTGAACCAGGGGCTCAGCGAGTCTGCGCTGAAGCTGTTCCAGGATAACCTTGACAAGCTCGAGGTCTCCACGCCAAGCCTGGCCATGCAGCTCTGCGAGGAGGGCTACGATAGCACGCACGTGTTTGGTATCATGGCGACCAGCAATGGGACCTTTGCCCCCATCCAAAGTGCCATCAAGGCTTGGGCCAACGCGACGTGCCTGTCGTTCTCGGGGTCCACCAAGTTCGCTGGCTCGGCCAAGTTCACTACGCCGCTTCTGAATGGGAACCACACGACCACCAATTCAACTATCCTGGCTCGCAATCTGGCTCGAAACCTCGTTACCCGGGCCGACGGCGAGTGTACGACTGTACAGGTTGACGCTGGCAACAGCTGCGCAGACCTGGCAGTGAAATGCGGCATCTCGGGTGCCGACTTCACCAAATACAACCCTGGCGATGGTTTCTGCTCCAAATTGAAGCCTAAGCAGCACGTCTGCTGCTCCAGTGGAGATCTTCCTGATTTCCGCCCCCAGCCCAACGAAGACGGCTCGTGCAAGGCATACCAGGTCCAGGCCGATGACAACTGCGACAGCCTTGCTGCGGAGTACAGTCTCGAGATGGACGATCTCGAGGAGTTCAACAAGAACACTTGGGGCTGGAATGGTTGCAAGCTTCTGTTCAAGGATACGGTCATGTGCTTGAGTGAGGGTACGCCACCCTTCCCTGCGGAGATTTCCAACGCAGTGTGCGGTCCGCAGAAGCCAGGCACAAACCCACCAACGGATGGCTCGGACATCGCCGATCTCAACCCTTGCCCGTTGAACGCATGCTGCAATATCTGGGGCCAGTGCGGTATCACCGCGGACTTTTGCATCGATACCAACACCGGCGCCCCGGGCACTGCCGAGCCAGGCACCTACGGGTGTATCTCCAATTGCGGGATGGATGTCGTCAAGGGCTCTGGATCGGGCGGGGTCAAGATCGCCTACTATGAAGGCTACTGCCTGAGCAGACAGTGCCTGTTCCAGGACGCCTCGCAGATCGATACCTCGCAGTACACGCACCTCCACTTCGGCTTCGGCACGCTGACCGCCTCGTGGGACGTCAAGACCGGCGACGAGCTGTCCACCTACCAATTCGGCGAGTTCAAGAAAATCTCTGGCGTCAAGCGGATCCTCTCATTCGGTGGCTGGGACTTTTCGACCATGCCTGAGACATACCAGATCTTCCGCAACGGTGTCAAACCTGCGAACAGGCTCACGATGGCAACAAAGATCGCCAACTTCATCAAGGAAAATGACCTCGATGGTGTCGATATCGACTGGGAATACCCCGGTGCGCCTGACCTCCCTGACTTCGACCCCGGTACAGAGGAAGACGGTCCCAACTACCTGGCCTTCCTCGTCATTCTCAAGAACCTTTTGCCGGGAAAATCCGTCTCCATTGCCGCTCCTGCGTCTTACTGGTACTTGAAGCAGTTCCCCATCAAGAACATTGCCAAGGTCACCGACTACATTGTCTACATGACCTATGATCTCCACGGGCAGTGGGATGCCCATAACAGTAACTCCCAAGAAGGCTGTGCCACGGGTAACTGTCTGCGCAGCCAGGTCAACCTGACAGAGACAAGACAGTCATTGGCAATGATCACCAAGGCAGGTGTCCCTGGCGAAAAGGTTATTGTCGGTGTGACAAGCTACGGGCGATCCTTCAAGATGGCGAACGCAAATTGCTGGGGCCCCGACTGCTTGTACACTGGCGACCGCTTGAATTCCAACGCGAAAAAGGGCAAATGCACTGGCACAGCTGGGTACCTTGCCGATGCTGAAATCGCCGAGATCATGAAGGATTCCTCTCGAGTCGTCAAGAACTATGTCGACGCAACCAGCAACAGCGACGTCCTCATTTATGATACTGATGAGTGGGTCGGCTACATGAGCGCCGCCACCAAAAAGACGCGCACCTCCTTGTACGCTGCCTGGGGCTTGGGAGGCACCACTGACTGGGCCAGCGACCTGCAAACGTACCACGATGTCCCCAAGCCGGCGAAAAGCTGGGCCAACTTCATCGAACTTGCCAGAGCCGGAGAGGACCCAAAGACGGACCACACGCGGAACGGGAACTGGACTGACTTTGACTGCACAGACCCGGCCGTTGTGGATTTCCTCGACTACACACCCTCGCAACGGTGGAGGTTGATGGGCGCAGACGCCGCATGGGACGACGTTGTCCGGATTTGGAAAGACACCGATTCTCAACGCGATGGTGTTAATTTCACCCAGTCAGTCGAGAGTACCACCCACTTTGGGGGTCAGCAGGGCTGCGGTGACTTGACCACTGCGAGCTGCAGCACGGTGGAGTGCGAAAAGGGTGCAGACAGTGACACCTCGGGCCCCGCGGCCCAGTTCATCTGGAACTCGTTGGCGGAAATCCATGGAATATACAAGAGCTACTACGACACCTTGTTCAAGGCTCTCACCATTGTCAGCACGGCGCTCGACGATATGGAGAACAAGTTTGCGCCTATCCCGCCGGAAGAAGACGACACCTGGCTCTTGATCCTCATCGACATGATCACGCTTGGCGCCCTGGGAACTGCTGGTCCGTTTTTCAACACGATTCTGAAGAAGCACGATTGGTTTGCTGGGAAGACCGGCAGCGCCCTGGATAACGCAAAGGATACCGCCATGACCCTCATCGGACAAAGTACAACCATCGCCAAGGACGCATTACCTGGAGGGGACGCGGCTTCATGGACGCCGGAGAAACAAAACGAGTTCTCAGCCTATCTGGGGCAGGTCGTCTATGGCTGGGCCAATATTACGTCTCTTGCGCTGGAAGACCTCTTCAGCGGATCCGACGTGGCGATTGACGCTCTCTGGCAAGCCATGTCCGACGGAAAGCTCATCGAGGGTAAGAAGGAAGGCGACCTCCCCGCGACGGGAAATGCCCAGAATGAGCTGCTCGCCAACATCAACAAGTGTATCATTGGCTTCGCCCTCCCCGCCCTGTGGCGCCAATCTGGATCGTACACATTTATTATCGACGCGGGTCACGCTTGTAATGAAGACAAGGATCTCAGCGACTACCTTGACGACGACACGATGGGCGCCACGGGTGTCTGCGTGGACGACTGGCAGTACTACCTGGCGTATCCGGACGGCGATGCGACGAAATGCACCTGCGAGCGAGTCACCGATGCCGGCCCCTGTCAGACAATCTGCAGAGACAACAAGTTCTCTGCGCCGAAGGGAATCGAGTACATCTCCGACGGGAATAACTACAACGGCATCACGAAGACCGAGCTGGTCAAGGGCTCCGTCCGCACCTGGATCGGAAATGGCAGGGAGAACGGCGCCAAGGTGGCAGACCCGACCAACGAGGGCACCATGTCCGACCTGATGGAGGTCGACGTCACGAGCCCCGGCTTCATGCGGATCCCTGTCTGCAGCCCCGAGCGCGCCTTCCAGTCCTGGGACACGGCCAACAAGGACTCGAGCCCGAACTGGCCCTGCGATATCCCGCCGGGCAAGGACGAGTGCGGGGACTCGACCTTTGTGGACCAGACCAGCGACGCATCGCCCAAGGTTGAGGACTGCCGCCAGATCATCAAGAACATCGAGGGTGATGGCAGCACCGACTGGACCACCCAGGTTGTCGGCCATAACCAGCGCGAGATTGCCAGTCATGCAAGCTGTCATTTCGGCGTCGAGGCTACCAAGACTGACGGCAACGTCAACTTCAAGGTCGGCGGGCAGGATGTCATTGATATCATCAACAACGCTATTGCTCAATTTGGTAGGGACGGGCTGATCGGTGCAAAGGGAGATATGAATTGCAACGGCAATATAAAGAGCCAGCCGGTTCTGTGGGGGATCTACTAGGAATATAATATCTAAGTAGGAGATAGTTCACAATCGGCAAGTAGCACCAACATTTAAGTCAGACCCATGCCAACATAGACTGGACTTTTTTGTGGGAGAAAGGGTGATAATTGTATCTAATTACTGTGCATCAATTCAGGAAAGGTTTAAGAATAACAGAAGTCACTCCTATGCATCTGCTTAAATCTTCACCGGCAACTTTCGACCTGGAGCTTTTGCTTCTAGCCTCAGCTTTGCAGCCATGTAAATACCTTCCAGAATGAAGGGCTTCCAATAGTTTTTCCTCTCAGTCGGATATGTTAAATTCCATGCCGAGCTCAAGCTGTTCCCTTCTTTGTCATGGCACATTTGCATCACCAATGTCTCGTCATTAGGGTATCGTTCGGCCGCCTCAGTGATTGCTTCGCGAGTCGCTTCTTCCCACTCAGACCGGCTGGGACCTTGCGCTAATATTGGGTCAACCCATTTCATCCCTCCTCGGTCAAATTTCGTCCGATCCTCGCGGTCCTCCTTTGGTAACCAACAGAATGTGTCTGGATTGAGTGCGACGATCGTGTTTAGAAGAGCCCTGCGCGAACTGAGCCTCGTGCTAAACCGGTTGATCCGAAAACCTGCATTGGAACGCATCCAGCCCTTCACGATGGTGCGAGGTGGAATCAGATAGGCATGGGAGAAAATACAGAATGCAATCCAGAATGTAGTAAAATACGCATCCCAGCCCTTCAATGCCGTAGCACCAATGACAATAGCCCATTGTCCTAGAATGAGAATGCGCAGGGCCATGAACAGGCAGAGCACCAAGAAAGGCGACGGTTCCGGGCCATCAGGCTCGAGCGGTCGGTTCAGCAAGGAGTTCACGATAGTACTCTCGCCATAGAACACTGTCCACTTGGTCGAGTTCATGTGCTCGGTCACTAAGACCAGCCGATTGTACATGCTGCGGTCTTGACTAGCAATCGTCTGGGTTGGCACCCATACAAGAGGAATGTCACGAGACCAGTTCCGAGGACTGCTGCGCAAAAGGCTAATGACAGGTAGCAGCGGAGGATCGCGCTCGTGACAATCATACCAAGTACTATTGCCCATCCGAATACTGATACCACTAAATACCGGAGCAAAGTTGCCGCGCCATGACTGATGAAAATATGACTGAGCCACGAATTTGACCGTCGAGGGCTCTCCTTGTCTCCCAGCCTGACAATGTGGACAAACTCCAAGTTCTGGATCCTCAGATCGGTTCCAGACATGTTCGCGTGGAGGTTGCAAATGATGCGCGGTGTTTGCGTGGAAAGACATTGGCGGACTGTCTCCGGGCTACTGACGGTATAATTGTCACCATATCGGCCATCAAGGGCCAAAAAGGCCATGCTGCTCCCATATCGATCGAGGTAGCATTCGTGCTCGGTGTGCTGGTCGGAAAGAAGGAGGCGACTGCCCGACAGCGTAATGGGCCAGCTCCATAACGGGACAGCACCTGTCAGTTGGAAGATATGTAGCTTCTCTGGAATATCAATAAAGTCAATCAAGGCAGACAAGGGAAGGATTCTGGCAACCTTAGCTACCCAGGCATGTCTACTGAGAATAGTTTTGAAGTTTGAAATAGAAGAGTTGAAACAACAATTGTAATCAATGACAACAACTGCATGTTGGATTCGGGACGATCCGCTAACTAATAAACACCTCTTCTGAGTATAATGCAGTCCTTTATATGTGGTGCCAGGAAAAAGAGATATTGCTTATCTTCCTCCTGATTACTTATCTGTTTTGCTCTCATGCAATTCATCCCGTTCGGGCCCTAAATGGACCAGAATGCCCCGTGGACGCGCTCATTCCCACCGTTCAGGTTAAAAGGTTTCGAACCAGTCGCCTCCTGAATTAGGGAGCTCACATTAATGATATGTCGACAAACTGGTATGATCCATGCTATTAGATATAATAATAGAGAATACCACTATAGTCTTCAATATTAACAGCCGCTGACCACATTAGGTGAGTTCATCCAGTGTCCTTTTCTTTCCCCTCGGCGGTGAATAGCAGTGAACGTCTCTAAGGTGATATTGTAACTCAGCGACACTGTCCAGGTCCACTGAACAGGCTGGATGGCGGCAGTGGAATTTGCCAGATAGGGCTTTGTGGTCGAGATGGGACTGCACATGCTGATACCACTCACTGCGGTCCAAATATTGTTGCATACGATTGTGGGATTTCAATCTGGTGTTGCCGAGGCAGAATGGGCAGAATGCAGCCTTTGCCAGAACATTGCGAACCATGATGAGGTCACACCGGAGTAGATCCTCAGGTGTAGCGAGATGGTGCTGGCAATGATCCGTCCATTCTTCAAGGCCTTGAAACCACTGATCACATTCAAAACAGAACTCAACCAACCTGTGGCCACTCATCTCCTGCAGTCGTTTTTTGTAGTAATTATAAAGATGAGACCAACGACGGTGAGCAATGAAGCTAAACTTGTTAGTACAACCAGGTAAGCCTTGATAGAGAGAACATAAGGACATACGTCTCAGTAAGCTTTCCGCATAAACACTTTCCTTCCAGAGGACTTATGCCGGAACGATAGGTGTCTGTTCCCTTTCGCAAACAGATCGCCTCCAGGGCCCGTAGAGCCGCCCATCCAGTAATACTACGTATATCAACGCCTGTGGGAAGAATCCGAGCTAGGAGATCACGCTTTGGAATTACCCTTCGTACATAGTGGAATAGTGACTGCTCATGAATACTCCCATCAGCTGTTCTGGGTTGAACCTGCTGTAGATGCCTTAGCTCTTCCGCATATAGTTGTTGCTTCCTGTTGTATACCCAGTGCTGTTCTAATTGAATTTGCTGCTTATCATGACGGCTCTCTGCAAGACTCAACCGCGTGCTGAGGCTCTGCACTTCTTTGTCGAGGGCCATAACATCACTTCGCTCCTGGAACTCAAACTCAGCCTTAGCTGGAAGCAACTGCCACAGGTATGGGTTGCGATGTATGCCCATACTACGACGATTCTGAATATGCTCATGATGAGATGCAATACCAAGGAACGTTGCAGGTCCATCAACCTCTGACAGAGGATGTGCATATGATTTTCCATATGTGTCCCTGTGGACCTGGCCAGCATGCTTCATCCGCGCCGTCTCCGAATACTTCTTGTCTAGAGTCAAGGTCAGCGAGACGCCCTTAGTTCAAAGGAAATTATCATACCCGCTTCCATAAGCGCCCAACGTCGGCAGGCACGGGCGGTAATGTTCTTTGTATATCCACTGCGACGGCCAAGCTGTGCGAATTCTTTTCCAAAAGCGTCCGCACCCTTTTTCACCTGGCATTACTATATCTTCCCTGACTTTGTATTAAGTCTCAAAAGTCTTCCAGGCAAGACAACCGCTGCGTACAAGGAGATTTTTGCATTTCTGGTGGCATTGAGAACAATATCAGGCTGTCAATCAGTCATCATAAGGACTACGGGTATGGACCTCGGAAACAAACAGATTTCCACTAAGGGAAAAATACATGGATGCAAATACAATGTATGAATCCCCAAGCACACACCGGCTCCCCACCGCTCTCATCGCTCTAACAATTACTTCTTTTGGCGAGGAGGCTTATAGCAGTGGACGTCTTCAAGGTGGCAGGCCAATTTCGTCAATGACCCATATCCCTGTGTACATGCGGGGTGCCGGCAATGAAACTCGCCAGATAAATTTTGGTGGCTGATGTAAGATTGAACGTGATTGTACCACTTGCTCAAATCCAGATACTGCTCCATCTGCCGAGTCGGTCCTAAGCTCATGTTACCCAGACAGAAAGGGCAGTAGCCAGGTTTGACTGGGCAATTCCGGAATATTATTGGATTGCAGCGAAGCAATTCGGTGGGTTTGCTGAGATGATCCTGATAGTGCTGACGCCATTCATTCTGATTGTTGAACCACAGGTCGCACTCGTAGCAAAACTCCGCAAAATCATCTGGACTCATTTGACGGAGTCTCTTATGATAGTAACGATAGAGATGTAGCCATTGGCGGTGGGCGTAAAACCTGCTGGGTCAGCAGGTGGCGTATATGAACAGGGAAGCACTTACGTATCTACTGATTCACCACAAATGCACTTGCCGTTGACCGGTCGTAACCCTGATCGATAGGTAACCGGATGGTACTGGCTGCAGATTGCTTCCAGCGCCTTCATAGCGTCCTGTCCAGCTGGGCTTCGTATAGTTGACTTAGTTGGCAAAATCTGAGCGAGGAGGTCCCGCTCTGGCATAGCTCGTCGGCGGTAGTGGAAGAGAGTTTGTTCATAGACGCTTCCTGTTTGAGTACCCTGTTGGACCTCCCGTTGCCATTTAAGTTCCTCAAGATACAGCTTATCCTTTTGGCTCTGGACTCGACGCCGTTGCAAGTGGATCTCGTGCGCCGTTTCCGGACTATCGGCCATCGCAAGTTGGGCGCTAAGGAACGCGAATTCTGTATCAAGCGCCATAACGTCTTCTCATTCCTGAAATTCAAATTCTGCTTTTGCAGGTAGAGATTGCCATAGATTTGGGTTACAGTGTATGCCCATACTGCGTCAATTCTGAATATGCTCATGGCGGGACGCAATATTTAAGTAGGTTGCAGGCCCATCCACTTCGCATACAGGGTGCGCGTATGACCGGCCAAAAGTCCGTGCTTCGGTGTGAGAGGCATGCTTCATTCGAGCTGTCTGGGAGTATTTCTTATCTATGAAATGTGAGTGGCTCAGACGGCACTATTGGATCAGCATATTTTCCTACCGGTTTCCATCAGTGCCCATCGACGACACGCACGGGCAGTAACATTCTGTTCATACCCGCTCCGATACCCAAGTGCAGCAAACTCTTTTCCAAACGCATCAGCACCTCTTGCCCTACCAGTGGAGGTTTCATAATTCAGCTCGCTAAACGGCCTAAATACCGGAGTATCCAAGAGATCTTTTCGAAAATAGATCCTGGAGATGACGTGGTTTCTTTGCGACTCTAAGTTGCTGAGCTTGATGGAGTCCACTTCGTCAAGGATCTCGGTATACGATTTGTAATGGCAGAAGGCATGATCAGCAGAAAACAACGGAAGCATGAAGAAAATCAAGTTGAAAAAGAGCGGGACTTCCTCTTTGTACACCTCGTAGAAAGCGTGTACTGGAGGTTCCCATTTTTTCATTCTCCAGTACCCCTTTACGAACTCCCGAGCATAGGTCAACACCAACATCGGAATGCCATCAACCAGTTCTATGGTGAGGATAAAATGCTGTGTGCGGTCAGTCTTATAAGCCTTCCGCTAAATACAGATAGCTAGATACGGACCTTGTAGCATGCAGCCATGGCACTGGCTCGGAGATTCGCGTCATTGTCGTCGCCGCCGTCCTTCTGCCGGGCAATAGATCGGCGAGCTGTTGACTCATGCACCTCTCCAGTTCGGGCGGATGAAAAGCAATAGAGTAATATTGATGCAGTAAGCTGTACTCTACTCCGGTCAGGATACTGGCCGCGGTATTCCTTAAAGTCCCGACACCAGAGCTGTGTTAGAAGGATGGTCAAATCATTTGGAGAGAGTCCATCTCTGGACATCTCAGCATCTGGAAGACCAAGTTTGGTCTTCAAGTCCGATATGATATACTTTGAGATTTGGTAGTATACAGACTATATTAGGCTCAAAAATTCATACCTCCTTCATGGTAATAGACATGCTCTTTAGGACACAGAAGTCCCTCACCCGAGCCAGAGCTGTTTCGAAGTCCCGGCGGAAATTCTCGACGGTTTCTGGTGTAGGTTTTTCCTCGATCTGACCTGGCGTGTTTCTTACGTAAAATTCCAAAAACCCTTTAAAAGTTTTGATATCGGGGGGAGAGCAGGCAGCGGGGTGTAGCTCAAGGAATCTGAGAGGATGAGACGCGAGCCTCCATAGATCTGAAAGACTTACTTACTTGTTAAAAATCTTCAGACTTCGCTCATACTTTTTGGCTGTTCTTGGAAGAACGGCTCGTTTGATCTCTTCATCATCGTGATCATCGAGATTGATCACACACGTAAAATTTGCCACTGGCTTCTGTGGCATACTGTCCGATCAGTTTCGAGTTAGGGATGAAGGAGTAGGAGTGAGACGGACACATCGTGGGTTTAAACAACTTCTCTCCCTCACATGGGCGCTATTATGCGCTTTTGTCAAAATGCAGCTTCTTGGTAGTCGAGTGCAATATATTCAGGTGCCTGAATGTTCACCTGAAGGCCGCCGGAACGTGGGCGGCAAAGCGGCGAGGGAACAGACGCTGGGGTGGGTGAGCACCGACATATACAGGCTGTTGTATGTTTTTGTTTCTTCTTGTATTTTGCTTCATAGCTTATGGCCTCAAGGCTACTACTGGAATATTGATCATCTTCACTTTCTTGACCACATGACTAGGCAGGTTGAACATTGTAGTCGACTCAAACCATCAGGACCAATCTTGTAAGCTGAACCATAACAAGAAACTAATCAAAATCTTGATCCCAGGTATATGAAAGATCTCACACAGGCTTGCTCTCAATAAGTTGATCCTTGATGAGTTCCATCTCAAGATCAGCAAATCCCAGAAACCTCAATTAAGAACAATAATCAGGGACCTCTAATGGTGTATGGGGGGCTGTGTCAGTAGAGGCACGGGGAGGTGTACTTTCGTAGTGCCGACGTCATCTATGCTGTTCGGGTCACTTGTGCAAAAGCTACTCAAACACACAGTAACCACTAACAGTTCAAGAAAAAAGATATTTTAGGATAATGTACCATGTGCCGGCATGTGCAAGCTCCACAGAACTTCATAAAATTAAGCCCAGTTTTCCTGTCGCCACTGATTAAGCTTAAGAGATGCGTCGATGCGGGAGCTAGTTGATGTCAAACATTCAATAATAACATTCATTGATCTGTGTATTACCAATAAGGTGCATTCATGGCATGCCAATTAGCACAATGAAGCCATCGCGAAAGTTTATATTTGATCATGCCGAAAGAACCAAGGCTGGCGGTGTTGGTGGTTTCCATTACCATTTGTGTCCTGGCGACCACCTTCGTCGCCCTTCGTTTCTACTCCAAAAGCGTGATAGGCAAGAAGTTTCAGCACCACGATTACTGGAGCCTGCTCGCCTTGGTACTTTGTGGATCTCGTTTGTGGCCAAAAACGTGGACTGATGCTTTACAGATCATCGATTTTGCCTTCTCATTCTCCTTATTCTACGCAACAGCAAAGGGCCTCGGACTTCCTGCAGCCGACATAAAGCCAGAGAACCGACGTAGCATCATTCAGGCTACCTTTACATTCACCGTTCTTTATGTGAGTTCCCTGTGAGTCCCCGTTGTGTTGAACTCCAAGATGACCTATTATCATACTCCTTAGAACCCAGCTTTAATGACAGTAAAGACGTCGATCCTTGTTTTTTATCTGACCTTGGCCAGAGGCGATAAGCTTTTCCGACTGGGAACCTACCTGACTCTTTTTGTAGTTAATGTATCTGGCCTCGCATTGACCTTGCTCACTATTTTCCAGTGTCGTCCAGTGGGCTCTGTCCTGCAGCCAACCCTGCCGGCCACGGCGTCCTGTACCAGTGTGATCACACTCTATTTGTCCAGCGCGCCAGTGAATATAATCACTGATATTGCTATTCTCTTCCTCCCGATGCCTATTCTGACCGAAATGCACCTGCCGCGGAGGCAGAAAATCATCTTGATGATCACGTTCGGCTTCGGCTTCTTTGTAACAGTCGTCGACGTGATCCGAATTGTGTACCTCCAGCGTGCTCTGACAGAGACCAAGCTAACATCTCAGTCGACGTCTATCCATAGCGGCTCTCTGATCAGCATTTCATGTACGACCTATGCCACTTTCTTGACACGGCACGTCATGCTGACCTTTTCACACACTAGCTTACGCTGCATTGTCATTCATGTGGTCTGTAGTGGAGGTCAATATGTCTGTCATCTGCAGTTGTGTCCCAGTCCTCAAGCCACTCTTTGCGCGAATCATGCCGCGGATGATCGGCGTCAGCGGCAAGAGGCTCGGGAGGACGACTGGTGCTGAAACTCGTCCCGACGAGGTATCGGCCGTTGGATATTCTACGAATATTCGCCTGACCGCTACCGACCAGGTAAACAATTCAGGACCGCGCGGTGATCAAGCCGGCTCATCGGATGAGGTTGGGAGTGATGATAGCGCAGATCGTGCTGTGCTGAGGCGTTCGGCTAGCCGAAGAAGCATGCCACGTTTAGCCTCTTCTCAAGGAGTCCCAGGAAAGCATCTAATCCTACTAGGCACATCACATAGATTTTCGTCCTAATAGTTCATTGTCACAGGCCTTGAATTGAGTGGAGTCCGCTCAGTGGAGTCCCACGCCGGCGCCGGTTTTATTGAGTTTGTACGCATGAAGAAGCCAAAGAACATGCTGAAACTCAACAACAGACAATCTCTAGCGCCTATAGCCATTATCACAGTCGTGTTCTGGCTCTGGGGATTCTCATACGGCCTTCTCGGTAATTTGGGTAACCATCTTCAGGCTGTTCTCGGACTCGACGCCTGGCAGTCCCTCGGCATCCATGCGGCATACTTCAGTGGCTACCTCCTTAGCCCAGTAACGCTTGGTCGCTGGGTTTTGAAGGGATGGGGATACAAGGCTACATTGATTACAGGCTTATCCGTGTACGCGTGTGGGACATTGATCTTCTGGCCGTCTGCCGTTCTGTCGTCATTTCCGGCTTTCATCGTCTCCAATGTCATCATCGGTGGGGGGTTGGGAGTCTTAGAAACCGCAGCCAATTCCTTCATCGCCTTATGCGGGCCACATGAGAACGCCGAAATTCGCTTGAATATCTCGCAGGGCATCCAGGCTATCGCATCAGTCGTTTCGCCACTACTCTCCGAGGAAGTCCTTTTCAAGAACGTGACAAATGTCTCGGCTCTAATCAATGCACAGTGGACATATCTGAGTATTGCATTTTTCGACCTACTTTTAGCTGCAACACTGTACTACCTACCTATTCCAGAAGCACCTGACGACGATCTTGAACAGATAGCAATGCGCTGTCGAGGAGACGGATCGAGCAAAGTCGTGGGGGTTCCAGTCATCTGGCTGACTCTGGCCTTGGGAGTGGGCTCACTATACCTCTATGTAGCCGGCCAGGAGGTTCTAGCAACAAGCTTTGAGTCTTTTGTGGTGACGTCTCTTCCTAGGTAAGAAATTCAACCTATCTCCTTCCTGGACATTCATTATTTACTTATTCGTCTTCATCACAGTTCGAACCTTACATCCTTTGACTATGTAACCATTGGTCACACAGTATTTGCTGTTGGCCGTTTTCTGACTGCTTTGGCACTATGGTTCCTGAAGCCTCGCTGGATTCTGATGATAGCGTACGCTGGTATGGTGATTTTCTCCACTCTCTGCCTGAAGACGTCTGGCTTGACGGCGGTGGCCATGGGCCTGATGATCTACCTATTCGAGAGTGGTGCCTTCAGCACCCTGTTTGCCATATGTCTGCATGGTATGGGAAAACACACAAAAACAGCTGCCTCTCTTCTGGCAGCCGCTATCGGCGGTGGGGCGTTTCTCCCTTTTCTCCAGCATGCAGTGTCCACGTCTCATGGGGTGTCCTTCTCCTACTGCGTCCTTGTCGCTATCTTCAGTACTGGGGCAATCTTTCCGTTGTATTTGAACCTTGTACCTGCTGCTAAAAGACAGGTTGATCCAGTGGCGCAGACCTACCAGAACAGTCATCAGCAAGCGAGCCCCGTCGAGGCAGATATGTCCCATGGGGGACGAGAATCGCACTGTTCCGGTGGGATTCTGCTGAGTTAATAACATGCGGTTTGCGCATATCTCCTGATGCTTGCCAAGAGTTCCATCTCCAAAGACTAGATCAACTTAGCACACATGGAGTGGGTTTCTTTCACTTAACATAATCCACAAGTGAGCACTGCACACAGGCAAATGCTGCAGTACAGCAAACTATTTATATAAAATAGTTGAAATGAATTTTATCATTAGGACCATTATCTATAAGCACAGTATGAAAACTGCATACACTATTATGCACTGTCTTCATGATAGACCTGATTTATTTGCGGCATTCTCAGTAGGATAAATAGAAGAGTGCTGAAATCGATGAAATACCCATAAGATCCTGTCAATTAAAGGGACTAAACGTCCGGATCTTGCAGCCAGTCGGTTGAACCCCTCGAAGTCCCCCAAGAAATGTTCCGACATAAGATAGTTGACATTGAAGGAATTGGCGAGACAAAAAACTTTTCCGAGTGCTCCGGTATGTAGCACAGAAGGCAGCTCGTCGTTGGCGCTGTTGTTCATATGCGATCAATGGACATTATCTCGTGATTGGAGCATGGCTGCATTTCGCTGATACGACTACGACGTCCAAAATGTTGTTGGCCAAAAGTCCGCCCCAGCTGACTCTCCGATGGTGAGTAGATCGGGGTGGATGGCTTCAATCTCGGTATCTGGCCTAGCAAGGAAGTCCTGCATCATCGGTTCCAAGAAGGCCATTTCAGTGGTGAAACCTGCAACGGGGAGAGGGGGGACGCCGTTTTCAATGGCATGATCTCCTGCGGGAGGGAGCACGAAGGGCCTTTGGAGCGATTGTCGGGGTAATTGACCGGCTTGATCGGCACTTTTGCCGACATCAACCGACAAAGATTGTTCGACTTGCTTGAGATTCTTGTGGAACTCCGCCGCCGCAAGGTTTCCATGATCACTCATCCGGGACAATATTTCAATCGCCACCTCAAGGGAGTCGAGATCCGCGGGGTTGCCGATAGCTGGCAGGAGCCCGGATATGACAAGAACTATGGCCGAGGAGAACAAGTACTGAGCGTAGAAGTAGCCATACATAGGCAGGGAGGCATTGACCCATTCTTCGATGATCAGAGCATGCGAATGTCGGGCAGCATGGATACAGGCTTCACTCAGTGTAATGACAGGTTGCGGGAGGCCTTTACTGTTCTCACGCTGACCTCGTTGCTGGAGAAGAGCATGAAGAATGATAGGGCGTGTAGCCAAGATGACACACTGGAAGTCTTCAGTAAGATTGATAGGCGTGCCAACACATAATTGAACTGACCTGGTTGAACTGCAGGTGAAGAGAGATGATATGCTTGGATGGAGGACCTTCATCAGTGCGTAGCCTGATGTGTGCTGGGAGGGACTGCAGCCACTCCTGCTGCGCAAGCAACAATTGCTGTTCTCTTTGCAAGAACGACTCTGGATGTTGCTTCCGGCTGTAAATCTTCTCGATAACCTGGCCGACGATTCGAGCTAACTGGATACTGGCGACCAAGTATGCGGTATCGGAGAATTGCTCCTCAAATGCAGGACAAGAGACGTCGGATGGCATGTCGACATGAATATCATCATCTCGAATTTGAAGTGGAAACCCTGTTTTGGAACCCCACATACGATCATAGATGTATATAGCCCACCAAAGCCGAATTCGGTGCTGTCGCTCCGTGGGATCTGTGCATTGGCGTTCAGAGATGTTATGGTTCAATCCTAGTATCAGGCCAAGGCGCATGGCATTGCCAATCAACATGTACGCTGCATGACGTCGATTGAGGAAGTATGAAAAAAGAGACTAGGTTTGCCTGTTAGTATAGTTGAACATGCAGGGCCTTGTATACAAACCAATAGCAACAAACTTTCGACATGAATCAACGCAGGCCGTTCTGGTAGAATGGGCGTCAAATTCATTGCTCGAACATAGCATTTGACGCCCGGCACTCGACCTCGAGTCGAATAATCGGATCGAGAGGAGTATACCTCCCCTAAGGCAAAAAGGGCAAAGAATTTGCATGTCAAAGACGGGTCGTCACGTTTCGAGGGATCCCGATAAATTGACTCTAATTGCTCCAGCGTAGTTTTGCGCAGAAACAGATGATATACGCGGCTTAACTGGTTGAAGGCAATACGGACGAGTAGACGGGCTTGTGGAAGCCTCGGCCATTCGGTCTCTGCCTCGAGCAGCAATGCCTCTGGCGTGTACTGGGTTCGAGCAATGTGAGGTGCATTCGGGTTCCCGGTAAGAAATTGCCGCAATCGTGTCGCGAAGGCCGTACAGGCAGCGACTCCCATATATATCGGAGGAGCTGAGGGATCGTAAGGATAGAACCAAGCACGCTCTCCTAGCAGTGGATTTCGGACTGTGTGATAAGCGTCTTGGGGGAGATTAGAGGGGATATGGTCTGAAGTGGCAGGTGACGGGCGAGAAGAAGTAATATTTTCCAATCGTTCTTGAGGTGAGCGTTCTCAAGAAGGATCTGATCGATATAGCTAGGCGAAAGGGTGGAATTGTACATTAGATAGAGTCGGCGAGCAGGAGCAGGAGTTGTTACCTCTCATTGACCTTGAGCTTCCTGTCACGTTGGACATATTCGCAACTACAGCCCGCTTGACGACATCGGGCACAGGGCTTTTCGCCGGAACATTTGACTTTATGAGCATGACATCGATTGCAACTGGCATCCGAGGTTAGAGCAGAGCAGATGAAAGGGGCTGCTGGTGACGCACGCGACAGGCTTTTTCTTCTGCTGCTTGGGCTGATAGTTGTGAAGAGGCATTGCTGGGAAAACTGAAGTATTCAGTCGATAAAGTCCTTGTTCTTATTGTATCTGAGAAAGCGTATGTCAAAAACGAGGGGAGGAGGAGTCTCGACACTCGGCATCTTGAAGTTTTGCCGAGAAGACGGAAGTATTCGCCACTGATATTTGGTAAGAAAGTTGGGGAGAATTACTAACTATAGTATATTGCATTTATAATGAGCCCCACTGGGAACCCTCCTTTTCTTTTGCGCTCTTTGAAACAGGAAAAATGCGACCTCTTAGCCAGTTACTTTGATGGAGGTCTCTTTGTATCTTGTACTTCCTTCTCACCAATTAATTACAACCCAAGCCAATGACCTGCGCAAATGCGCTCACCACATACTCGATATTCCTTTTGTTCAGCCCGCAAATACTCATCCGCCCCGAGGGCAAGAGATAAATGTGATACTCCTTCCGCAGGCGGGCGACCTGCTCTCGATCAAGCCCCGTATAGCTGAACATACCAATCTGGCTCTTAATAGACGACCAACTCCCCGGTATCCCGTTAGTCTCTAGCCTCTCGCAAAGCTCATGCCGCATTGCCTCGATCCTCGAGCTCATCGTGTTCAAATCTCTCTGCCATTGGGCCCTCAGCTGCTCATCCGCCAGGACAGTCTCGACGATACTCGCCCCAAAGCGCGGCGGGTTGGAGTACTCCGCCCGGGCGAGGGCGACCAATTCGGACCGGGCGCCCTGTGCGGAAAGATGCCGGGGCACGACCAGATGGAGAGCACCCACGCGCTCGCCATAGAGTCCAAAGTTCTTGGAGAAGGATTGTGCAACGCAGAGACCCGGGTGGTCGGGCTGGCCGTTCAGAACCATCTGCTCCACGAAAAAGCGAATCGCCCACGCGTCGCCATCCACATCACCGGTAGCAAAGCCCTGGTAGGCGTTGTCGAAGACGACGTACAGGTTCTTCCGCTTCACGACCTCTGCGACTTGGGCCCACTGGGTCTTGGAGAGGTCTACCCCCGTAGGGTTGTGCGCGCAGGCTTGAAGGATCACCACGTCTCTGGCCTCGGCAGTGGTTTCGAGCACAGAGAGCATCCCTTCCAGATCGACTCCTCCGGTTCTCCGTGCATAGTACGGATAATCCTCGATGGGCACCCCAACGGTGGCCCAGATGGTCCTGTGGTTGATCCATGTCGGCGAAGGGATGAAGACCCGGGTCGGGCAAAGATGCTGTGCTAGGAAATGCGCGGCCATGTGGTTAGCGCCCGTGCCGGAGACGGTTTGAATGGAGGCGATGCTCTTATCCAGTCCAGAGATGATTTCGGATCCGAAAGTAAGGACTTGAGCCAATTCAACGAGTGCGGGGGAGCCTGCAATGCCAAGGTATTCGTGGTTCTGATCCTGACTGCGGCGAGCTTTGGCCTGATTGAATCAGTTGGGAATCCTTCTCGATACATACTTGTATAGGAGGGTTTTCGTTTGTCCAAACCTCTTTCACACTTGGGAGCACCCAGGGTTGTCCGTCTTCGTCGCGGTATGCCCCCGCGATCAGGGAGACTTTGCTTGGGTGCGGATCCGCATCATATTCAGCCATCAGCTCAAAGGCCGTGTCTGCAGGAGCAACCGGCAGGTCCAAGTATTGTTTGCTCATCTCTGGAACGGATGTCGCTGTTGAGGGTAGAAGAGTAGTTGATCAGATGGGGTACCGGGATGTAATATACTTGAGTAGTTGAGGTAGTGTTTTTGATGAGCTTGTCTACTATTTCCAGAGATCACTATTCACTCCGGTATCTTTAGCCCACGATCTCGGTGCAGCAATATCTGACCGGTATCCGACGATTGTTGTCAATGGTAAGTAGTCGGCATAGTGAATTCTTCCCGGTGGCTCGAGCCATTTGACTCCTGCAGACCGAGACAGCTTAATCTTTCTATTTCTAATTCCTAACTGATTCCCTTCCGATCACACTGTGTCTCAAGGAAGGCTCTGCAAGAACCCCGCGATCCGACGATACATCTCCACGGGGTTAGAATACATGGGGAAGTGCCCGCTCTCTGTGATCTGGGCTAGTTCCACCCCTTCCTTCGCCAGCCGCCCTAGATACGATAGCCCGCGGTTCTCCTCCCCAAACATGAACATCTTCGGGCACGGCAGTCCTACGAACATTCCAAGCAAATCCTCTTTATCCGATAACTCTACCATGGACTCGAAGATGGCCCGCACGGCGCCCGGCCGGACCCGCGCGCGGAGAGTGCTCGCGTACAGGGGGCCGCCGTAGGATTTGACCGTGGCGGTGCGAGTGATGAAGGCCTCCATGAAGGCGCCCGGATCATCGGACGGGAACTGGAAGATCTGCCGGCTTAGGAAGCAGTCCTCCGGGGCGAGGTTGCCTTTGATGTCGACGAAGCTCAGGACGCGGTCGTTGTTCTGGTGGGCCAGGAGGAGCGCGGTGAGCCCACCCATGGAGTGGCCTATGAGATGGAATTTCTCGACCTGGAAGTGAGCGAGGACCGCTTCAGTGGCGGCGACGAGGAAAGGGATGTCGGTGCCGGAGAGGTTGTCGGTGTCCGAATGTCCGCACCCTGGCGCATCAAAGGCGAGATATCCATACTCCTGAAAGGCGGGACGCACGCTTATGTCGGCTAGGTCTTCCTTGCAGGAGCCAAAGCCATGGAGGAAGACGATTGGTGGCTTGGAGTTGAGCCTATGAATTGTAGAGATATTGAGGCACACACCCTGAACCTGAAGCGAAATTGTTGAGTACGTGAGTGACATGGTGAGGGGTCTGACTTGGGTGCGATTTTTGATCGGAAAAGAAAGAGACTTCCGTGCAACTCTTGTGTTAGTTGATTGATATGTTTACGTATTTATTCCAGGGGCTCGGCAAAAAGTCGTTTTCCCGTCCTGCACATTCTTCAAGGGACTGAATCATTGGACCGGGGAGAGAAACAAGGGCCGAGAAATCGGCAACGTAAAAGTAAGCAGTGATTGCAAATTTGCAATGCTTAAGGTGTTCGGCTGAGTTCTGTTTCACCGTCAGACTGAGACGACCTCTACTTAGGGCTAACTCTGTTTTTGATACTGAACAACAACGATCAAGATGCTCACTGTTTTATAGGCCTGATTAAGGCATTTTTGACACATATTGATAAATATCGTGCTACCCATCTTCCTGCTTGTGTTCTTCCTATTCCACGCATCTCTTCGCTAGCTGTCTGGGGAGTTTTCCAAAGAACACTCTTCACGAGAGTACCATAGTCTCTCAGCCATGGCAGCCTCAATATGCAACCCGCAGTTGCGACTTCTTAATGCTCTCCGAGCCAATGCGAAGCCAATCATGACATTCTTAGGCCTCCCGTCCTTTCGCACCGCCCAGATTGTAGCCCAGACGGGCCTTGATGTCAGTACTTCCCTTACCTTCTATAGTTCCTGCTCCCCAGCTGATCACCGTGAAAAGGGCATCATTATCGACTGTGAGCATGGACATATAAGTGACGATTCGATGCACAGCGCGACTGCCGCTGTTGCTTCAATGGGGGTGTCGCCGCTTGTCCGTCTCCGAATGACTCACTCGGACTTGATTAAAAGAGCTCTGGATACCGGTGCACAGTAAGTGGCATGTAAATTCCTCGCCATCTCTAGTGTACTGATCACCATTCAAGTGGCATCGTCGTCCCTCAAATCAATACCGCCGAGGAAGCTCGGGCTGTGGTCACCTATTCCAAATTTCCCCCACAAGGACTTCGTGGGCAAGGTTCGGCGTTCCCAGCCATTACACACGGAATTGACATCCAGACGTACATGGAAACAGCGAACAAAACGCTTATCACGTGTCTTCAAATCGAATCGAAACTGGGGCTCGAGAATGTTGACGCTATCTGTGCTGTACCTGGCGTTGGTTAGTTGATTATTAGAAACCCCCCTAATCTTGCACAACTTTGGCGTTTGGCTGATCTCTGAGGAAGATATGATTTTCATCGGGCCCAACGACCTGGCTTTGTCGCTCCTGGGCCATGTGCCCGCGAAAGGGGATGAGCCTGAGCTTGTGGATGCCATTGACAAGATTGTGGCCGCAGCCAGGAAATATGGAAAGTGGGTCGGCCGATTGTCAAATAACGGAGCTTTGGGCAGGGAGCATCTGAAAGTCTTCGATACTGTGGCATTGAGCTACGATATCCGGGCGATGCAGAACTGGTATACCAGTGAACTGCAAGTTGCGCGTTCATGATGCCTTGTAATGTAGGAATTGCAAGGATTTGCGTACTGCTGGCTGTATATCCACATCCTTCAGCAGTATATCAGTGTTGGAATGCCTCAGTCCAATGCAAGTCGCATCTATGGCACGTTGTATGCGCAACCAGGAGGAGCTACATTATGTAGTACTGTACATATCCCTTTGCAAGTTTCAAGTTACGCAAGTCGATTGAAAGATCCTTACGTTAAAAGTAATACTTGAAATCATGTATTATAGGTATCTCACTTTGATCTCTCCGTTGACCCAACTTGGGTAACAGCAACAAGTTGTCTGCATGAGGAAAGACTGCCAGTCCACGGGGGATTGTTCTCATAATACAGCCTCGCCTTTTTGACAACTCCGATTCTTATCATGACGCTGCAGTGTGTGGTATCCATGTTGCTTTCGCGCCTCCGCGATGGTCGACCCGCCGGCAATCATTTCCCGGATGCCTTCTTCTGTCTTCTCGATCTTCCGGGCAACTTCAGCCACCTCACGGGCCCGGTGTCGTGGGACGATCACGACGCCGTTTGCATCTGCAACAACAATGTCGCGAGGGTTGACACGTACTTTGCCGATGCCCACCGACTCATTAACGCCTCCGACCTGAACCCGGTCCTTGCCGGTCCGCATCCAACGCCCAGCGGTGAAGAGGGGATAGTCGTCCTTGATCGCACGATCCACATCACGGCAGACCCCGTCGATAACAGTGCCTGAAATCCCTCGCAGGCCGGCGTACTGCGTCATGATATCTCCCCATACAGTACAATCTGTGCGACCGCCGTTGTCGATAACCACAAAGTCACCAACAGCCACATCATCGATGAAATCACCAACATTGCCTGGGGGGTCGCTGGCGGGGACGTAGCGGACCGTGAAGGCCGGCCCCACGACCACCTTCTTGTAGTTGGTCAACGGCATGATTCCGAACGCCTGTCCAGATATACCCAGCTTATCGAGCGCGTCTGAGACGCCGGGGGTATCCGAATCGGTAAAGAGGGCAACCAACTCTTTATCTTCTGGGCACGCCTTCTTGGGGTTTCGCTGGGAGGACAACGCAGACGCGTCACTGTCGCGGATCGCTTCGAAGTGTCTGTCGTGCATGACCTCCGAGACGGGCTTGCCTGATCGGACAGCCTGAACCATGAGGTTCTGACGACGGTTGATGCGCTCAGCAAGGCATAGGACCTCCTCGATGCGCTCGGCTGGGACAAATACCGTTCCGCAGTTGTCGGCGATCACATAGTCGTCTTGGTTGACGGTGACGCCACGCATTTGCAGCGGCGTACCGGACTCTATTTGCACCACTCGATTGCGCGCGCTGATCATGGTCACTCCCCGGCCGTAGACGGGATAGCCGACCTCCCGGCTGCCGTCAATATCACGGCTCATGCCGTCAATAATAGTTCCACGGATGCGCTTCTCTTTCGAAGCGTTGGCGAGGATGTCGCCCCAGCATGAGACGCCCTTGATGCCGCCGGAGATGACGAGAATGCGATCGTCTGTCCTGACGGCATCGACGACCGGGGTAAGCAGATGGGTCGTGGGAGCAGCATCAGTCTTGGGGCCCACTTTCACAGTGCTGGCACGTCCAACAATTTTCGGGCAGTCCCAGAGTGGTCGCAGACCGTAAGTGGCTCCTTTGAGCTCCAGAAAATCTAGGGCATCAGACACTGTGTTGGTGTCGAGCGCAGACAGTCGGTTCAAAATCGTGGATACACTCATCGTGCCGATTGGAGTGGTCGACGGATTCAAGTATGGAGGAGATTTTATCAAACGTCTACGAGCGGGTAAGGACTGAAGTTATATTGTTCGACTTTACAATCCGGCTGGGCAGAGAAGAGTAACCTGAGCCCATCGGCGCTGAGGAATCATGCCGCCGGCAAACCCTCACTTTCCCGACACTGCTAGCTTCAAATGCCTTTTCCTATTGTCCAACCAACCACAGGTGTTGTGCTGTATGTTAGGGTGAGAACTACCATTCTCGGATTCCTCCATCCGGACCAAAGAACTCCTTACATTGCCACGGTGCTGTTTCCGCTGCGATCTTTCGAACCAAGTCCTCGTCAACCTCAATACCCAACCCTACTCCCGTCGGAGCCTTAACATATCCATCTTCGATATCAAAGACACTTTGGTCTTTCAAGTACGTGAGTAAGTCAATATCACCCGCCTCAGTATTATAATGCATGCCCAGGCTCATCTCAAGGATGGCAAAATTCGAAGTTGACAAGGCGATGTGCAAAGATGCGGCAAAGGCAACAGGTCCCAGAGGACAATGCGGTGCAATCGCCACATCATAAGCTTCAGCCAGGTTGGCGATTTTCTTTGTTTCCGAGATTCCACCCGCATGAGCAATATCCGGCTGTAAGATATCCACTGAAGCATCTTCCAGGAACCGCTTCACATCCCAGCGTGTGTAGAGACGTTCTCCGAACGCAATAGGAATGGTTGTCTGGTCCGAGAGCTTCTTGATAGCTTCCGGATGCTCGCAGAGAAGCGGCTCCTCGATGAAGAGGGGCTTGTATGGCTCCAGGGCCTTTGCGAGCTGCTTGGCCATGGGCTTGTGCAGTCTGCCGTGGAAGTCCAACCCAGCATCGAGGCCGAGGGCCTTGACTGCCTTGAGGCGTTCTACCGTGGCATCGAGGACTTCTGGAGAGTCCACCCAGTTTACGTCTTCAGTAGCGTTCATCTTGACGCACTTCAGGCCCTGTGCGATGCGAGCTTTTCTGGGGTGATTATTAGAAGTGTTCGATTTCTTTGGTTTGGAAAGCCACTCACGCAGCTACTTCAACGTCGCTTGGTCTGTCTCCTCCAATCCAGGCGTACACTTGAACCTTTTGGCGCACCTGGCCGCCGAGAAGCTCATAAACTGGAACCCCTAAAGACCGACCTAGCAACGTTGTTAGTCCCGATAACGACGGCGATCTCGCTATCCTTCCTACCCTTCAGATCCCAGAGAGCAATATCGATTCCGGAAAGCGCCGACATGAAGACAGGGCCTCCACGGTAAAAGCCATGTCTCCAAAACAACTGCCATATGTGTTCAATGTTGCTGGTGTTGTCAGCAAATGTAACCGACGAAAATAAGAGCGCGTTCGTACTCACTTTGCTTCTAGTCCAATCAGCCGGACAATCATCTCGTCTAGTGCTCCCTCAACAGCCAGGTCGTGGCCTTCTAGGGTAGCTTCACCCCAGCCATACCCTCCTACCTCATCGCAGATTTTGACCATCAGCCATCGAGGTTTGACACGAAAATACTCGACAGACTTGATTTTTGCCATGGTGAGAGATAACGGCGGGAGATAAGAAGTTCAACCGAGGAATAAGAACTATAATTAACTACTATTTGAGAGGAACCGGATATATATATCCGATAATGTAAGGTCAAAGGCCGCAATTCTCGACAATCACACCAATGGAACACCTGGGCATCTCAGAATAGCGTGGGGGTGTATTAAACTGGGCGTGGGGTCCATGAAACTGCCATTGTCTGACGGTGGAGAGGGTTGCGATGCGTTGTCAGAAAAGCTCCAGTACTCCAAAAGATCAAATAGTAGACTCTTTTATTACATTCAGTACTTTTGTTTTTCCTTTGAAAAGGAACTACGGTAAGCCGTGATATCGCTAATGAGCCATACATTCCTTCATGGTTAAGTCTTGCGAGGCTCGTATGTTCTTATGGATCCTGGTAGAGTTCTAGTCCTTCTATACTTCTATACTTCTATACTTCTTTATCAAAGCCCTAATCCACTAGCACAACTTCCAGTATCATCATATAATGTGAAGTCAATCTGGAGTGCATTAAAGCAAATCTAGCCTAACCAGTAATCATTTGCAGCTTCCTTTCCAGGTGAATCACCTCCGAAAAGCCAGATTCAATCTGAGCTAGCTTCTCACCTTCTAAACCCTGACACGGTTTCCGCGGTAAACCCCCATACCCGTAAAACGCATTCATCGCACTCTTGACGGCAATAAAACCTCCCTTGATAGCAATCCAGTCGGCTCGAGCAACAATCGCCTGCATTTATCGAGCTTCCTCTAGCATACCCTCATTATACAGCTCCATAACCCTGACGCAAGCACGAGGGCATAGATTGGCGAGTCCACCGATTATACCATGTCCGCCCACCACAAGAGCCTGGAGCGTGAAGTCCACGGAACCTCCCATAGTGCGGAAAAGGGGCCTAGCTTGTGACACAATCCTTGCAAGCTTGCCCGTATTACCACACGTCAGCTTCACACCGGCAATCCGTGGATGCTCAGCAAGAGCCAAAATCACATCGGAGTTGAGGTCAAGGCCGCTGCAGGCACCGGGGAAGTTGTAAATCAGAATGGGAATGGGCGAAGCATCAGCGACATCCCTGAAATGTTGTATTATAGCGTGATTTGACAGAAGTGATCCGTAGTATGCGGGCGGGAGCACGAGAGCATAACTACCTCCGGTCTGGGCCGCTTCTTTGCAAAGTTGGATCGTTTCATGCGTGGATTGTGCTCCGCATCCCACAATTAAAGGCATATGCGTGAATCCAGCCAAGTCAAGTGCATCGCGGGTGCTCTGATTGATGAGCATCCGCTCTTCGTGGCTCAAGTGAACCGCTTCTCCATTGCTACCGTGTGTGACAATCCCTGCCACACCAGATTTGGCGAGACGGACGCAGTGTTTCGCAGTTGTATCTACGTCGATGACGTCGTTTGCGTCAAAGAAAGCGATAGTCGGCACGTATATACCGGGCTTAAGGACCTCAGTGATTCCGTTATTGCTATGGCCGTTAGACGCAGCCATCTTGTTGTCAAGCAAAAGGAGGCCTTCGGTCAAAACATTTGACGATGGAAGAGCCGGAAAACAATATTCGAAGAAGTGAAAAAAAGTCTTCACTTGAAAATTGACATTGTCATGGATTTTATTGTACCCCCAACTCGGCCCAGCTAAGAAATAGCTGGCCTCCACTGCATACAGTTGAGACATCCTCGTAGCTCCTTCGGTAGCAAACAACTAACGCTTAGTACCGAGTTATCTCGAACATTACGGACCACTCCAGCTCGAAGGATAGTACCCGACATGGGGGTTTCCTTCTGAAGTTGGGGAAGCGGAGACGCCCCGACGCCCCGCATGAAGGAATTCTTTGTCCGTTTGAAGGGCTTCAGTTCTAAACTTGTCCGTGATCATGACGCGGCCGCGTGGGGGTCATAACTATGTGGCCCAGTTCTGTCCTCCGGTCTTGCGGGAGGGAAAACTGGGGTAAGGGGGTTGTTATAATTTTTGAAGTTCCTTGTCAAAGCGGCTCTGTGCAAAATTATTCCTCCTCCATCTCAATCAGTACCTTAAGCACCTGCTTTCCCTCCGAATCAATGCCCTTGCCTGCCATTTCAAAGGCATTTGGGATAGAGTTAAGTCCCACGAAACGATGTGTAATTAACTTTGAGAGGGCTGGTAGGTCCCGACAGAGCCCTTCTGCTTCAGGATTACCCTTGTTTTCAAGTACGGAGATTCCATACGGATATGTCTGGCAGTAGCGGAAGACGCCTACTATGTCGACTTCACGCAAAGCTGCTGCTGAGACGGGTAGGGTTTGGATTGGTATACCCATACCGATCAGCATTACCCTACCTCCTGGGCGAGTAGCCTAGTCATAGACCAGTTAGTAAGCTCCTCAGTAGCAATATAGGTGTTTCCAGGTACACCAAAGGAAAACATACGTAAATTGCTGTCTGGACACAAGCCTCAACGCCTGTACACTCAAAAACAGCATCAAATCCTTCTATATCACCGGCGGTCACAGCCAACTTCGCAGTTTCTCGCCCAATTGCTAGCTTCTCCTCGATCGTTACGCCGTTGTTTCTGGGGACTGCGAAGCCCAGATCGGCGAACTCGTTCTGAGTAGCGAAGATAACTCTTTCTTGATCGATATCCGCAATGACTATCTTGCCAGCGCCTTCGACTCGGAGCATTGCAGCGGTCAACAATTCTATGGCTCCGGCCCCAAGAACCAACGCCGTGCCCCCTACATGAAGCAACGATCGCCGCACCCCATGAATAGCAACGCTGAGAGGCTCAAGTAGAGCACCCTCCGCCAGGGAAACGTTATCAGGCAGCCTAGGACTATCAGTGGATTCTTTCTACTGGGCAGAGGTTCAACTCAAAAATGACACCATCGTGCGGGATGGTTGATCCGTTGCTGCAATGTGCCCTGAAAGTGTGGAAACGACTTTGCAGAACTACGAAAACTCATTGAGGGACAAATATTATACCGCCCTTCTCTGCAGAACTTGCAAGTCTCACATGGCACGCCAACCTCGAGTGCCACACGGTCTCCCACTTTAAAGCTTCCCTGGGGCACTTCAGATCCCACTGCCTCAACAATTCCGGAGCTTTCATGGCCAAGAGTCATCGGCTCCTTGATACAGATGTCGCCGTTGCGGTAGTGATTATAGTAATGCTGGTCAGACCCACAGATACCTGTGCTTCGGACTGATATTTGCAACTCAAATGGCCCAGGAGGCGGAATCTGTCTTTCTTCCTATACCCAGATGTGAGCGATTATACTCTACATTGCGGCAATTAGCCTTGTTGGATAAGCTCACAATCCTCAGCTCCTTTACACCGTGTAAAACGGAGGCTCTAATCATTGATGGCGACATGGGTGCAGTTCCGAATCAAGAAGAAACCCTATATTATCGTATACGCTCTGAATAAAGTCACTACCCCAGAGGCCTATTTTGCTGTATATATATAACATTTCTTGTCCTATAGTTACTTTAATCAGCTGGGCGTGGGGGTTGCGTCAACACTAACGCCCCATGAATTCAAACAGCAAGGCCGGATACCCTTCTATGACATGAGCTCAGGATTCTCAGAGCCTAGCAGTCATGGTAGCTCCATTTTTTAGCTTTTGAGAATTATATGGAGTACTAAATTGGATGTACAGAATTTACCTCCCCATCCATCCGCCGTCCACTGTAAGAATCTCGCCAGACACATATAGGCTGGCCTTGCTGGCTAGGAAGATCGTCGCCCCGATGAAGTCCTCTGAGGTGCCCCATCGACCGGCAGGAATTCTAGCCAGAATGCTGGCCGCCCGATCCTTATCATTGATTAATGCCTCATTCATGTCCGTGACGACGTACCCAGGCGCAATAGCATTCACATTGACGCCCTGGGAGGCCCACTCATTAGATAAGGCTTTGGTTAACTGGGATACTCCACCCTTAGCCGCCGCATAAGCTGGCACAGTCAACCCGCCCTGGAAAGAGACTAGGCTGGCAATGTTGATAATGCTTCCGCGATGCCCCATCGCATCAGGGGTCCGAGTGAGCATATGTGCGCCGACATCCCGGCATAGGGTAAACACTGTGGACAGGTTGACCTGCAGGACCTGGTGTCCAACATTAGCATGAAAGGCAGGTAGAGACTAGGGGTAAGCTCACCTCATCCCAATCCTCCTTGGGAAACTTATGGCTTGGATGCCGTCTCTGAATACCGGCACACGTCACCAAAATGCTAACATCATGGCCATCCCTCAGCACCCTCGCAGTCAACTCGGATACATCCTGATCCGATGCTAGGTCGCATGTGTAGATCCATGCTTTTCTTCCCATGGCTTCAATCTTTTGCTTAGTACCCAAGTTACTTTCATCCCGCTGTACCCATCGGTATCATCAGAATCAAAGGTCCTTCACAAAACAAGTTGTTCATAATCCGAATTACCTGGATCAATATAACGTCCGCACCAGCTTCAGCCAGTGCAATGGCCATCGCGGCTCCGATGCCTCGGGTCCCGCCTGTTACCATCCCTGTCCTCCCCTCCAGAGAGAAATACCTTTCGATAGCTTTTGCAGCCATACTAAGGTTTCCACAAAGGTAATTTCGTAAAACCGTGAAAAGAGAACGCAACGCAGGGCACAACGCATACAGTGTCGCTTATGCGGTGTTCAGTTGTATTGCGGGGTTTAAATAGGACACCGGCTTCTTCGGCTCATCTTCGGCTCATCTTCGGCTCATCTTCAGCCCTGTGAGGGTGGACCCACACGTGTCTGACATCCGAATAACCCTAAAACGCGGAGAAGAGCGTGGGGGTATGCTACCCCCACAGGTCATTGGGGCCGCAGAGATTCCCCATTTATGATCATTAGGATTTTGACCCCCACGCACAACATCTATCTCTGTCCCCAGTTCTACCCCGCGTGGGAAAGGCGGCCCCCCGCAATCCTCTTTAAACTTTAATCCAGGCCATCCAGCTTGTCTATAGTACCGTATGAGACCATTCCTGTCTCCCTAGGGTTTCCCAGACCTTGGCGTACACAGAGAGCTATATGAAACACTCGCCTCTCCCACCCAAATCCTACCCCCAAGAATAACTCCCATTGCTACTTTCTCTTTGGAATACCCGGCACTCATACTTCAGTATGGCTGATAAGGAAAATTCCCACTCATCATGCATCGAAGACATTAATGAAAAGCAGCTGTCGAAGGGGGCCACAGGGCTACCGATGAAGCCAGCTTCCCTCAGAGCACTGTCTGAGGTAGAATATACCAAGATTGGTCGCAGAGCGACGCTGAAGTTGGATGCTCTGATTATGCCATGCATGGTTACCATGTACATTTTGAACTATCTTGACCGACAGAACATCGCCGCGGCTAAGCTCGCTGGCATCGAAGAGGATCTACACATCTCGGGTGTGCAATACCAGACTTGTGTCAGCATTCTGTTTGTTGGTTACAGTAATTATATTTCCAACGCCCCTCGCACTTTCGCTGCTAACTATGCTCGTGTAGTTTTAATGCAGGTCCCATCAAACATTATTGTCGGCAAGATTCGATGGCCTGGCATTTATATTTGTATAGCGATGGCCCTCTGGGGTCTCCTCTCGGCTCTCACCGCTATAGTCCATAACTTTGCCGGTCTTATGGCTTCCCGCTTCTTCCTCGGCTTTATCGAAGCCGTTTTCTTCCCTGGTGCCTTATTCTACATGTCGCTATTCTACACTCGAAAGCAATATGCTCTACGGACAGCCATCTTATACTCCGGGTCCCAGCTCGGTAACGCGTTTGGTGGACTCTTCGCTATTGGTATCCTTGAGCTGGATGGAAAAAGCGGAATGGAAGGCTGGCGATGGGTGAGTATGTTCTCTGCTTCTTCTTTCGGCTCCCTGGCTTGGTTTCTGACATATGCCTCTTTAGCTTTTCCTGATTGAAGGCGTGCTCACTATTGCCTTGGCTATTATTATTGCTTTCATCCTTCCTAACAAGCTGACGACTCTGAGGGGTTTCACCAAGTTAGAAAAAGAATGGCTTGTATGGAACTTCGAGGAAGATCAAGGACAACAAGACAATGCGGACGAGATTAGTGCTAAGAAGGGTGTTTCAATGGCCGTGACCGACCCGAAGACTTGGCTACTCATGGCGACGCTATACGCTGTGGGTCTCTTATTCTGACGGCTTTACTCTGCTAAGACTGACAACGGCCGCAGATTTATATTGCGGCTGCCGTGAGCAACTTCTTCCCTTCTGTTGTGGCCACGCTAGGGTACAACCGTAACGAGACTTATGCCCTCACTGCGGTAAATATGCTCCCATTCTCTTAAGCTTTGTAATCTGGTGACTAATGCTGCTGACAGCCCCCTTACATTCTTTGCGTCATTGTAATGGTGATCAATGGATTCCATTCCGACAAGGTACATAACTTGAGACTCCACCTCCTTCACTCAGACTTGCTCACCATCACTTTAGAAACAAGAACGTTATTGGCATATTGTATGTCCGATGATCATCTGTCTCGCTGCAAACATCATCGCCGTCGCCACATTGAATACAGCCGCACGATGTAAGCAGGGCTGCCATAATATAGTCTCAATATGAGCACACCAAAACCGCTGACTACGATGCAGATGTTGCTATGATGATGATGCCTGGCTCCTTCTACGCGGCGGCAATTGTCGTTCTTTCCTGGGTGGCCGGTTCCCTGTCCCAGCCAACCATCAAGCGTGCTTCCGCCATCGCTTTGATCAATGCTGTCTGCAATACTCCAAATGGTACACCCTACGCTTTTCACTACCTGCACCTGGAGCTAATATGTCATGTTTAGTGTGGTGTTCCTATCTATATGGTTCATCACCGCGGTATCTGGTTGCTTTCTTGGTCAATCTGGCCGCATCTGCCGTTGCCATAATTGCAGCCACCGGAACCCGGATGTATCTTCGACGACAAAACCATAAGCTTGACAATGGCATTGATACTGGCCGGAATGGGCCAACACCGGCTCAGCAGGCTTCTGGCTTCCGCTACACCCTCTAGGCGTTCTATTACACAGTATATATTCCGTGAGTGAGAACTGGAAGGCAGTCAAGCTTGGCCGTTGTAGATGAGTGGATGCTATGTCCCTGTGGATCGCAGAACCCAAAAATACTGGTTCTGGCGCATCTCTTTTCTGTCCTTCTCCAGTTCTTGCTCCCCCCTTCTTAGCTACGCCATCATAGACGACCTAGAACTGACTCGGTCAGTTGTTAATCCAAAGCTTCGATCTAGCGGTATGGACCACATCTAGAGAACAGCTATACCATCTACAATAGAAAGGAGCCAAACACCCAAACCGTATCCCAAAAATATTACATACATATGCATTCCCGGACTGAAGGAAGGAGCTGACCTTTCACTTTGTTCCGGCCCCAGTCAAACTCCAGAAACATATGTCACTAAGGGCAAAATTTTGGCCTGGGGTGGAACTGTCGTTCTTGAACGATTACCATCTGGTGCCGTTATGAATACACCTATTCCGAATCCATATTGCCCTCCCGAAGAGGAGGATCACCGTCAAAATATGTGTCTTGAGGCTAAGATTTATGCAATGATAGGAGAGCATCCATGTGTGACTAGGATAAATCCACTGGGACAAAAAGCCTGCTGCTGTACGATGGAGTACCTGGAGAATGGAAATCTCCAAGAATATATTTAAGGGAACCAGCAAAATATAATGCTTTAACTTCGACCCTGATGGAGTAGACAGGCTGCTGAAGCGCTAGGTGTTCTTCATGCCCTACAAGTTATATTGTGATCTCTCACCAACAAACTTCCTTCTCGACTTCAATGTCAATGTCAAGATCACTGATTTTGGCGGCGATTCACTATGCGGTTCAGATCCCTCAGCTACTCCGGTGACGAGGTTTCGACACCCTGGCTACAATACCAGCACATGGTCTAGGGCTAACCGAATAGAAAATGTGTTCTTCCTCTCTCACACAACGCGTAAATGCTTTACATCTCCTGACTCTGTCTGACATAGTTAATGATCAGAAGGCTGGGGTAAGCCCAGAGTTGCAGATAACAACACCACAATTCAGCAGCTAGCAATATATTAAACATGCTGGCAGCGTTCTTTAGGTGTAGTAGCAGTAAGTCGCGTTACACAGAAAGAAGCATATCAAAGTGATCAAATCTATACCGTACCTGTCTTGTCCATAAAGCACTTACTACCTAGCAGACAAAATTTCACAATTATGACAAAAGGAAGGCAAGGGGGCAGTAGGGACGAGAAGGAAGGGAGAACTAAGTGGGACAGCCCTGTAAAATAAGGTTGCACTAATGCAAGTTACTGACAAGGGACTCCATCATAACCAATGACCACATCAAGGAAGCTTTAGTGACATTAGGTAATTCAACAATGATGAACGTTCGAAATCTCTAGGCTCATACTCTTACTCTTACGAAGCCAATTCTATCACTCCCTAAATCTGATGGAAAATTGGCTGTTTCGCCAAGGAGGATCGTATAGGACGCGTCATTACAGTTTATCAACCTGGATCCACTTTCATTCCCATGCATTGTCCAACAAGGCAACCACCCAAACAGCAAAAGTTGAAAGAGCTTAGTTTCTTTTTTCACAGAAAAAGCTCAATAATGAGCGGGATATAGAATTCGAAAAGCAGGCAGATGAAAATGCGTAAATATGATGCGCAAGTAGAAAAGCGATCTTTAGTACGGCCGAGCTAAGTGACACAATGGCTTTCTCAAAACACTGCGAACATATTCCAGTGGACCACATGCCGCCATTCGTCAAAATTCCGCTACAAAAGTCCATATCAAGAACCCTATTCCACCATCAAAGCGGAGATTCCAAGTCCTCCTCAATCTCATGGATGCGCGGATGAGCTCCATAAGTGGCTGCCGGATAGTCCTGGAAGTAAAGAGCAGGTTCTCCCCGTTTCGCGCGCCAGTAGTTTGTCGACTCAAGCAAGCTACGACTGCCACGAACTACCCAGGGCCACTTCTGCACAAATGCTTCGGTCACCTCCCAACCTTGCTGATCCCACGGCTCCCCCCATACAATCACACCACCGCGCCCGCTGCTCACGGATTGGAAACCCTGCATATCGCGACAGAGCTGAGCGGCGTCGTATGTAGTCTCGCTTTGACACAACAGATTGTCACGAAGCTCGGCCACTGGTAAGAGATCAATCCATGGATGATGGGGAACACTGCGTTGAAGAGCAGTGGGCTGCAGACTCACTGGCAAGGTGTTGAAGAATGCCTCATTGATATTCAGTGATGTGAATGAAGACCAAGCGCCAGGTGCCATGTGCTGCGATGTATACCCCAGAATTTGTGCATTAGCCACCAGAGAGCGTGTGGTATTGAACTGGACTAAGCTTGGGAGGGGCTGTGTATCAAGACATCCCTGTAGATAGCGCTGTGATATCCACGATGAGAACTAGTTAATAATCCACTGTGTTTGCTCAGAATCAGGTTCACAGGCCGTAAAGGAGCATATGTTGCCTGATAATGGAAATTGACTGCTCTGTGGGATTTGGTTTTGATTAAGCATAGTGAGCTGCGAATCAGTGAAAACATTCTCTGAATAATAATGTATTGGGCTTGGTGCAGGATAAGGTAGAAATCTGAACCTCTTCCGCTGCCCTTTTTGCCACATAATTCAGTAATATGTTAGTGATACGGACTTCTAGTAGCTACTAGAGGGGGGGATGACAAACGGCTAGCCCTCTGATTGACTCGATCTTGCAGTTTTTTCCTCTCTTTAGGATCAGTTATGCCGGTCCAATCATCTCTATCCCCAGCATGCAGCTGCTGGGGCATGAGCTGCAGTGGAATTCGCTGAGCTGACATTGTCAATAAGGAGGCTGTACATTTTCTTTTATGAAGGTAAATAGTACTGCATCATGGATCGCTGCTAGGGGGGAAAGTCTACAACCAACCCCTAAAATAATATTAGTAATACATACAGGGATGACGTCATTCATAATCAACTAGGACATTCATTATGTGAAATATCACGCGGAAGAAACTTCTACAGCCACTTGCAATTATATTGCTTTGACATTTCTTGAGAGTAAATCGTCCGATGTTTCTCCTAGCTCATTATCTGGCTCATTATCTGGCTCATTATCTGAGTTTCCTCTGGTCTCAGTATAGACATGTACTTAGTATAGTCCTATGCCTGTCAACTCAACTCCATTAGAATTCCGGAGCACGACGTGGACATGATGTGTGTTTGCTCGCCTAATCCAAAGCGGGATAGGACTCTACTAGCATCAGATAGATCGCAAAGACTTGTTTTATAGGACGGCCTATGTCAGCCTAAGAAATCACTGGATTGTGGCTGAAGACCTTACAAGACCGAGAAGAATCAGAATACTTGGCGACTGAATATCCACAGGCTGGTATTGATCAGGACACACGATATTTGCTATTATTTTATGAAAACACATTGCTGCCTTATGTCGGCGGCCACGCGGTCCCATTTAGCACCATGTTACGCAGGATTATATCCCAGTTTTTGATCTGCGCAATGGAGTTCGTCCACCCCATGAGACTGGAAATATCCCCTGAGGTCCGTAGGTTGAACATTTGGGTAATGATCATTGTCCAACACATCACCTAAGTGGGCTTCAGGCTGAACGCACCAGTACACAAAACATCTGCAGAAGAGGATGAGTGTTGATCCAAATGGCAGGGCTTTCAGATACGCACCTTGGTGCCCAGCTCATCACATCACTTGGATTATTGTTAAACAACTCCTGCACTGTGTCATATAGCTCTTTGACTGATCCTAGTGTCACAAGGTGAATTGGGGCATGATACACCTCGTTAAAGATCTCCTTGATCTCTAGCAAGCTTTTTCGGTCACCCCGAACTATACTTGTCAGCATACACACAATATAAAATCCCTGTCACTGGCTAGTGATGCGTTACACTCACAGCGTAAGATTCCAACTGCACTTTTATCAAGTGCTACAGCCGCTGTGTAAGCAGCTGCTGTTTCGTAGGTTGTCAAGTCCCACTTCTCCTCGCCCGTGCCCCACAAAGAGAGGGACCGGGTCCCGCGATCCCAACATCCAAAGAACTCGCTCCAGAATGTCTCCATCAGGACACCTGTCAGGATGTGAACTCCTGCAACTTTCTTTGAAGCGAGGTAGTCCCTGATGATTCGAGCCGACTCCTTCGGGAAGAGAGCACTGGCAGGAATCTTTGTGTAATCCACAGCGAAGTCACTGGCAATATATCGAGAGACACCGGCCTCTTCACAAGCATCTACCAGCACCCTCTGTCCCCGCACCATCACTTCCGGACTGCCAAAATAGCAGCAGATGACCACGTCGGCTCCTCGCACAAATTCAAGTGCGGCAGTCTCATCATCGAATTCGCCTTTGATGATCTCAATATTCCTCTTCGACAGAAGGCATTGAGGCAGCTTCTCTGGGCTCCGACAAAAGCCTCGAATAGATACATCTGGATATGTCTGCAGCATGCTTGCTATACATTGCGCAAATTTGCCCGTGAGCCCAGCGATGGCTACTGTCGTCGGCATTTTCTGTGATGCTTCAGCGGACCACGAGGGCAGTAGAGAAGAGGGCAAATAGAAAATAACACAGGATGGGAAGATTGGACTTGAACGGCTCAGGATTTGGAATTTCTTATACGCTTGGGTTTTGTTAGATCTACGCCAAGTGAATTTGTCATCCATCATGTCTGCTGATGAATCAGGGAGCAGAATGAACGGATCCGTTGGTTTCAGCAGTTCCGAAGTATGGAGCAGAGTGTACCTTGTGTCGCAATGTGGGTGCTGATGTCCTCTTCGACCCTCCTAGACTGTGTTCAAAAATCTCTCTTGCTTGCAGTAGTATGTGGTACCACTGAAAGCAATGCACTGAGAATTTGTCCGATTCTTCAACAAAGTTTCTACCTTACTCTCTGATGTATTTTCACTTCTGTGTCTCGCCAGTCAGTATCCTACAGAGGTTCAGACTCAGATATGTTAATTTTGCCCTCCCCCTCCCCCTTTGATTTCTCAAAGCGGGAACCAGCTGGACAACGCTCTAGTATCATTTACTTGCTAACCGATCAATTTTTGTTCGGCTTACCAGATTAACTATTCAAAGCCATCAGAAGGCCTCGTCCACAGCCGGAAGTAGCACCCGTTCCCGCGGCTACCGAGCGTTCCCATCCGGTGAGACAACCCGATTTTCAATGAAGTTCGGCTCGCCAAATGCCTGCTTGACCCCCTCCTGTTCGATCACTCGCAGGTACCATTCCACCGTCAAAGGATACTTGGACCGCATGTCCGCATCCACAACTTGTCCAAAGCCCCAGTACATTGCCGCCGCGACGGAAAGGTCAGCCATGCTGACATGTCCTGACGCTAGATATTCGCGATCCTGAAGATGCCCCTCCAGAACGCAGAGGGAGACTTCCAGCCGCTGAAAGGAAGTCGCTTCGAGAGGTTCGTCGAACGGAGCCATGCTGTAGCGCCAGAGCACCATATTCTGCAAGGGCTCGAATAGCTCGTGGTCGGCGAATTCGGTCCACTGACGAATCAGGGCACGCTCGTCCACAGAGGAGCCCAGCAGCTGGCTGCTGGCGGGTCCACTTTCAGCGGCGTACTGCGCAATGGCATCTGACTCGAAGAGTTTGATACCGGTCACACTCTTGAAGGTTGGCACCTTGCCCAGAGGAAAATCGCGTAGAAACTCGGGTGATTTGTTGGTTTTGGTCATGATAAAATCCGGGGCAATATCCACCGTACGTCCGTTCAGGGCCGCAGCCGCTTGAACCTATTCAACCCGTTCAGTCAGTCGATGAGGGCAAGGAGTATAAGCAGTAGAGAAATACCTTCATCACCCGAGGATTGAACGGGTACGTATAAATCGTTCCAATGGAAGCCATATTGACAATTCAGATAATGCTACCGGCCTTAAAAGAAAAATGAGGAGACAAGGTGCTCGTGGCTTCGTTGTTCCTTTGGAATTGACCTCGGTCATCGTGTACCTTATAAACCCCTGGTTCTTGAGCTGCTGAATAATGTGTCGGTCAGGTTCTGAGTGTCCTACACGAAGAAAACTTGATTTATAATCCGTTCTATCAGCCAAAATTCATTCCCAAATTCGGGTATGTGGCGTACTCCAATTGACACCTTCCTATAGAATGAACGGTCCAGAATGGAATCGCCTTATGGATACATGTGTTTAGTTCTGTCCCGTACTAAGCTTGGTTCGGCTGTCAGTAACCTGCATTAGCGCCAGAATTAGAGTTTGATCTGCACTGCAGTAAATCGTGGTTCGACTTCAACGGTTCAACCATGTAAAGCGTCTTCAAACCTACTCTATGCGCCGCTATTTGCCAATTACCTGGAAGTGTCCGAATTGACTTTTGTCTGCTGTCGTCTTTGTTGGTAGATTTTTTGTCCTTTCCCAAACACCCACCCCACCCTCTACCTTTCTCTCCCATCCCTCTTTGAGATATTCTCATTGGAAGGTCCTGATCAACTACGAGGACAATTCAATTTCTAGTATACTGTTGCGTCTCTGTATTTTCTCCCATTGATAGAATTTCATGGTCAAGTTTCTGCTCAGTAGTCGCTAGATATCGCAATTTACAGAGTGACAATCACTTTCTTCGCCGAAACACCCTTCTTCTGCACGTCGAGGGCATGTTGGATGTCCTTAACTCCGTTTCCAACTATGTAAGGGTCAGGCTTAGCTTGGAGCTTCCCGCTGGCCAGCGCTTTAGGCAAAAACTCGCCCCAAATCCATTCCCCAATAAACTTGTGCGGATCTTGAATGATCGAGTAGGCGATCACTGTAAATCCATCCGTGTCAGTCATTACGTGGTGCCATTTCCCCCTAATCAGAAGCAATACCAGATACCAGAAAGATTGGAGAAGATTTGACTGACCGTATTTCGGAGCGAATCGCGGAGTCTGCTGCTCGCAAGGCAGGACGCTGGCAGTATTCACCGGCCTGTCCAATCGGTCGGCAAGTGCAGAAATAGCTGCAGCGCTTGTTTCTTCCCCGATCGCGTCGTAGACTCCCACAAATTCCGTGTTTGTGATAGCTTTAGCGATATCGTCGACCACCGTAGGAGACCGATAGTCAAACACGGCGTCGGCACCCAAGAACTTGACAAATTCATGGTTGGCCATGGATGCGGTGGTGATCACAGTCAAGCCTGAGGCGGTTGCCAGCTGGATGGCTGTGGCACCAACAGAGGATGCACCACCCCAGATCAAAATGGTTTGACCAGTCTTCTTGACATCACTTACAGAGGGCAGAGGGAGGCTCAGGTAGTCCTTCCGATAGAGTCCCGCGCAAGCAGTAGAAACCGCCAGCGGGAGAACAACTGCTTGCTTGAGCTCGAGCGAATCGGGAATTTCCGCCACGAGCGCCTCTGTCACGACTGTGTACAGTTGGAATGCTGAGTTGGCCGGATCCTGGGTCATGAGGCCATTGCAGTGACTGAGAAGGCGTTAGAGTTAATCTGGCTTCAGTTGCATGAGCACTCACGCAATCACTCGCTGGCCTTTTTTAAACCTAGTCACTCTGGTGCCCACATCCTCGACAATCCCTGCAGCATCTTGTCCTAAGATAAAAGGATAGGTATTGAGATACCTGCCGTAAGATCTAGTTTCAGGGCAATCAGAAAGGGAACAGAGTGTCAACTATGAAAGAAACATACTGGATCTTCCAATCGACAGGGTTCTAGTCAAGGAAGGTCAGTTATATGCAGAAAAGAAGGTATAGTGCTGCCTTACTATGGCAACGACGGCATTCCTGATGAGCACCTGTCCCTCACCAGGCTGAGGCTTTGGTCCGTTCTTGACAACGAATGGATACGCCGCAGGTCCAGTGAGCCAAGCAGATTGATTTGTTGCCATTTTTATATGTTGTTGGGGCCTGAATTTGATCATATAATGGTGATAAGAGACTAAATTTATTATATCAGTATAAGTAAGAAGGCAAAGATAGTGAGGGGAACAATGGCTTAAGCAGGGTATAAATACCTATTAACTAGTTAGTGGTTGCTTCCTTTGTCATGTCCTAGATTAATCAGGGCGACTAAAGTTCACTTCTTGACTACCTACCTTACTACTACCCTACATGATTATTATTTACATTTCTTACGGAGTACATGTGTCCGTAACGGAGTTTAGGGCATAGTTCCGCCGAACCATGATATTGCAACTCACCTCGACATCCAGATGATATCATGGCGGATTCGTTCAGGTTTCGATTTGTCATCCAAAGCAAGTAAGACAACTTAGTAAATGGTTAGACAACCGGTGAGAGTATCCAGAAAGATGAGAAATCTGGTATAAATTGCAACCAAGTAGGTTTCTTTCTCGTAGTTTCTAATTTCGAAGACTCGTTTTGCTACGCATCTATTCAATATGCCTTCCATTCAAGACTCAACTATCCTTATTATTGGTGGTAGCTCTGGAATAGGCTATGGGGTTGCGGAGAAGTGCCTTACTGAGGGAGCCAGAGTTCACATCGCTTCCTCGAACAAGTCCCGAGTTCACTCGAGTGTCAAGTCACTAAAGGAGAAGATCAGCAACGCTCCAATTTCCGGTCATGTCTGTGACCTATCCAGCCGTGATGTCGAGAAGAATCTTGAGCAGCTACTAAGCACTGTCGCCCCGATCGACCACATTGTTTTCACCGCTGGAGATAGCCTTGCCATCATGCCATTGGACAGCATTGATCTGGATATGATACAGCGAGCGGGGCATATCCGGTTCGCCGTGCCCCTGTTGATTGCGAAAGTCGCGCCACGATTCATAAAACCTGCTTATCAATCCTCTATAACTTTGACCACGGGAGCTGGCTCCCAGAAGCCATCCCCAACTGGTCGTTGGTTGCCGGTTATCTGACCGGCTTGCATGGACTTACCCGCAACTTGGCCTTGGACCTCAAACCCCTCCGTGTAAACCTGGTGAGCCCTGGCGTGGTAGTGACTCCTTTGTGGGGGCAGGACGGAGTACCGGACGAAATGAAAAATCACACTACTCTGGGTAAAGTCGGCACCCCAGACGAAGTTGCGGAAGCCTACGTCTATCTGATGAAGGACACCAATGCTACTGGAAGCTGTATTAGTACCAATGCAGGATCACTTTTGCTGTAGCAGGGAAAGTGAACATGGGTATTTCTGGCTGAAAGCCTGCTCCTTACTGCTCATTTCACTTCTGTGCAAAAGAAATTGCAAGTAAATTCCCATATTGCCTCACCAATGTATTGAGAACCGAGAGGGTGCTTCATCACCTGATCCTCATCTCATAACATAATCTGTACATAGTGTCACAGGCTTTACTCGGTATTCTTATAAGTAGTGGCTCCCCTCCCCCCAACCACCTCTTCCTAGACCAAAGTCTACTGAAAACTAAAGCTCCTCAAATTTACTAGAACTTTGTGTTTGTTCCTTGTCTTCTTAACCACATCAGTACATTTCTGTTCTTCCTCATATCATGCATCAGAACCGCGCAGCTTGGATTGTCGCTGTAAAGGCTAAGCCTTTCCGCGTCGATACCGCCCCTATGTACAAGCCCGGTCGTGGGGAAGTATTGATTCCGAATCATGCAGTCGCTGTAGTACGTTGCAGAAGCTGTTAATCATATGATGTCTGACTGACAAACATCCCTGGTCTAGAACCCCGTGGACTGGAAAATACAGTGAGTGTTCTGCTACGTGATGATCCTGCAAGAGCATCTAATACTGGACCTTTCCAGGGAGTCTGGTCGCTATCTCAATTCTTACCCATTTATACTGGGTAGAGACGCCGCGGGAATCATCGAGGATGTCGGTGAAGGAGTAGTCAGACTCCACAAGGGACAACGCGTCATTGCGTGAGCACTATCAAGTTCGCCTTGCAGTAGCTGTGCTTACATTGGGACCCCAGGCATCTACATAGCCCAAACTCAGGGAACTATGCGCACGCCGCCTATCAATTCTACTCCTTAGCCATTGAGGGACTTACGGCGAGTATTCCCGCAGATATCAGCTTTGAGCAGGCTGTGGTTTTGCCTCTTGCTATATCTACTGCTACAGCAGGCCTTTACCTCCCCGAGTACCTTGGCCTGCCATTGCCTTCCCTTAATCCAGGATCATCAGGGAAGACACTCTTGATATGGGGTGGAGCTTCGTCAGTGGGTGCGACGGCCATTCAATTGGCTATTGCGTCCGGACTCCAAGTTATTGACACTGCGTCTTCTTCGAACTCTGGTTTTGTGACTTCGTTGGGAGCCGAGGTCTTTGACAGACAATCCATTCTCCCCCATAGTATCGCGTAGCTGCGGCGCAATTGAACCTGCAACAACTCGAACAACAGTCTAAGGGTTAGGATAGTGCAGACGACGTTGCGTCCGTTTTGGTGGATTGGCACTGGCCATAATCAGCAAACAGATGATGCGATCAAGGGAAGGAAAGGAACACCCTACCCATTAAAGGACAAATCGACCAGCAAATCTCCTTGAGCATTGAAAATGGGATTTTTCATCAGGTAGCTGCCCTTGCCAGGTAGGAACAGCCGCTGCTGGTTGGCGAGGGCATATAGGAGATTCTTCTCTACTCTTTGGAGCGCGCTTTGCATGCCACCCTGCAGCATTTCCTTCCATCTGGCCGCGAGTATAAATGGTGGTGTCTCCCATTGCATGTCTCCATCATGATCATAGGACACATTCACGGTATTAGAATTGGGAACAATGTTGACCTCCAAGCCACCGTCTTCAACTGATGCCATCGCGAGCGATATAGACCAGCTGATTCCGAATGTCATCAATGTCCTGTTGCCCAATCCAGTGTTGTCAGTTGGATCTGGCTCCCTAGAAGTAGGATTCGGATCTTTGGGGACTAGATCCTTACCATGTATGTCGTTTACTTGTCTTATGATCTGCTCTGAAGATGAAGGTACTCTGGCCATTCAGATCCACCTGCTCTTTACCAGGATGGAATTTGAGTGAAGCACTGGTAGATGTGGCTGTAAAGACCGCCTGTTAGTCCACTGCCAGTCGTCCAAAGCAGCCAGGGAGACAAACACTCTTCCGTCAACGTCATGGTGTCGTGAGGATCGCGACCATTAACAGCCATATTTTGACTCTGACGATATTCACCTTCCAACAGCCAAGTGTGTGGCCACAAAAAACCAGCTGGCTTAAACTGGTACTGGCCATCTTGAGCCTCATCATCTCCAGCATGGAACTTCGGACCCGAGCGGAAAGGAAGGTCCTCATTATCAGGACTCCATTTAACAGAGGGTTCATCGGGGTAAGGGACCATGCCGATGACGATTTGCCGCAGCACGGAATGCATCCAAGGCCAAAACAAGGCTTGGTTCATGCAGAACGTACCCTCCCGACTCTGGTCATCAACCCAAGCTCCAGTATAATCAATGGCCCCGTGGGCCGGGGGCTCGTCGAAGTTGGACATCATCAGATACGAGAGAGCGTTGCACTCTTGATTGTCCTTTGGGGCAGAGGTGCCATCTGCTCCTCGCCACGGGTAGCAGAAGTAATCAATGCTGGTAGGAGGAAATGTGGGTGCGTATTCGTTTACTATGCGCGAATCACCGATGAGCCCTGACATTCATTCCGAGAGCAATGGAGGGAACACCTTACACTCCTCGTCTTCCTGGCGTTCTGCAGAGTAACCCAGGATGTTAGAGCCCTTTTCCTTCATCACATTCAGCCAGCGCTGGATGAAAGTATCAAAGGTGGCTCTGGCCTCGGCACTCAGGTTCCTCCACTCGTCCTCTTTGTCCCCAAAATCGCTGAGTTCTGGGTTCCATTTTGTCGTTGCTGTTCCAGAGCAACAGGTTACCCAGTCAGAACGCTCATAACAGGTACGGGTGGGAGAGACACTCACATGATGCATCGATGAATAGCACCGCCAGAGAGAAGTTGGAATTGGGCAGTCCAGCACGCTCCTTGAACTCTCGGTACTCTTCCGAGTCTTTGGTTATCTGCTTTCTTGCTGTCCGCTTGATGAGCCATGATAATCAATTAAAGATCAGTTCGGGGCCGTCGTACCAATTGTGACCGAGAAAGCGAACACCCAGTTATTGATATCCCAGTTGATTTGGCTATCATCTTTAGGGTCATCGGTCAAGTAAAGACGCACTTCACCGTCAGTCATGCGAAGCCGAAAATATAACATGGGATCCTTCGTAGTGACCTGCAAGCTGATGGTGGGCTTTCCCACTTTGAACTTTAGGAAGTCCCCCGACTTGGTAGACCGTTCGAACTACTTCAGGGGGGTCTTGTTAGGATCATCTGGATCATCCGGTTCAGTCTGGGCGAGCTGCCACATAAGACTGAAGGAGTTGTTGATCATCTTCTGCGACAGGAAGATCGCCTGAGCATAAGGTGCAGGACTTGTGGTTTCCACGTAGTTATCGTTTGTGGTCGCCATGATGGGGAGGTGGTTTGCAGTCTGCCGATAAAGCTCTGCTTGTGTGAATAGAGGTGGAGGAAGTTGGAACGGCCTTATATGTTTGTGGTTTCCGTGGCCTCTGTATAGAATGGCAAGCCTATGTCTGCCATTTCATCACACCCCGCTTGTCAACAATGGCAGTACGTAATTGATGGATGCCTGATTGCATGAATGTCAGTGTGAAGCTGTTGCACATCATCAATAGCTCATGCTACATGAATCTGAATCACCAGCTGAACATGGAGCAAATCCCTCGTCCGCGGGTGGAGTCAAATTGCGGGATTAATTGTGCCTGTGTACGAGGATATCACCCAACAGCTGCATGCACCGGGCGACTTGATGCAGCAGAATCCGGCTTTTCTCTCAATGTTCCGCCACTATTCGCGCAATCAGCCCCTGGTCAATGACTAGTCTGATACATAATGCAGGGTGCATATCGGGCGGGGTCGTGCAGCTCGAGGGTATACAAAAACCCGCTCGCTTAATCCAATCAGGGACTGGCTGTGAGGCGTTCATACAGATCACAAGACGGGCCGTCGCGGTTGTCGATCTTGATGCGCAAGCTGGGACTGCAGATCATGGCTGTCCTCTGGCTGCGCCGAGTATATTTGCCACGGTCCTTAGCAGGTACAGATCCCTGACGACCGGTGCGGATTGGCCCAGTTACTCGCTTAATTTGCCATGGCCCAAAGTAGAAGCACATGAATAACCAAGGTAAATATGCAGAATCCCGGCATTTCGAACAATTCACCTCGCGTCAAGTGGGGGTTAGGTGTAAGCCATAGGTTGCAATACACGTACCAGGCGTGCAACGACTATACCCCCATATAGCAGGGAGGCAATGCCTTTCTCTGGAATTCGAGTCGTGCAAATGATGCAGGATTGCCGTCACCTCAGCTCAGCCATGCATAGCAACGCCAGTTAGCATATGCAGCTTCCAGGTTTATACCATGACTCTCAGCTCGTCACCATACTGGTGGCAGTCCAGACTCGAGCTGAAAGAATGAGTGCTATACCCGCAGCTTTGATGTAGCTCGACCCCGCATGGAAAATAGACATTGGATGATATCATGCTTATTTCAATTGGCAAGCCTATCCTGGACCGATATCGGTCGACCCCTCTGAAAGGAAGAGGAAGACTGATTTACTTCCTATAAGAGGCTATTGGCGCACGACCTCGAACACTCCTCATTCCCATTGAGAAGATGCATTCACCCCTAGCTGTCAGCAGTCTCCATTAGCTTGCGAAGAACCGACCAGACTTTACTACTCTTTCAGTTTGTCATATCACTTAATCATCATGATCAGTGTCGTCAAGGATGGGGAATTGATGACCAACTATGTCACAATGAACCCAGTGCCGGCGGGTGAGGCCTTTGGGGCCTTCACCGATCAGAACAATTAGCCTGCAGTGATGAGTCTGAGTGAGGACCATATCCTGTACCTCATTATTAGTGAAGACGGGAAGGTCACACGGCTCGACTTTGGCAAAAGCTCGGGAATTGTCACAGGAGACAGACAGGTGCAGGCGTTTGCGGTGCAACAAGCGCTGGATGGAACCTTGGACATTTGCATTGCAGTCGAGACGATAGGCTCCCGATCTCACTTCTACCTGCTTCATGCCATTCGGCCGGACGAGCTTCTTCAACCCATACCTTCAAAGGAGATCATCGACGGCCTCAACTTTCCCGCCGTAGCTCACATCTACATGGTATGTTGAAATGCATCCCATAAACTGTGCCTCGCTGACCCTGTGCAAGGGGAACAAATCCATGGCCATGTCTCAGTCCCTGCCGCTGGTGATGGTTGCCTTCGTTCGGCCGGACCGACTCACCAAGACGGAAGAACTCAACTTTGTCGAATTCAAGGGCAGGGACGCCAAACTCAACGGCGACTGGGATGTCGAAGCAAACCCGCAACGCATCCTTGCAGTGGAGCTTGGGACATGCTCACTCGGCGATGGGGCGTTTATTCTGTACGAAGGCCAGAGTGGCATCATGCACCTGCTGTTCCAGACTTTCACTGGCCCGATCAAGTTCTCTGTTCAGCCTCAGTGCCCCGAGGGTACGTAGAGTCTCTTACCAGGACCAGGCATAGTCGTAGGGAAGTTCTGCTAACGTGAGCGACGACAGGAGCGGTGGGACTGAGCAGCTTCCTGGATACTCGAACACAAATGACCAACCTGCTCGTCGGAGGAAGGCTGATTACCTACTTCACCCCCAAGGATTACACCACGCCAAAAGGGGCTGGAACTGTGATTGATGCGCTGGAAAATGTCCCGGGATTGAAAGACATCCATTCCTCCCAGGCGGGGGAGAGCTTACGCCTTTGGTACACGACAGTGGATGATGCACTCTACTATTACACCACCACAACTGCGGACCTGTCAACTGGCATAGATGTCCCGCTGCTCCCAGAGGGCCAGGGAGGACGCGTGTCTGGTCTTCTTTGTGCGCAGTCCAGAGAAGGCCAAGACGACCTTCTGGTCAGTAGTCTTCTTTCGGTGGACCAGAATTCGAATATCTATCTTCTCCAACAGGACTCTGCTTCAAAGACCTGGCAACAATACCCGTTCTGGTTCTCTTCGGAGAAGAACGTGAAGGAAGTCGAAAGCTATATGCTCCGGTTCCGGGTTCTGCAGAACGCTGACCCCGATGCCTCTCGCAATGACGACGAGGGAGAGATGATTGCCGGTTCCTGGTTGTATGTCCGTTGCTCCGGTGTTGTGCGATGCTATGTAAATGGAAAGGCTGCGACGATCTCCCCCACCCCGCAATGGTATCAGACCGATGCCAAGGGAGTGTTGAATATCCTGCTGCAGACGGAGGACGCAACCTGTCACCTGTTCGCTGCTGAGCGCTACCGCCCGGTCGAGATCCCGGGGAGAAAGTGTCGGCGTACGAGCGAGCAACTACTGGAAGACCCTCTATTGGATCCCTCCGAAAAGGTTGTTGGCCGACTGAAGAATATCAAGACCGAAGATGATTTACGAGCCCTTCGCAGACAAGATGGAACCGCACTCATTGATACTGCTGTGCCAGCCGTGGACGTCCGTCTGGCTGCCGACGCGTTTCAAAAGCTCTCCGAGCGGGCAGACGAGATTCACCTGGATCAGAAGCAAAGGCGCGCGGCGTATCGAATGGCAGTCCGCGAACTTAAAGGCCAGGGTACAGGGGGCGATATTGTGCCCTTTGCGTGGTGGGACGATGCGTTGGACTGGTTAAACGGGGCCTGGAATTGGGTCACAGACAAGGCAAAAGATGCATGGGAATGGGGTGTTCAGCTTGTCGGTCAGTACATTCCCTCACGGCTTCCACTGTTCCTTGCTAATCTAGGCCTGAAGGCGATGTCTGGAAATTTATCGTCAAGATTGGTGGAGAAATCTTCGAGATTGCACTGACCACCATTACCTCCATTGTCAACGGCATCGTGTGGGTGTTCAAGAAGGTTGGCGCGTTCATCAAGGACGTGATCGAGTTTCTAGGATTCCTCTTTGGATGGGGTGATATCCTGGACACCACCTATAGCATCGTGGCTGGGTTCAACTCTGCCCTGGACTACGGTAAATCGCTGCTGAACTCACAGCAGGACAAGGTACACGAATGGCTGGAGAACCTGCGTGTCACACTCAAGGATCAGCTGCCTGTGCTCCAGCAAAATGACTACGGTGGGACCTTGAAGGGCCAGGAATTAGCCAAGATGTTGTCGGGGAGCAGCAAGCAGTCTGAGGAGGAGGATGAAGTGAAGCAAAGCGTGGCATACAACTGGTCAGCGTACAATTTCACTTACGAGGTGGCACAACCAACGCGGTCCTGCACGATGGCGCCGACAAGTCCCGAACGAGCGCTGAGGATGAGCTGCTCCGTCTGTGGGACACTGTCGTCGACCAGCTTCAGGCCATCACCGACACTGTGGCCAAAGTTGCCAAAGAATTTGTGGATTTCTTCCGGCCCGGATACTCTGATGTCAAGACACTGATCAACAAGGTCGGCACCATCCTCATCGATGAACTCGTCGATGCACTGGAACGCTTGGCGGACATCGTCTTCTACGCTCTATCGGCTGGGATAGGCATCGCAAAGGACCTGGGAAACAAAACCATTGACATCCCCATTATCAGCTGGGTCTGGGAGAAGTTCATCGCGCGGGGAGGGCCGTTGACATTGCTGAGCTTCTGTGCCCTGTTGATCGCCATTCCAACCACGGTGCTATACAAGGCCACGACGAACTCCGCGCCCCCCGAAGCTTAGTGGCCGGGTCAACAAGGACACCTTCGGCCAGCATGTCACTGGCAAAGGCAGCGCAAGCTTGTCCAAGGACATCACGAACTTTGGACTCGCCGCGTCTTCCGGACTAGAATTGATATCGGAGGAATTCAGTACTATTGGGCTCCTCGCCGATGGCACCTTCGAGGGACTGGGGCTGGAGGGAATCTCGCTCGGGTTTATCAATGAGTTTATGAATGTTTTCGACTCGGCGAGCGTCACCTTCGAGGCGGTCGGTGGATTTGTAGAGTGGCCCGTTATTCCTGACGAGACCACGGCCGTGGACACTCGCGCTTTCGACCTCGCGAAGTTTAACAAGTACTCGGTATGTATCCTATCAGATTGGCATGAGATATTGCTGCAAATACTTCCACTAGAAAGGGAAACTTCTGGAGTATTCTCCTGTGTATATGGTGTCTCCTGCGGGAATGATATGGGATATAACCATCATATATGCCAAAGCTCTCAGGCCCTGATGGACTTGGAATGTTGAAATTCTTTCGACGATCGATGAACACGGAGCCTATCATGATGCCTATCATGATCTAAATGTGGTTGGTAAGTATGTCACACCACAATGCATCTGCGCTTACAATAGGTTCCAACCACGTGTGCGAGTTGCAATATGAAGATAGTTAACATGTGCTTGTTGACCGCGTAATGAACAGCACACACCCGGCAATGTACAGAGTGAGCTCCGCAATGTCTATAGAGTTCTGGGACGGATACAGAATTTCAAGATTAAGATCGAATCCGGGATGAGCGCGCGGGATCCGATTTATTTCGCGTGCCAGTTCTCTAGAACAACTGACTCCGAGGCTGAATTGCGCGCTTGAACAATGATAAGGGTTGAAATGTTTCAAAAAGGACCTGCAACAGCAAAGTGGAGAGAACCCTACCGTGAGTACATTCTACTTTCACATACGTCAAAACGGGTCTCCTGGAACCCTCGGATACCGTACTATAGAATATTGGATCAGGTTTGAGGCGGCTTCCGGCAATCCTTTGAATGATCTGTCTGCCATTTAAATAGATATCCCACCTGTAGACCAGGTTACTTCTACATAAAACGACAGGATAGTAGTTGTATTGTTACCGACTAGCCAATCGGATCTCACAAAGTCCCGAGGTTGCGGGTGATCTGCAGATGCTGAGCCGAGCATGCCGAATAGAATGGCCGCATGGTTCTTTCGGGTGATGGACGGGATATGCGATCTAGCGCTGCTGTGACACGATGTTGAGGCGCTGACCCGGCGAGACCCCTATTAATTCAAAACGCGTCCTGCAGCAATTGAAACAAAAAGTACGGACGTTTTAGAATGGGTCAACCAAGTTCCCCTGGTCCAGAATGTCAACAGTGATCGCCATAATCTTTGCCCTCCTTGCACTCTTCATGGTTCTTAACTCCATCCTCAAGGCTGGGGGTTCTCCCAAGGTATCACCACCAGCTACACTTCGTGACTTCAGCCCTACAACCCTCCTTGATTTCAACGGCGCGGCAGGTAAGCCGGTTTATCTTGCTGTACGCGGCCGGGTGTTTGATGTCACGCCAGGGAAGCATTTCTATGGGCCGGTACGTTCATATCCCCCTTCTGCATGGTGACGACAATGTCTAATACTGAGAGCGTCAATTTTAGGGCGGGCCATACGAAAACTTTGCGGGACGGGATGCTTCCCGCGGTCTGGCTTTGCAGAGCTTCGAGGAAGAAGTGCTTACTAAAGATCTGAAAGGTCCTTTGGACGATCTTCGGGATCTTGACGCCGATCAGTTGGCGAATCTCGAGGCATGGGAAGAACGATTCTTGGACAAGTACGTGGTGGTGGGTAGATTGGTTGCCGAAGACGACCTGAGAGCTGGAGCGCCATAGGTTAGGCATTCCTTTTAAAAGGGCCTCCAACCGTTTGGAGATAGGTTTTATTGCATAGATGAGCGCCATCAATGAGGGAAAGCCAGACTACGTCCTACTGCCGTAAATCCTAGTGCGTTCATTTCATGTATACCAGATATACTATGGTGCATTTATATGTACTCATTAAGAAGTAAAGAGTAGCATCCCCATCACCTTATTCGAGACTATAACTAGAAGCTAAAAAGGAAGAAATAAGCGTTGCTAAGAGAGAATGCCTATTCAGTTGGTTAAAGTTTAAAAGAAAACAAGTTTGCTTTGATCCATGTGTTGTCAAACAGGGGTGGAAATTCACCTTTCAGCACTAATAACAAAGTAAGGTTACAAATTGGAGGAATCATAAGTAATAAAGGAATGGATGACGCCTATCTATTAGTGTCTCTGGTCTAAATACTGTCTATAGAAACAAAAGCAAGACAAAATGCGAGGAAGATTAGAAATCACTGCATATCCAGCGCAGCACTGGATAGCAATAGCTTAAGCCAAGGTGATCCCGGTGAGCGCTCTATTCTCATCAGAGTACAATCTCACCCTCTGCTTACCCTCAGCGTTGCATCTGTAGATGCTGCCACCAAGGTCAGTCAAGTAGATACTGTCGTTTGCAAGATCCAACTTCAAGCCGATGGCTTCGTTCAAGTTTCTGGAGATCACCTCGTATCCCTTGTCAGACATGCTGGGCAGGGGAAGGCCGAAGTGGTCGAGGCGAAGTCGATTCAAGGAGTTTCCGAATGGGATCTCACCACGGTCCGTCCAGTAGAGAGTGCGAGACTCCTCGTCAATCTCAAGGTCGACAGGCTCAGGAAGGTCATTCAAGATGCATTGAGCGTCGTCTCTGCTGGCTGCCGATTGGCCCGCCGGGGTAGTAATATTCGCGTAGAAGATGCGTCCCTTGCCACCTTTAGATGGCCCCTTCTGTGTCCAGTAGAACTTGCCGAGACTGGGAGCCACAGTAACACCAACACACCATTTCATGGCATCTTGGCCGTCCTCAGCTCTTTTGTAGTCCCCTGTCTGCACTATGACTTCAAATCCTGACCCGTCATAGTTGCAGCGGACAACACGAAGACCCTCACGGTCACAGAAATAGACTTTCTTTGACTTGGTGTCCAAGGTCAGTTGCTTAGGGGTATTCACAACACCGGGAGCGATGACTGTCTGGATGTCGGTACCATCCAAGTTTGCAGAGTATACCGCTCCATCATCTTTGCCAGGAACACCCATATTCGTCCAAAACATTCTCTTGCTGGCTGGGTCCACGGCAAGGCCATCAGGGAGGGACTGGGCGGTGGCAAGGACCCTCTGCACATGTCCGTCCGTCGAGACCTGGAGGATCTGGCCTGCCTTGGTGCTTGGGTCCTTTGCCGACAATCCAATATCCAAGACCAGTATCTTCGGCTTCGTGGAGCTGCCATTGCTGGTCTCCGCAGGTGGGTAGAGCCCGCCCTTGGAACATTTGGATCCGAGCTTGCCCTTGTCCAGGTATTCCTTCTTCAAGAAGTTGACTGTTTTTTCGGCAGGAAGACCACGCTCGACGATGTAATGGTTCTCGATGAAAGCAACAGTGTCAAGGCCAACATCTAAACAAGTGTCATTGTCAGAATTGCAAGCCTCAAATGGTGGCAAGAGCAGAGGTGGATCAAAAAAAGGGAGAAAAGAGTGTACGCACTGTCCATGGTCTTGCAAGGGGTGACAGCGCCCTTGATGAACATCTCAGTCCACATCGAGTCGATTTCTTCAGGAACGGAAACCTCCTCCGCGAGGATGGTCATAACTTCACGCTTAACTGCCGCCCAGAGACGGTTGAAAATGAAGCCAGTGGATTCCTTCCGGGCAACATAGGGAATAGTTGCAGCTTCCTTTAAACAATCAACCAAGAATGGAAAGATAGCTGGCTCAGTGAAGCCATCAGTCATGAGCTCCACCACCATGACCTGGGGGGGCATGTAGTAGTGCATATTCAAAATGCGAGCCTTGGCTGGTTCAGAGACCTTGGCCAGCATTTCAGAGGACTTGTATGATGACGAGTTCGAGGCCAAAATGCAGTCAGCAGGTGCGAGCCTATCAAGCTCTGCAAAGGTATCGATTTTCAGCTGGATCTTTTCAGGAACAGCTTCAATGATGAGCCATGCATTGCTGACAGCCTCCTCCAGCTTCTCGAACGCTTTGGCTTGGCCGTGCGCCTTGCCGGTTTTCTCTGCGTACGAGGCTACATTTTCTTCGACGTAGGCGACGCAGTCCGCACGTTGCTCCGGGCTAGGGTCCCGGACATGGACCTTGTATCCTGCCGATGCCCAAATGCACGCTATATCCGAAGGTTAGGTGCTGCGGTATCATGGTTCACGAATGTGGTTAACTTACCAATGCGACGTCCAAGAACGCCTGCGCCAAGAATGGCAACAGGGCGTTCGCGGTAGTCTTTGGGTGGCTGCCAAGTTTGGGACATTCTCGTAAAAGGATGAAGAAGTAGAGTTGGAGTTCAAAAATCCGTGAATTCGAACCAAGATGTGTTGGAATCGAAAAGGAAGGAAATCTGTGATCGGAGAAATATATGTATCTAGAAAAGACTGGGGACGGTCGACCAGCCAGTGATATATGTAGGTTGGCAGTGAGCCCATTTTTGGGATCGCATTCATGGCAAAAGGAGTAACGGGCAAAAGGGTCTTGAGCCGAGACTGGCCGAGATGACGATCAGATACTGATACTGAGGCATCCGTGAAATCCCATGGGCTGTAGCCTGTAGCATCTGAGATCACAGTACGATCCGCGGCATCTTATCCGAGGAGCTGGATTGATCCGCATCCCAGCAAGTATCACTTTTGAACGAGGGCGTGGCTCCACTCGTATGTGGGCCGTTTAGGAAAGGTTAGAAGGAAGTTCGACGGATTCCACTGGACATGCCTTTGTACGGGCCGCGAAGAGGGAGAAGCCGGCTTGCCGATACGAGGCAGTCGGTAGGAGATCCACCTGTCAACGGCCGATCATTCTGTCCCAGACTACCTATTGGTAGGGCGCCTCCGATTGGTAAGATTCGAGGTACACAGAGCTTTCCGATTGGCTTTTACTGCGGACCGAGGTGAGGTTGTTCTCGGCATCAGGCTTCTTATTGGACTGACCGTGGCTAAGATTCCGCGGCTCGAAGGAAGAGCGGATGGCAAAGGAACGAACATCTAGAGTGGAGGCGCCCTTTCAATTCCAAGTAAGCCTTGTCTAGGCCTTGTGGCCCATCGTCTATTTTAGAAGATCTTTATTACTGGATAAGGTAGTACAGCTCGAGCCACGCGGAAGACTTTTCGGCGAGGAAACAAACACCACCAGGCTCGGAACCCCTATTAGCACCCAGCAAGAGTTTATACTAAGTCTAATGATTACAGATATCATTCGAGGAGAAAATCGTCAAACCTTGATTCACTTGAGTATGGAAGAAGTAGAGATTCTCATAAGGGGATTTGAATTTGTGATTACTGCCATAGGCAAATTGGCATCCATATGCATTGATAAAGAAATACAAACGATTGTACTGAAGAGTCTATAAGTCTATCAAGAAATACAGAGGAAAATCCACAAGAGAGGGTAAATAGTCAAACCTGTTGCTGGAAAAGGAAACACAGTACAAGTGAGGGCCAGTACAAACATCCAGAAGGAAAACATTTAGAAGCAGAAGATTTGGTCGGTCATTTTAGGCACGGAGCCTGCGGCCTGGAAACCCAAGGACACCAGAGCTTTTTTCGACGCGTTGATCATCCCAGGAGGGCCACAGAGCATGATCTTCGTGTCCGAGGAAGGACCCGGTAGCTTCTCACGCATGACGGCGGGTGTGACATAACCTTTTCCGTAGGCCCATTTCTGTGGCGGGTGATCCAACATGTACCAGATCCTCAGGTTCTTCGGATAAGCAGCAGCAAAGCTCTCGAGCTCTCTTCGCAGAAGAATGTCTTCCTCAGAACGGTTGGCATAGATAAGGCTGATCTCGGTAGTGTCGGTATCATCCTCGCAGATGGCGCGAATAAGCTGGTACATAGGGGTGATGCCAGTGCCACCAGCAATCATTCCAATCTTCTTGCAGAGGCCATTCCTGTAGCGCATGGCACCCTTTGGGCCACGGAACTGAACCTTGTCGCCTAACTTAAGGTTTGCAAGGTATTTGCCCGTAAGCAAGCCATCTGGGTAGCACTTGATAACCAACTCTAATCTGCCCAGGTCGAGGTTGTTGGACGTGGGTGTGTAAGACCTGGAAACCAACTGCCCCTCAATGGTTGCTTTAATGGCAACGTGCTGACCGATAGGAAGACCAATCACGTCGGTCTGATGGGGAAGTTGGAATACAAAGCGATAGACATTAGGAGCCAAGAGATCCTTCTGAACCAGAGGAAGAGATTTGTATTCTTTCGGGTGGAGGAACCCTGGAATGAGATGAGGGTTTGGCTTTGCGATTGCAGTCCTTTTAATGCGAGCTGGGTATTTTGTGAATCCAGACTCAATGTAAGTGAGCTTCGAGAGGCGAGATCCGATCACACCGCCAGCTATGGCAGAGATAAAAGCCGCTGCGATGAACCCGTTGACGAAACCCCCTTGGGGCAGATGGAAATCAGCGAGCTTGCTGGGGAAGAGATGTGACACCGAGGGCAGCGTCTTCACTAGGTCCTGTAGGTTGATGTGACTCCGGACAGAAGCAGACGCCAGGTACAGCGACAGAATCCCACCAAGAGAGCCCGCAGTGACAGCCAGGGTGCGAACAGAGCTTGTCTTGTCTTTCACAGCCTCCTTTGCGGGAGTCTGCTGGATAAGACGCACGGCCGTAGGGCGTTTGTATTCGACAGCATCCTTCAGTGTGCCGATGAAGTATGTCTCCAAGATCTCATTGGCGTCCTCAGAATGCCCAACGTCTTCGTATGCAGCAGTTGCGTCTTGCCCGGCGACATCAATCAGGACATCCGGTCCTCCGGGATGGTCTTGCACATATTTTGAGACATCGTAAACTAAGGGGACCTTCGTTAGAGATGAATTTCAAATGGGAAGACGAAGGAATGTGCTTACCTTTTCCGTGAACGACAATCCACAGGTCACTTCTGCCTTTATGAGCAGCAACATCTTCCAAAGTAAACTCCGGCATTGTTGTTGTTGTTGCTGGAGATGGTTCCGTCAATAATTGCAGTAAAAATAACTGGATAGTTCTGGTGCAAGGTGCACAGCGCGTAGTTATAGACTCAAATCAAGTGCAGACGACAGCAGGTACGTAGGAGCTGGACATAACAATATCTGCTGAGTTCGCCCGGCAAGGGCTTTATAACAAGTCTCACAACCTAAGACTTCACTAGGGGCATCATTCAATAGGAATTGTAGCATGCTATCCCGGGAAGTATCCGAGGAATCTTTGACTTTGCCGCCGAATAACGGAACCTTTTCTTCCCTCACACAAAGTATCCCTATAGGCCACGGCCCAGCCTTGTGAGCAAGTGTCCTTTCGGTATCCCGGGTCGTCGGGCCGTGGGCATAGAAGACGGGGATCTCTAGGTTTCCGAGGTATTAAGTAGTCCACCAACCGGAAAGGTTCTATTGGGTATCGACCCAAAAATAGCAGAAGCCGAGGGATTGGCACCAAATACTCGCCAATAGGAAGACTCGAAGTATCCAAGCCTCCTGGAGGGTGGAAATGTTCTTAGGAAGGTGACGGGTTGCCCTCAGATGCTCTGTTGCCTAACAAATATATAAGAGTCGGCTTACACGGCGTGAATCTCCCTTCGCCGTACTATACTAGCTTTGTTAACCCATATTATCCTGAAACAGAGACGAGTTGACTGGTATATCCGTCATGCCTTCGCAAACATTCTATCTCCTTGGAGAGGATATCTCCACCGCCAAAGAGATTGAAATCGATGCTTCCCAGGGCATCGAAGGATTGAGGCACCTGGTTGCTGCTCACTTTGCTATTGTTGAGCCAAGTGGTAAGTCATGCCAAACTCCAGCTGCAACGAGACGAGAGAAGTTCCTTCTTACAATTACCGCAATAAAGGCATCGCCTTCCAGGCAAACAATGCTGTCCTCACAGAGTCATCCGATGTCGCCGCTGCGGCCGGTCCTGTGGCCATTACAATCGATGGGCATGCTGTTCGCGATCCCCCTTGCCCCCGGCAATTACCCTTCGTCGGTACCTTCTTCGAAGTCTATCCCGACCATCTAGGAAACCATCAGCGCCTTTTTGATCAGTACGGGCCTGTCGTCAAGACGAGCAATCTAGGTCGTGTGACCTACCAGACCAATGACCCTAAGATTTCCGCTATTGCCTTCTCTGAATCTGATTTCTTCACCAAGAAGATCAACGAATCCCACCCTCTTTATGCTCTGAAAACTCCATCGGCTGGGGTTTTCCTTGGTGATACAGACACCGAAGAGTGGAGAGTGGCCCATAAATTCTTACCTCCAGCACTAGGCCCCAAGGCAGTGCGCCACTATGCTCCCACCATGCAGAAGACAGTTGAGGATTCCTTCAAAGTGTTTGACTACTTTGATGAGCAGGGTGAAGCCTGGAATGTTTACCAGCACATGCTCAAGCTGGGTTCTCAGGCTGTTGGTAAACTTACTCTTGGCTTGGATTTCCAGCACTTCAGCTCCCCTGAAGCCCCAGTGCATGAGATGGTTCATAATATTGCTGAGCTTCTGTCTTTGAATAAGAAGGTCACATCAAAGGGGGACTGGTACAGTTCTCTGCCCTTTGGCGACCCCAAACGCCTCAGAGTCCTGAAGGCCCGCATTGAGGAGATGGTGGACGAGTCAATCCAGAAGGCCTCCAGAGGTGGTGTCGAGGATCTTCCATTGCAAGACGCTGCCTTGAGTGCAAGCAACATGGTTGGTAGGTAATCAAGGAGAACAAGATCCTGCCATCCTCATAATCCAGACTTCTAATCTGAGGGACAGACTACGCGGTGCGTGCCACTGATAGCAAGGGCGAAAAGTTGCCCAAGTCCAGCTTGGTTTGGGCTCTTGTCGTCGCCACCGGAGCCGGCTTTACCACCACCAGTTCCCTCCTTTCGTGGCTCATCTATGGTCTTTGCACATACGAGGGCATGCAAGAGAGACTTCTCCAGGAGTTGATTGATCATGGCTTTGATGAAAACACCCAGATGACTGCCGAGTTCACCGAAAAGTTGGACTTCCTTGATAAATATATCAAGGAAACCCAGCGTCGTCACAACCCATCTTTCCAGCCTGGACGTACTGCCAAAGTTGATCTTATTCTTCCTGGAGGATACAAGCTGCCGAAGGATTCAGTTATCGTGCCTGCCCTTCACCATATCCACAACAACCCGGAACTGTGGGACAACCCTGCCCGATTCAACCCAGACCGATGGGACACCGAGGAGGTCAAGAACAGACACAAGGCTGCTTACATTCCCTTCGCCATGGGTCCTCGTATGTGCATTGGGTTCAACTTTGCACTTCAGGAGATCAAGGTCTTCTTGCCTAAACTCATCTACCGCTACAAGTTCTCCCGAGAGGGCGATGGACCCATTGAATATGACCCCATGTTCCAGCTGATCAGACCAAACAATCTGTACGTGCGTGCAGAAAGACGAGTCAAGTGGCCGCCAAAGTCGACCAAGAGCACCGCAGCCTGAACGGGTCCATTCCTTGTTGACTATGACTGAATGGGCATCGACCCTCTGGATGACCGTTTGGTTGTATTTAAGTTACCATAGAATTTAGTGAGAATTGATTTGTTTTTAACTTTAAAATCCTTTTACATTTATTTCCTTTCCCCATATTCCCTTTGGTTTTCCTCCTTTCCTATGACCAGTACGATCAGAAGGGAAGGGCTGCAGACTGGCACTCCTTAAGTTATGTTGTGCCCCTGTCGAGTTATGCTATATTTCGTGGGTGGTTCAACTGCATTATTGGTAATCTCGACTCATTCATAAACACGGCTCGAAATTTCAGAGTAGGATACAAATTATAGAGATATATATTTTGCATGTGGTAGTTACTGGAGGATTCCCGCACGACGCCAGATACTTTTGACATTACAAAAGTCATATTGAGGATTTTGTGCCCGTCGACGAGTCTGCAGCTGCCGGATAAGAATGGCAGCTCCCGCTTCGTTTCCCTTTCATTCCTTTTTGTCCCGGAAGCTTTGGTTAACCGCTTGTGTTGTTATAGAATACACTGACAGTCTACAATCTAGAGTTTCAAACTACTGTACGAATTCGGTATATGCTGATAAACTGAGTATTGGATTAACAGCGAATGGTAGTTTCTAAGGTCTGAGGCCCTCACCTTCCTTTCGTAAATCATATGTCATAGTCAGTCTTATTCTACGGCCCAACATGAAAGGCCCTCTTCTTTTAGCCTGCTCCTTCTCTTCATCATTCTTTCTAACTTATCTTTCTCGCACGAGAGACATGGTCCACCAGATCACCTGCAACCGGCTCGCGAGACAGGGCCGCCCTAAACTGGATATAAGTAGGTGCCCCCTAAACTGAGGTGCTCTCTTCGGTCGTGTGTAGCGGTATGATGATCTCCCGCTTCTTTCCTGCAATAGTGCCAAGCACCTGTATAGAGTCCCCAGACCATATAACAGGGCCTTTAACGTATTCCGCGCAACCATCGCCAACTCTCTGATACAACCCAGGAGCTAATTTTCTCGCCGACTCGTCTAGATCGGGCATATCTCCCCATTCCCACTTCAATGTCCCTCCGTACTGCTGTGGCAGACTCGAGGCCGGCATGTATTCCAGAAGCGTCCGTGGCACTTCAGCCGGAGAGAGGATAAAGATCTTTGAGAAAGTCTCGGGATCCACCCATTGCTTGATAAAGCCCCAGGCAGTTCTGAGCACTGGCGGGGCACCGATGATCTAGGTCAGGTTAACATCCATTAATCGTCGGCGCAGGTCGGACTTACGAAGATTCGACTGAGGGTCTCTGGGTAATGTGTCGTCGCTAATAAACTGCCGCCCTGCAGATATCTTTTGATTTCTAGGAAATGTCTCAATGTCAACCCGGTCACGTCAATGATATGTGTGGAGGCTGAAACGGGGATTTCCATGTGTGGCCGTGGGAGCTGAGAGCAGAGCGGCATGACAAAGTCCAGCAGATTTTCGTACAACGCATGGAAAGCGAGGAGATGGCCGGGTATTTTCGTCGGTATGGATGGGGTCTCTTCCGTCGGGGCAGTGGAAGAAGACATTTTCGATATATATGCTTCCATCTTCTCCTTTGTGAGATGTCTGAGCGGAAAGACATAGATTGGACGACCTTGGTGGTCTCGTCGACCCGTCCATTGGGCAAACTGAACAAAACAGGTTAGATCTCTGCTTTTGAGGGTATATAGCGTCATAACGAACCATCCTCCGTGAGTCCTCATAGCAATCCACATCCATTTCGCTGTAAAATGTTTTGATTGCGTGGTCTCTTTGCCACGTTTGGGCGACTCGGAATTGACTCAACGCATTTTTGACTTGAAACTTCTTTGCGCGAAGGAAGCGCCTGAGGATAATTCATCAGTGGCGTTAGCAATAAGACCATACATGAGGGATGTCCTTCTTCTTCGACGGCAACGTTGTATAGTCAGGGATTGTCACTCACAGAAGCATAGCATTATCGTAGTCGGCTTCTTTTCCATCCCTGCGGGGCACAAAGTATCCTTCTTCCTCACAGAGGTGCTTGAATTCGAGAAATTTGCTTTCTTGTTCCCGAGTCAAGTGGTTCAGCTGTCCACTTAGCCACTCATTGTCAGCTATCCCGCTTGGAGACGTAGTAGGATACGTCAAGTGCAACTTTTCTTCCCCTGCGAGCTGATAACCTGTTTGAGAGCTTCCCCACCAGATCCCCATACTTCGGTAGTTGATGTCTGCCTGGGTTTATAGTTCAAGATGATATAAAATTAGAAAAGCGGGATGGACAAGAGGAATGAGCGCACCACCAAGCTTTTACCACACCCCTGTTTATTGTCAAATACAGGATCTTCTGTTATATAATTTGGAGATTTCCGAACACTGACATCAGAGTCTGCAATAAGAGACCTATTAATCGTGCTACACACATTTGGTCTTACAGGCCTGACCATCGCCACTTCGGAATAGGACAGGGTCCTTACCTCGGAGTCGGCCGCGGCTCGGGAACCCAATGACAGTAGACTGGGAGAAACTACAGATTTTCCGCAAGTTCTCTTTTTTATTTGTTAATTTACTGACTTCAGGAGGGCGCACTCAGTGAGTCAACAATCAGGAGTTTCCTTGGTACTATGTGTTCTTGTAGAGGAAGCCAAAACTCCGTCTCCGTCCAGCAGGGAATACCGGACCTGGTGAAAGATTGCACAAATGAGTAGTGTCATGACGCCAGTGGATGTTCTCTATCATGCAGCTGCTAGGTAAACCTTGGCTTGGCGCTGTACTAGTTTGACATCCTCCACGACCAGCTCGCCATGATCTCATTCCAATACTCTGAACTGCCAAAACTATTGTTGGAATTGGAAGGAGTGAGTAGCCAATCGGGTGCCACAGTTTCCCGAAGTCCCGAGGTATACCGTTACTATCGGTTAGCTATTGCAAGCGCTGATGCAAGTTATGATGGATAGTGACAGGTGGTGATATCCGGTGGAAGAGTGGAAGAGTGCTTGTTTTTCTGTTGAAGGCTGCTTGGATCCTTGTGGCATTGAACTATGTTCCTAGGTAGTTGCACTCGTACATCTTATACTCTCTGTGAGCTCTACTTGGTAGCCATTGGGTAAGTCTGGCCTTAAAGAGTCTAACTTCTACGGCCTGTAGTCTTGGATGATGAGATGATCTGTTATCCACGGAAATTCTGATTTATCAAGGTACTATTCATAGAATTATTCCATGTTCATTCTGAGGACCATGTCTTAGGAAGCATGTTCACTCCGTAGTCCTTGAAGATATCCTTGAAGTCTCTGCTCGGCTAAATCTCCTCGGTTTACTGGCAGGTCTTGGGTTCCTCGGAGTCGTTATATCTCGCAGTTGTGGCTTCGTCATGAACTCTACGGAGTAGAAGGGCGGTTTCAACAGCATATGAACGACTTGTCGCCTATACGTGATTGTGTTTTTGTCGACTCTTGCTTTTTCTCTTGTTTCCGTCTTTGGTGAAACTGCCATACAGCTTGGGGCCGGATTAAGATTCTTCGCCATGCAACGCCATCTATTCGTTTTCCTCATTGCCAGCTTGGTTTTGATATCACTTTGGCTTCGAAATGTGTCCCAACTAATTGCGTTGCTGCTAGAAGATGTCCCAGACAATGCTATACATCTAGATCTACCGCCATACTCCATTAGTGAAGCAGCCTCAGATTATTCCCAGAATTATCCACCAGACCTTCAAGACCGAGACGGTTTCGCATGTCTGGCTGGATGCTCAGCAGAGTTGTATGGAGCTACACCCTGACTATGAGTACATGGTATGTGTGCCTATGTCGGGACCTCGTTCACTCCCATACCAGCGATGCTGACGTTGACGTCGCCGCACTATGCAGTTCTGGACGGATCAGAAAGCACGCGACTTCATTGCTGCCGAATACCCTTGGTTCCTCACAAACTTCGATGGCTACAAATATCCAATACAGCGGGCGGACGCAATTCGATACTTCGTCCTAGCACATTACGGACGAATTTATATTAATCTTGACGATGTATGTACATGCCTATCCTGCCCTTTTCCCTGTCCTAGTCCTCCTTCGTCTTTAGACTAAGAACGAAACAACAACAGGGCTGCAACCGCCGGCTAGATCCGCTGCTCTTGGCCATCCGCAGGGCCAGAACATTAAAATACTGGCCAATGATAGCATCGGGGACATTGCAAGGCCAGCCGAATACGAGAGACTCCCGAGGATGATCCCCGAGGCATATCCCGGGCCGGGGGTGCCGAGAGCTCAAGCTCTGGTCTGGAGGTGCATAACGAATGGCTCATTTGGATATTTTTTGCATAGTCAGACTGATTTCAGGTCAACCTAGGTTACTCCATCAAAAAACCTCTAACGCTGATTGTAGTACTAATCGCCCTTCCCAGTATAACAGTAGTTCGGAGATGCCAAAGCGAGAGTCGACCATGTTGAGGGTCTTGATGGGTAGACAGCGAGCGACGGCACGTAATTTATCGCAGCTACGAACATGTTCAATGAATGCAGAGAGTCGCACAATAGTTCCAGTGCCCAGGCTGGGTCCCGTTGCGCATCGTCCGAAGCACCTTTTTGTTTCCGCGGTATGGTTTCCCTCGGTCCTACACGTTTGTCCGTCTTCCTTGTGGCATTCCCGGTATTGCCTCCCAAATGAACGAGGATGAACCTGATGGAGTACGGCGTAGTGCTATCTAGAACCATATCCATCGTCCTCACTGCCAGATTAGTTAAAATGTGGCTTTCGATCTTCCCAGCTCTCACAAGAGTTCCAAGCTTACACGGTCTGACCAACGCGCCGAACCACCCATACGCTATACTTACATCCAGTTTGAAGAAATCTACTCCTGATGATTTCCAGAAACATCCAAGAAGGAGGCGCCCATGATGTTCCCCTCGCTGGCAACGAACGCAGATATGAGACCAGCGAACAGCCGATCCTACGCAAGACATTGCCACCTAAGTTGCAAGAGTTGGTGGACAATGACGACGACTTTGATGAGCCCTATACGGTATAGTATGCGGTATCCTTTTTTTTTTTTTTTTTTTTCCTTTTCTCTCATTTTCCCCCTATTCCTTCCACGAATGAAGATGGCGGGTGGCTGCTTCCATCTTCTGGTGCACTATTTTGCACTCGTCGACCGGGTTGTTGCTCCTTAATGGTCTCCTGCACCATAGAGACTTCGAGGCTCCACTTAAGCAGTGTATTTTCGATGACATGGAAATGTGTATCTGCTTGTTTCTTTCCCCCTCGCCCTTCTTTTCTTCCTTCCCAGCCCAGTCACCGTCTACGATCCGTGGCTGAAGAAGTATGCAGCTCCCAAGAGACGCCACTTACTCCATACCGATATGTTGCCTATGCTTCAAGCGTAGTGGCAGCCTTTCGATCTGTCAAGCACTCCCGGCTAATTCGCGGTGCATTCGCCATCTCGTGGGCGTATGCGATTTACGATGTCGTGCACGAAGGCCATAATGCATATTTACGGAACCGTTCCGTCCTCGCCCCGCCAACTGAGGCATACAGAGACGCACGGGACTTGAATGATTTATGTGCAAGGAAGGAAGTAGCGACAACCATTGGTTCATGGTTGTCGGCATCCGCTCAAGCAAGTAGCAACCTCAACTGCCAACATGACGGCGACGATATGGACAGCCTGGAACCCTGGCCAACCATACATATTCCGTGGGTCGACGACTATCGGGTGGTCATGGCGAAGCGAGCTGTTTTCCAGGGCATAGCAAGCATAGGACTGCCTGCATTCATGATACGCAGAATTGTCAGAAATTCAGAACAGCGTTTCAGAGCCAGCAAAAATGTGCTATTGAGGACTTGTCTACCAATTGGGGTGAGTATTTGCGGCACTAGCACTTTCTGATATCCCCCGGTTGTGATTGCTAACGTTTCCAACCTTAGCTGGGCTTGTCGGTCGTGCCCTTCCTCCCGTATCTCCTTGATAAGCCTGTCGAAAATATTGTCGAGTTGGTCTCCCGTATGGCGATTCTCTCTGTCGGTGGCGAAAGAGAGTTGGTCTCTCTTTTATCTCCCAGCACATATTCCGCAGAGAAGCTACCTTGAACACCGTTCGAAGAAGTATGGCAACGGATCCGAAATCTAGCTTCTCTCCGTGCTTTAGCTGCTTGAGACTGACTCTATGCTCAGATATCTTGTCTGTTCTTGAAGTGTTTAACATTCTATCCTATGACCGGGAGGCACGCATTGTATACCGAAGACTTGCATATTACATTGTCTATACATACCCATTGACTTGATCATCTATTCCTATTTGTTATCCACAGATTAATGTAGATCCCTTGTAACCATATCCATTCACTTGATATGAATGTTGGTTAGTTCCCTGCGTTGTCCTTTGGGTAATTGAGAATTCTCAGTTAAGAGTCATTGTTTGTCGACCACCTCGGAATTTGTTGACCAGACATATATCAAAGTGTCATCTCAAGTTCCCCCTTCCCTCGAAGCTACAACATCATCGCAGTCGTACCTTGCACGGCAACAATGGAATTTGGCACTAAATGTGGGCAGTCCTTAAGAAAATATATAATCCCAAGACGCGATTGAAGCAGTGAAAACAAAGCGAATGTATGACCCTTAGAAACAATAATTATTAGCAGCAACAGCCTCTAAATTCCGCACCTTTACTAGTGATCATTCTGCTATATCCTAGATTTCGACCTGGTTGCGCCTTGCAATCACATCATATAGACAACTTTCTCCATCCATATTACTGGCTCATGGGATGCAAAGTGAGATTTTATATACTTGGAGAGTTCGGAGAGTGAAGCCTTGACAAGAGGTAAATGGAACCAAGGACAACTGCTAGGTGATGGACAATATCCAGAATCTGAGCCAATGCGTAGTGTATGTGGACTTTCTCTTATCCCCCCACCCACTCTTTAGTTATCTGAGGCTTTGGGATAGCAGTAGTCTCGTGCATGTTGAATTCTGCTAAGCATTCTCTTCGGCCCAGTGTCCTTCCATCATGGGGAGGTACTCCCAAATATTGAACAAGGAAGACTCATGCATCAGCTCATCAATAAAACTATCATTCAGCAGAGTCCCCATAAACGATTTATCTTGCCGTTGTGGTGACGCCGGAGCCCCAGGCGCTTCCACATCCGTCTCAGCTGCATCGACGGAGTAGCTCGGGAATAACTGCCGGATGGCTTCTAAGAAGATGCCTCGGTAAACAGAGGCGCAAGTGTAGGTTTCTTGCATCTCCTGCATGACCAGCATGCAGAAATCGAGCTTGTTTAGACTGAGGCGTCGCAAAAGATCGTCCCCGGCTTTGCAATTTAGGAGGTGAATGTGCATGGCAGGCACCAACAGCGGAGGTCTACCACAACTCCTGATCAGAGAATGGAGAATAGCAAGGTCCAAGAGACGTACTCACGTCATCGGCTCGGCAAAATCGAGGAGTTTCTCTCGCACCAAGTTGTCCAGGATGGCGTTTGTTTGTAATGCTGCGGCGTCGATCTTGTTTCGTATTTCGGCTTGCCATGCCTGCAGCTGGGAAGAAGGTAAGCCCTCTGGGGCTTTGGCCATACAAGGGCGATAGAATGTGATCACAGACGCTCTAGCGCTCAATGTCAGTCTCAAACTAAGCGATACGGATAGTGGGAATGGAACTAACTGGTAATGTAACTGCAGGTGGTATAAAGAAAAGGTTGCGAGACGACTCTGTCCCTCTGCACACCGCTCTGGCAGTCCCAACCGAAAGAATTCGGCCTCAAGAGCCTCGACCTGCTGCAGCGTCGGGCTTGGTCCGAATGGCTGATAACACAGGGTGAGGGTATCGCCTAATAGTTTGGTCAAGCGCATCAAGACGATCCAGTACTCTGCTAACTGAGTAAAGTCATCTGGAATATAGGCATTTGCGATGGCCCGGGGCATGTCATATAGATCGCAGACGAGGTCGGTGAGAGACGGCAACGGTGTATTGCAGCTGTTAAGGCTGATCCTCAACGGCCGCCCCAGGGTCAAGCTCAGCCAGCGATCACGGAAGAAGCAACTCCACCATAGACGTCTCCACAGAGAACGCCGGCGGTCAGTAACCGAAGGATTGAAATTACCCGTGTCAGGATCACGGTGCAGACCCATGATATAGCAAAGGTTGATTGCAATACCTGTCCAATACCACGGTTGCGTATGATCATCATTTTTAGAGTGCCAGAATCCTAGGAGCACTGCGGCTTGCAGTTGCACAATCATGTCTGTCTCACCACCGTTGTCGTACATACACTAGTATGTCAGACCATCAGTGAATACAGAAAGGAAGAAAAGGAGCAAATCGAGAGATCAAACTACTTTTGCACGAGAAAAAAACACCTCCTTCATTTCCTTTCGGCACGAATACCCCGCCGCTCTCACGGACTCGGTAGAAATGAACTAAACCCAGGGTTAGTTGAAGGCAAAGGCTGACGTAGATGGATGGAGAGAAGGCCGGAGCAGCTTGCTCACATTGACCGCCACGAAGAACATTGCCCATAAGAGCAACAAGTTGCAATTAGCATGGCCGCTATCCTGAAACTGCAGGATTTCCTCGGCATCAACCACGGGCATGAGACAATGCACATGGTGAAAGTATGCGCGGAGGAGGTCAATGCAGATTTCGTTTCGTGGTAAAGTCAGACAACCTTTATAGTCTAGGTATGCACGTTCCTGACTGGATAATGAGACGGAAATATTGTAAGGCAGTAGAACATGCTTTGGTACTGCCTGCTCTGGTGCCATGATATCCAGAACAGCTGGAAACCCTGTAGACTCCCCTTCGGAAAAAGTAAGCCTCCTATTGTACTCATTATCGATCCTGGACAGCAGGAAAGGGTTGGATTACCAGTGTAGAATGGCCGCTGGCCCTGAGGTCTTACCGTGGCGTTCGCTATGGTAGCGCCGCTGCGCTCCTCATCTTGATTTCGAGTTAGGTCCGAGGGAGACTGGGGGTTACCGTTTCTGTTTATCTCGGTAGTCGTGGCCACTTCTGACATTACGGCCGAGGGCCTATTTGTTGTTAATGGATTCGTAGCTACGTTCGATGCTGATTCCGGACACATCGCCCTGCCATGAGATTCTGGGTGCCCAGAATCGTCCTCGAGAGCAATGTCAGATGGAGTCCGGGTTTCCTGCGATAAGGCCTGGTTCCGATTTCTTGTGAATAGTGAGTATCTTAGAGCCGGCGTTACTGGATGCGAGCGTTCATACTCACCTTATACGTTGTCGTTGGCGGACAATGCACTCCGCGCCATCTTGAGAACAGCCGATGCACGGGATTCCGGTTACCACAACGCTGCAGCGGACTTTACGTTGACGACAGTTTTGGCACGCGACGGCCGAGCGATAGCGACGGCCTGACATGATGTTGTGACTTCTTGGTGCATGCCTAGGACGTGGTCGTATGATTGTTTTTGTCTCGGAGGTGGCAAAAGCATCTCGGGCTTTTCCGTGTTGGCTTCTGCCGAGGTATGGCTAACCAATGGTTAAATGCCTCGGGTTTGATGGAAGACAGTAGCTTCATAAAAGCAGGTCAAGTGAAGAGACTCGAGACAAAGATGTCTAATAGGCTCAGCCATACGTACCTCCTGTACTAAGTAGTTAGACTTAGCCCTATGTATAGTTAGGTTACTAGAACACTTACTACTTACTATTGTTACATATCTTTTGGCGTCTGCAACCTGTCCAAGTTCTCTCGAGAGCACCTATAGCCAAATCTTGGAAGTCAAGAGTCCTCGGCAAGAGCGCAAGGGTCGGATCATGGGGCGACTTAAACATGATTCTTGTCTGTTTGAAGATCATGGTATTTCCACTCGGCTATACTTCAGTCCGCATACTCAGCTATGACGACATATGGGGACAAACTGCCTAATGTTATATCGCATTTAAGCTTAAATTTGCCACGACTTCCACTCTTGGTTCCAGGTTCCAGGTTCCAGGTTTCCACGGCAGTGATTTCTCTTAGATTCCGGTGAGGGTGATCGACCTCGGTATGGCCCTTTGCTGGGCCTTTCCGAGGAACCTTATCAGATGTTATGGGCAGATTATATCAGGAGCAAACTTCCTCAAACCAAAACCGACAAGCTCTAGCCAAGTCTGACCACTGCTTACCCTTTGTGCCATGATGTGTTCGACCACAGTGCCCAAGCTTCAATCGTCGCTAAAGCGAAATGGCCCTTTCCGTCCGGGACAAGGCTATCGCACAAAGGTACTCCATGCATGCAATCGTTGCAGAGTGAAGAAGACGAAGGTAGACTGCATAAGGCATACTTTGTTGGTTTTGGCTAGATTTGCTGACTAGCGTACAGTGTGATGGGGAAGTCCCTTGTGGACGATGTAAACAGGACAAGTTCAAATGTGTTTTGGAAAAGAAAACAAACCGTCTTAGAAGTAACTATCCAAAGGGGTGAGCTTGCACATATGCGAATCCCATTCATTGTCTTACGCCGGAACACTGACAGGGCCATGTATCACAAGGTATGTAGAAATGCTAGAACAGCACCAAGCACTACTGGTCTGCGGCCTTCAAGAACTATACCGACAGACTTGTCAAGGAGATGGTTGGCCGGAGAAGGCAGTGGAATGCAACAGAGCCGGATATCCCCTCACACATGATATACTCCATCGTCTCGGTATCATTGATCATGTCCCGAACGAACTGAATAGCGAACGACGGCCATGGCCCATGTCCGCCAAACAGGCGCAAATCCAAAACCAACCCAGTCGTGTCATAGAGGGAGCTTTGGCAATTCCCTCATCGCCTCCATTGAGTCCCTCTCTCCCGCCTGACTCTGGCCCGACAATTCCCTGTCACTTAGCACAGGTTGCTGTGGCCCCCGATGTCTCCTGCCATGGCACCCTTCAGACAATGCTGCCTGTGCAAAATGATCACTACCACTTTTCCCTGCAGCAGGTGCAACACTGGCCAGTGAATGACATTATCTGCACACTGGCGCCATATTATAATGGTTTCCCCGTCGGCAACAGCTACTTTCCTCCATGTGGTTGTTTTGAGTCACTATCAGTCATAGATACATGACTGTCAATCTTACCCCATTACATTGCCTCAGAGCTTACTTGATAGTAAACATGAAATAGCCTCGACTCGTCATACCACATAGTCCTCTTCCTTTCAAGGGCTTACGAAAGGGCTTTCCCCGAGAACTTAGGCTGGGAGAGCACTTGAGTTTACAATGAAACGTCCGAGATAAGCAAGAAGCTCGAAGAGATATGGTGGATGTTCAGTGGATGGCCTAGCTGGAAGTTGCAGTCATACTGGATCGTATCGTGGACTGACGGGGTCACTCATCCCTTACTTCGTTGGTTCAATGAAACCCTGCCTGCGCTTTCATCTTCAGTAGCTCTATTAGGGCTGCATCCCGTTTCCTTTGTAGATCCCTAACATCCAGCGTCTCTTCCAGTTTCTCCACCCGTTCCACCAACGAGGCTACTTCGTTTGCCTTGAAATTGAATCTGTGCTTGTCCATATCCTCTCGCCACTCGACCATTGCTGGGCCCAAATGTTTCAGAAGAGCATGGAAACTTCCTCCAGCACCAAGGCTGTTTGTCGTAAGAGGACCGGTAAGTGCCCATCGAAGGCCGAGTGCGGAGGTCATGACAAGATCTAGTTCAGGACGATTAGGGCCGCTTCCTCGCTGAAAGATTACCCATGATGACTGACCTAGATCACTCGCAGAAATCACACCTCTGCTGACCAAGCTGTACGCTTCGCACAGCAGAGCGCCCTGTAGTCTATTTCCAACGAATCCGGGACATTCCTCCGCTACAAGCACCGGCTCTCTGCCCAGTGAGCGATAAAACTCCATTGCTTTCATGACATGTTTTGGTTCGGTCCCAGGATGGGGAACAACCTCCACCAGCGGTACTACATGCGGCGGGTTAAATGGATGGCCGATCAGGATTCGCTCCGGATGGCGCTGGCACTCGGATATGAACTGAGACGAAGGGATTCCAGACGAAGAGGAACAAATCACCGTGTCGGCCGGCGTCCTCTGATCTAGACGCGCAAAGAGCTTTCTTTTGAATTCTAATCTCTCGGGCCCATTCTGAGATATTGTTAGCAACTTGTGCGTGCGGGCCCTGCTATAAGGCTTGCCTCTTGGATGAAGTCTATCTCCCCTAGATAGTCATCAATCTCCTCCACAAACTCATAAGTCGATGTATTCGCTCTCGGAGCAAGGCCCACTCTCTCGAGACTTGGCCAGACATCTGCCAGAAACTTCGAAAGCTTCTCTGGAGCTTCAGGGTTGGGATCCGTAACGATTACTCTGAGACCCTTGCTGAGGAACAGAGCGATCCAGCTCGAGCCTATGACTCCAGTCCCGATCACTCCCACCGTTTTGATAGCCGAAAGTGACATGGTGACCAAGGAAAATGGGTTCAGGTTTGGGAAATAAGGGAAAAGATGCAGCCAAAAGACCGATTCTGATCACAAAGGCGGCTAAGATATGTGGCTGGCATGTCCTAAACGGTACAGAGGAAAGTCGCCTTGCCGGCAAGAAAAGGTCATATTAGTTTCACGATTGAGGATTCTCATCGGGCCGGAAACTCCTCGGGACGGCAGATTGACATACCTCGGTAGTATTGGATATTTGACCCAACTGCGATATCCTAGGGACCTAGACTGCAGCGGGAAGGGCCGCTGCGAAGCGATTGACCAAGCTTGGGAAATCCGTGGAAGTCGCCACAGCTCCCTCCGTGGCTCCCCCTTGCCTCGGACGTTGCTAGTTTACAATCCTCGGTTAGATTCGAGCCTCCAACTACATAAAGATATTTTAGTCTGGGGACGGAAGCCACGTTCAAAATACCGACCTGCATCTAGTTCACACTTCGCTGTGTACTGAATTAAAAAACCGCTCCAGAAGCTACTCGATTCATCCAGCACTTACAGTTGCTTCGATGGCTGACCCGACAGAGACCTTGACACGTATCCAAGTTGCGGAAGATCTGCCATGGGATCCTGATTGTACACACTTTCCAACACTCCGGAATCTCCCATCTATTCCCGGGGCTCCTGAGGGCGCCGCTTGGGTTTGGGGAGAGGATGACTTTGTGAGCAACTCCAGTTTCACGGCGGCAGCCCTGTCCAAACACATCAATCAACTTCCATTCGCCTGACAAGAAACGCTACAGCTAGGAAGACTAAACCTATTGACTCCCCGGAGGGTGAAGGCCGCGATTGCCGAAGTCAAGACTGGTGAATCTCTTAGGCTGGAGTAAGCGATACCCATATACAGCCTCCCTTACCTGACAAAGTTGGTTAATTGTGCCATGGTTAGCCTGCCATTAAATATTCCAGACACACCAGCATTCCACCGTCAAGCCTTTCGGCATACAATCACTGAAATGATCCCCAAAATCGTCTTTGACGATATTTACTCCCTGAATACCCAAAGCGGTACCCAGTGGGACGGTTTCCGTCATGTAAGTCCCAAGATCCCTGACGCTCAATGAACTGCAATAAAGGATCTCTTCTTTTTGAGCTATTGAAGTAAGATGTCTGATCTGCTTTGCTTCCCTGTTAGTTTGCGCATATCCCCACGGAAACTTTCTACAACGGAGTACGTTGCCTGCCCCTGCTTATTTTTCCTTTCCTCCGCTAAAAGTGGCAATTCTCCGTGGTACAGACAAAGGCGTCGGACATACAAGGGCCTGGCGCAAACATGAAATGTAGCATCCATCATTGGTCTGCGCGCGGAATTGCAGGACGTGGCATCTTGCTTGACTATCGCCATTACGCCAAAGTAAATAACCTCCACTACGACCCATACAAACAACACGCCATCTCGTTCAACGACCTACGGAACTGTGGGGCTTCGCAGGGAATAGATATCCGTCCCGAATCGCAGGGTGGCGATATCAAAGTCGGGGATATTCTGATGGTCCGGTCCGGATTCGTGGAGCGATACGCAGAGATGACGGCAGACGAACGCAAGCAGGGTGCCTTGAGACAGGAAGACGACATTGAATGGGCGGGGGTAAGCCAGGAGGATGCTGTGTTAGAGTGGCTCCATGACTGTTACTTCGCGGCGGTAGTTGGCGATGCTCCGACATTTGAATGCTGGCCTCCCATAGCAGGCTGGCATATCCATCAAAACATCCTAGCTTTATGGGGAATGCCTTTGGGCGAGATGTGGGATTTGGAGAAACTAGCCACCAGATGTCGGGAGCGGGGGAAATGGACCTTTTTTGTTACAAGTGCACCCGCAAATGTACCCGGTAAGTTCCTGCTCTCTCTACCTCTGGAAGTGTCTTGTTATTCGGGCCATGGGAAGGCATTGGTCGGCGTGGAATGATTGCTTTATAACGCGGCATATGCGATGGCCTGCTAACATTCTCAATCATAGGTGGCGTGAGCTCCCATGCCAACGCAATGGCAATCTTATAGAACAGATAGATGCCTTTAACCAAGTAGACGGGTATCCAGGCACTATAAGCTGGGGTAGCCGACAATAAGCCATCCCCGTGATAGGATTTTGATAGATCTTCTAGACTAGATACACGTCCAATATTGTCCTATACAAGCGTGCATGACTAGTTCAAAGTGTTATAGACTGAAGTTAATGTGTAACCTGTAGATAGCATCAACGGGAATGGCCATTATAGGCGTGTGGTAGGCTCTTTTCTGTTTCCCGCCATTTTCTGATCACCGCTGCTCGCTCTTCTGCTGATGCAGCACACAGTTCCTCGATTCCTTGTGACAGGCGCGAGCGTAGGATATCCTTTATTTCAGTCTTTGCTAGCGAGTTCCGAGGGCTCTTGTGCAGCCCGTCCAGGGGGGAGCCTGCGAGGCCCCAGACACCTACATGGTCATGTTAGACACTATGTAAGATGCATAAGAAAGGAAGTTTTTATAGAAGCTACAGACAGCATTCTGCACGCCCTGTTCCGTCCGCATCCCTTGGCCGATTTCCTCGGCCTTTTTTCATTGTAATAGGTCTAGTGCCTTGGTAATAGCAGTTGCCTGCTGCTGCTGCCATTACGCAAGACTATACCAGTCGGTCGTCGGCTGGTTGGTTGCATCTGTAGTAAACCCGGAAAGAAGGGTTTATGCGATATGCGAAAGTATCGTCTGCAGAACGGAATGGAACCTGCAAGGGGCGAGGGCAATGCTCAAAGGCCAAGGATTATGTCACTGACAGTTAAGCTTTAGGGATCACCGGGCCAGTTTTGCTTGTGCTGGATCCAGAGTTCAGACTATGGTAGACTGATATAATCCACTGGCAGACTGACTCGGTCTGTCGGGCCAATGTCAATGGACTTGCTCATTGGTTCAGATACCGAGGTTAGTTATAAGTGAAGCATCACAAGTTCACAACTATTGGAAAACTCCTCCAGTATTTTGATATCAGAAACAGTTTGTAATATGTGGGCGCATTATTTAGATAATTCAAATCACAACCAGCCTGGAACATTTGCTAAGGTTGGTGAATCTATTTAATGGGTCATCTAATAGCACAATAGGCAAAGCAACTGAATGATTGCCTATTCCCTATACAATGAATGACCTCAAAAAAATCCTAATCATATAAGCATCTCCCGCGCTCTCCTACTGCATGATACTTAGATCCATACACAGTTCTCGACATCCTCAACTCCCATCAGCCCTACCCAAACCACCACAGACTACTGACACGGTCCTACCCACTGGAAGCGGTATTGCAAAGCACCACCTGACCAGTTCTGAACCACTAGTCCACTAGGTTATTTGCCCCTTCCTGCCAGGTGACGGCCACCCTGCATGGGGACCACATCAACAGGTTACACAACCTCGTATTCGCTATATGAGGGGTAATAGGTAGTGCGTAGGTACCTTATCCTTTGAGACACCGTTGAGGGGTAGAGCCCTGCCAAGGATTCTGGGAAATTGCACTCGACTTTGACACAACAGGGGTGGTTCATCGGTGAAGTAGGAGAGAGTACGACAGCTTCCATGGCAAGTGGTAAGTGCCAAGTGCTGCTAGCAAGTCTCAGGCTGGGGCAACTCCCTCATCAAGATAAGCTCTATGGGTCTTTCGGATAGCTTAGGATCAAACTTCAATCGAGTCCTTCCTTATTAGTCTCTGACAGGAGTGCCGGATAAATAGAATAATAGGCTAAATACCGGTATATCGTCCCGTCTTACAGCTTATATGCATGCGTATATAGCCCCTGGCTGTCCGGCGCCTTCGGAAACCTCGCTTTATATAAGTTACCAGACTTCGGATCCATTGGTTCATCACATCCATTTTCCACAACGCTTGCTACCCCAACAATCTCCAGAACAGCATGATGGACATTGCATCGGAGACTACGCGTCCTGCTGGGGTAACCACGGACGTAACTAACACCAAGGAAAGTGAAGAGCAGCCTGCAACTGGATATGTGCAAGGATGGGCTCTCGCTTCTTTGACCTTGGCCTTTATGTCTATCTGCCTCGTGCTAGCTATTGATAATACCATTCTAGGTTCGTGCTTCCCATAATCTGGCGGAGGGAGCATCAGACCTAATTGTCATACCAAGCGACGGCGGTACCCCATATCACCAGCGACTTCCAAAGCCTTAACGATATCGGCTAGTATGGCTCTTCCTACTTGATCGCGCAGATGGCACTGCTGCCGACCTGCGGCCGCCTCTACGCATTCTATAATATTAAGTGGGTGTACTGCATCTCGCTGGCCGTCTTCGAAATCGGCTCCATCGTCTCGGCAGTCGCCCCGAATTCCATGGCGCTTATCATAGGGCGAGCAGTCTCTGGCCTCGGCGCTGCTGGTTTGGTGAGCGGGACGACAACTATTCTGTCGTATTGCGTGTCTTTGAAAAAGCAGGCGATGCTGTCGCCTATCGTCCTGGGCATGTACAACATTGGATCGGCTATTGGACCACTCGTGGGTGGTTCGATAACCGATAGTAAGGTGCTGACTTGGCGGTTTATTTTCTGGATCAATCTCCGTAAGTCGCTGTCGACGAAGAAGCCCATATCCTCTCCCATAATCACTAGCTAAAGGTTTCAAGCCTTCGGAGCTGTTGGGCTGGTTCTGGTCTGGTTCACCTTGAGGAAACCTCCACCCGCAGTAAAGGGGGACCTACCCTGGGACCAGAAGCTACGTCAACTTGACCTTCTAGGGGCTACTCTGCTGCTCGGTGCAACATCGTGTTTGAACTTGGCATTACAGTGGGGTGGCATCGTCTACCCATGGTCTGATGCCAAGGTGTTCGGGTGCCTGATCGGATTCGGTCTACTCTTGATTACCTTCTTGTGGTTGCAATTCCGAGGCAAAGAAAGGTTGGTTCCTTCTCTTGCAATTTTAGTCCCTACTTACATTGAGGCTACTTATCCAGCATGCCTGCTAATATCAATCCAAGCTCGAATATCCCTCTTCGCATGTTTCGAAGTCGTACCGTATCGGCATCATGCGGCTTCATGATGCTCGTTCAGGTGGCTATAGTACTGCAATCGTACTATTGGCCCATATACTTCCAGTCGGTCAGGAACACCAATGCCAGAGACTCGGGGATCAATCTACTCCCGTTGATCGTGTCGAACAGCCTCGGCACGCTCTGCGCGGGCTCTATAGCGTCGAGATTCGGGCACTATGTACCATTCATGTGGGTCGGACCTCTCGTCTTGGCTGCTGGAGGGGGTCTATATCAACTAGTCCGTGCCGACAGTCCGCGCGGACAGTGGATCGGGTTCCAAATCCTGTCTGGGCTTGGCTATGGCAGCTGTAGCCAAATGCCGATACTGGCTGTGCAGGTTGTCCTCAGCAAGCCATATATACCAACGGGCCTTGTCATGATCATGTTTTTCCAGATACTTGGGGGCGCGCTGGCGCCTAGCGTTGGGCAGAACCTCTTCACTGATGGGCTTCTGCGAAATCTCCGCAAGGTGCAGGGAATAGATGGTGCAGCCGTAGTGGCGGCCGGTGCAAATGGTTTCAGGGAGATCGTTCCTCCCGAGCTGATGAATGCCGTCGTGGATGCATTTAATTCTGCTTTACGGAACGTGTTCTGGGTGGCGCTTGCTACGCCAGCCCTTGCTTGGATAACAAGCTGGGCAATGGAGTGGCGGCAATTGCCTGACTCTAAGAGACAGGTTTCCCAAACTCCAGCCGAGGAGGTCGTGGAGAAATAGCTTGATAGCAATGAAGAGTGGCCTGAGCCCGGCTTCGACAGTGAATATGCCCGGCTCGTCGCATTGTAATCAATAAACTACGAATCCAAGCAATACCTAGGCGGCGATCCATCGGGAAAGAAAACTACGCCAGTACTTAACAGGAAACTCGCAATGGATGCTTGGGCAGATTTGCGTGGAGGCCTGCACTCTACCCACGGCGGGCTGGCGCTTATGCCGGCGACCAGAATCGGATGATAGGTACGCCGACTGCGCATAGCACTTTGGGGTAGTCTGATGGGTGGAAGCGGGCGCTAGGAACGGGACGCCCCGCGACTCCTCCAACATCTATCTCGGCTTGGAAGCCGGACATCCCTCGATGGATCTCCTCCCCATACTCTCCCCGCCAACTTGAGCTCTACTGTAAGACAGAAACTGAGTGACAGGCACGTTTCTTGGGTATAGAGTTGGCATTATGTTCCGCCTCGGTCGATGCTATCTCCACTCTCGGCATGTCTAATTTCGGAGTGATCCCCGCATGGCCCACCTGGAGCGGAGGTCCGACGAACCGCTGGGCTGCCGAGGAGTGGTTTGACGCATACCCTGACAAACAGTCCATGGTCACGAAGCACGGGTTCTTCCTGGAAGAGGATATCTCGCAGTTCGATGCCAAGTTCTTCGGTATTTCCAGCACGGAGGCACACGCCATGGATCCTCAGCAGCGCCTGTTCCTGATGACGACGTACGAGGCATTGGAAGATGCCGCCATCCCCGTCGAGACATTGCGAGGGTCGAATACCGGTGTCTTTGCTAGTATATTCGAGAGGGGCTACGACAGGATGGGACACAAGGACCTGTCCACAATTAGCAATACGCATATGAACGGGACAGGGGAAGCGAGTAGGTTTACGAGGCCCACCCGATTGTCATGGTGCTTACACGGCAGCAGTCCTCTCAAACGGGATCTCGTACTGTTTTGACCTGAAAGGACCATGCATGACTATTGACACTGGCTGCGTAAGAAGCTATTGCAAAGCTGTGGAAAGCGCCATACTAAAAGGCGTATAGTCCGGAAGTCTGGTGGCCCTTCATCAAGCATGCCACAGTCTCAGGCTGGGCGAGTCAGACCTCGCCTTGGTTGGTGGCTCGCAACTTGTTATCCACCCGGATGCTCTCACCATCAGTGAGTTTATTCTCCATCCACTTGAAACGCCCTCCCCACTTCACACTTGAGGCAGAGACTTTGTCCGCACGTGCTGACGTCGACTTAGTGAGCGGCATGGGCATGCTCAACCCCGATGGCAAGTCTTATGCCTTCGACTCGCGAGGCGAAGGGTATGGACGCGGTGAGGGCGTGGCCACGATTGTTCTCAAGCGTTTGGACCGCGCACTCGAGGACGGGTAATATGGTGCAAGACCCCCCCCCCCCCCCCCCCCCCCCGGCGCCTTTGTTCACAAGTAGGGCCGGGACCGAGTCCATGCCGTGCTTGCCAACACTGGGCAAAACCCAGGACGCCAAACCTCCCGCCCCAAAACTCCCAAGAGCGCCCCCCACGCCGGCTTGTCTTTCCCTGTATCCCCGCAGGCGGTGTTTTACCCCGCGGCAGACTGTATTGGCGGGGCCCCAGGCCCGG